GTAGTGCCCAACAAGGCTGAGAAAACTTCTCGAAAAGTGCAGAACACTAGCCGTGCTTGGCAAGGACAATACCAATCGCCAATTCTGGCCTCATCTCAACTGGAGACAGACATTTGGCTATCATTACAAACCCGGCTTTGATGCCGTCCTGTTCCCAAAAGCCCACCGCCCGTTATCAGACCCATGCGTCATATCATCGTGTCCATCGTCCTCTGATCATACAGCCAGCCGTACATTATGAGGGAGTGGCCTGGTCCCCTCCTCATCAGTGCCGACAACACTCATTCAGCCGACAAGCATAGCCGTGGGATCCGGAGGTCCGCCATTCTTCCACAGCACGCTAGCACAAGGCCAGTCAACCCAATGCTTCCACGACTCGTCGAGCGAAGCCACCACGTCGGTCAGAACACTCTCTGCCCAACCCTGAATCCACCATCTGTCGTTCAGAACGTCTAATAGCACACAGTAATAGCCGAGAATGATCAAGGCCTGAGGCACCCGTCGTTTTATGAGACTTGCGAATGGAGTCGAGTCTTGCTTGGGGAAGCAGAGGATCGAAGCAACGCTGCACGACCCTCCTGGCTGGTTGTTGTTGTTGCGGACGGCGTCGTAGATTGTCTTCAGTTCGGCTAGGATCAGGACACAGACTCTTCTGTCTTCGGAAAGCATAGGTTCTGTGCCGAGCATGAAGTCGAGATGGTTGATGCCAAAGTCCATATTCTTGGGCATGGAATGGGTGCTGGTCATCCCTGAATGCTGCCCGCGCAGTGCTTCTTGGAACCCTCTTGTCAGGATGGGTGCGAATGGTCCTTGAGCCACATAGTACCACGTCTCCGCAAGAACCGCATCGATGCCCTTCACGAGCGAAAAGAGCTCCACCACTGCCTCAAGAGGCGGCACACTCGGCGGTATGGCATAGGCGAACAATGCGACTAGCCAAGCAAATATGAACTTGGCATTGGCATTCTCAGATCCAGAGCCTCCACTCTCTCTGCGACACAGCACCAGTGCCTTATCCATGTGGTCAACAGCGCTGGTCTGTAGCATGGCCGCATTCTCTGGCTCCAGATGCGCCTCATGAAGGGCTGTGAAACCTAGCAGGGCGTGCATAACATAGTCGCAAGTAAAAGCCACCTTTGCCAGCTCTTCTTTCCATATCCGCACGATGAATTCCAGATTCGATCGCTCTGTCAAAACATCTTGCGCGTGTGTCGTGTAGTGATGCATGAGCCGAAGATCAAATTGCCAATTCTGGTCCTGTCCTGGGAGAGACCGATCAATCGATCCAGTGAGAACCGTGAAAGGACTGCCTGCCGAAAGAACTTCCGCCGCCGAGCTCGAAGCATTCCCACTGATCACGGAGGTCTCCACCGAAGCCGTCCTGGAGGTATGCGTCGGTGAGTTCGAGGTAGTCGACTTGCTCCGAGACTTCGCATCTTCCCTCTGCACATTCGGGCCCCCAGCCAGCGAGCACAACACTCCATGCCGAACACAATTCGAACAAGGACTTTGCTCGTTGCACTTCACGTGCCGACGCTTGCACTGCGCGCAACCCTTACGCGACTTCCTATGTCCCACGCGCGGTGCTCTGCTTTCCATCACCAGTCGTAAGCCTGGAGCATTCTCAGTCAAATCGACCAAGAAATCAATCACTTGTGATGGCAGGCAGTAGACAAACAAAAGCATTCGGGCATGGAGGAATGGTCTTACCGAGCATCCTGATCTATTTCGGCCCGTCCAGCTGACGATGAATCCTGAACTGCTGCCTGGGACCGCGCTGACGGCTGCTGGTCGGGCATTTCAGGCGAAGCACGCGAGGCCTCCGTCGATTCAGCAGGAAGACGTCCTGCCATTGCGGGTCTTTCCTATCCGCACTCCACTGAGCGGTCAATCACCGAGGTGGCTATGATTCCTCCTCAAAAAGACGCCAGTAGTGCCAGCTGATTACACGGCTGCCAGCAAGGAGAGAAAAGAATAGCAGCAGACAGCAACGCCCGTTGCGTCACTCTGGAGCATCACGTTCATTGATTGATCGTGCAGCTGCAGTGGTCGAGAGAGGCTCATCGGGCCTCGGGTGCCGTCTACAGCCCTTTGTTTGATGGCTCCTACTTTGGTACCTTTGGGTTTAGATAGGAAGGCTGTTCTAGAGTCTATTGGGCTAGTCTAATCTAATCCGTGAGGCGAGGTGGATGGAGCTTGGCCAATAATAGCCGAAGGACTGGTCCCTGCTCTGAATCAGCAAAGCTGAATGCTGACAATGTTCTTCTTTGCATCTTTTGACCATAACACTCCACTACGATTGTCGCAGTCTCAAAGGGTTGTGATATCCCCCGTGATTATGGAGATCAAAATCAAGAAGGTCTCTCATTATCTCTCCAACTTTGGGATACAGCGAAAGCAACTCCCCTTCCGACTTATGCAGATCATCACAGAAGTGTTGGAAGGGCTGAACATCCAAGACCGCAGGGAGTGGTCGCGCCTTCAATCCTTTCGGCGACCTTCGTAGTGGCGCGTTGATTCCTTCACAGGCCATGTGTTCCAACAAATTTTCGCACCTGGAAGGAGTGACTCAACGTTTCCGTTTCCTACCTACGGTGCAATTCAGCGGCAATGACACCAGGCTGTTGTGCGGTAGATGTCGGCGATTGCAAGATGAATGCAGAGCCCTTGCAGACTAGATCTCGTCCATCGCGCAAGAGTCTACTGAAGTCATTGGCGTACGTCGATGGCGTACTCAATGTCGTGGCAGTGCTCTAGATCGCATGAACTCCTTACGAGGTAGCGACGCCCTACAGTATCCGACCATGTGCACACAGAGTGGTTGGCCTGAACCAAGGATTCTTCTGTCTCTACCGAGCCGGAGACGCCGCCGAAAGTAAGATTCTTCGAGACCTCATGTATGTCTGCGGCCGCATCGCATACTTATATCAGTTGCTGTCTTCTTGTTGCACCAGCGCTCCGTCCTGTTCTGAGCAAGCTGCAGCCAAGCGCGGCAACGTCCAATACCGATCTGATCTACATCAAGTCCTTGGCGAAGCATGTCGCATGAATGCTGCCAATCTGCAGGAGGATTGTCCAAGGTCCTGTGTTGGTTGCTGTGATACTCGAAGACTGGTAGATCTAGTCCAAGCATTCCGTATTGAACTCCTACCGAAACGCATGCCTGTGCCGGAAAGAAGGATATATATATTGCCCCAATGTAGGCACACCAACGAGCCCTACCTTCAAAAACGAGCCAAAGTCGTCTGCTGCCCAGAACGCAGAGCCAGAGGGCGGCTTGCTCAATGTTATGACTAGGCGACTGCACGTCAAACAACCGTTCGTAGGAAGCGCCGCCTATTGCCGGTTTTTGAAGGAGTTAATGGATCTTGCAGCTCATTCTGTACAGCACTCCATGTTACAGCTGCACGCAGCCCTTGCAGATCTAGCCCTGCTTTGATTGAAATGGCGCAGAACACCAGGATTCGAGAGTCCAGTGGAATCTCTAGGCACCAGTGATCAAGGCATTGGCAGTCAATTTTTCGATCTCGACTGAGAGCTCAGGGTGCAAGTCGGAGTCGGTACTGTACTCCATTTTGATGCGCTCCATCAAGAGGTTCCAGGGCGTACAATTGTCGACGGTTGCCTACCCAGCTGAACCGCTTTCGCCCGACGGTCTTGACAGTACACCGGGCGATGTTTCAGTCGACGCGGGTTCGAAAGGTCACTCCAGCATCACGGCGGGTACCCATCGGCGCACTGCTCGTCGGAACAGGAAGCCACACCGAAAACCTAGATCAGTAGCTTCGTGGCCTCTGGTGCCGTCGTGATGGGTTCTGCGGGAAAGTGGCCGCGACTTCTAGCCACTGCTTGTTGCGCGACGTCGACTCCGACAGAAAGCGCCAAGCGTTGTTGCACGCTGTACACGCCGAGCCTAGGTTCAGCAAGCAAGGAGATCCAGGAGCAGAAAACCTTCGTGTCCAGTCAGCAGCTTGTGAGTCCACAATCCGCGGAAATTTCTTGAAGATGAATGGCCATCCTCTCTCCAATCGAGCAGTCGCGCAGGCATCCCTCCACGCAGGTTGCATGCGATACGGCACCGTGTTCACAATCACCTCTTGCAAGATTCTTCACAGATCTACCTCTTGACGTGCCTCTGAAGAGACAGTGGCTCTTACTCCAACTGAACAGTAGATTTTTTTGTGGCTTCTTTCTGGGATGCCCGATTTTTGCAGCTCGTTCTAATCTTGAAACCTTCCTCCCCGTCATAAGCATCTCAACAGCGTCCTTCTGCCTAAGTGGAGTCCAATCGAGGGTGGATCCTGACGACGATCACAAGCCGCAAGCATCTGCGGCTACTGGTATCGATGGAATGGTGCACAAGCCGTCACCGAGGACCTCAGTATGGGTTGTAACCGCGCCCTCTTGGTCGGTATCCTCCACGGTATCCTCCTCCGCGAGGCGGGTATGGTGGTCCGCCGTGTCCTCCACGACCGCCGTACATGGGAGGTGGTCCGCCGAAGCCTCCTCCGAAGCCTCCACGCCCACCGCGGGGGCCGCCTCCGCCGCCTCGACCTCGTCCACGCGTCATGCCTGGAAGGTTCGTACGCTTGGGAACGACCTGTACTCACGCTTAGCTATGCGTCTCTTCTGATGAAGCCTGCGATATGCATACCTTGATGTTGCGACCACGGAACTGGCTCTCATTCAAGACCAGAGCTTGCGTGACCAGCTGAGGCTCGGAGAACTCTACGTAAGCGTAGCCCTTCGGGTGTCCTGTAAACTTGTCGAGCAGGATAGTGACGCGGTTGATGGAGCCCACACTCTGAAAGTGTGCCTGAATCTCCTCGGGGCTGGCACCGTAGTCGACGTTGCCCACGAAGATACTGCGCGCGTCGATGTCCTCCTTGCTCTCGCGTAGGTTGTCCGACTGCGAATCTATGCTCGCTTGCATCTCGCGTAGCTTGGCTGCTTCTGCTTCCATCTCCTCCACACGCTTCTTCATCGCTGCAATCTCCTCCTCATCTCCAATGTCCTCGTCCTCCGGCTGCCGGTCGAGGTTCTCATCTTCGCGCTTATCTTCCGTGTCCGCCATTGTGTGTGAGGATGCGGCTGATGTGCTTCTGGTAGGTGTTGATATTAGGCCACGTTCCGGCATTGCTGCTCCATAGGAAATTAAATGTTTCGCACCGGTTGCACGGACGTACCTGGTAGAAAGTCGTGGCAAGCTTCGGCGCAGTGACAAATGTTCGTGCTGATCTCACTGCTTGGCAGAACGGGTGTATCTGAGGAATGTTGCAGCGGGGTGTTTGATTGTTCCAGAATGGATTGCGATTTGAAGTAGGTAATACTCGAGAAGCACGCTAGTGGAGCTTTGGCCAAGAGGGAACGAAGTCACGTGAAGTGCACATGGACGCGTCTAGGTGAATCGAAGATGACCAATTTCTCTCGTGAAGGACTGAGACGTTCACATGAGCTGACGGGTCGATTCGCGTGAATATTGTACATACATCGATGTGACCGTGAGACTTGAGAGTGGATGTGGCAGCAGGACAACCACGCATTTCAAAGAATTCAATATACCTGAAGGGAACAATTCAACGTTCCGTCCGACTTTATCCAGAAGCCAACGTCTTCAGCTGCATCATATCCCCATTGAAGACATCTGAATCACCTCCATAGGTATTGCTCGCCTTGTACTGCCAAATAGTGTAATACGGCCAACCTCCTTGCGGCGTACACGCGTTGGCGTTATAGCAAGCCATCATCAACGGATTCATATTGGCAAAAGCATTTCTGTTACCCGTACGTTTAGACCACTAAACTGGGCTGGAGTACAACAGTGGATACCTCCACGTGGCAGTATGATACGTGTTTGCGAACGTCCGGATCCAAGAGACGGATTTGCAGTCGGCTTCGAGGTCTAACAATCTGGGAAGTGTTCATTCATCGTTGGAACAGCCCCAGGGTCTCCCGAGGAAGAATTTGGCTTCTTGGGAGCCTTCACCTGTACCGTTGGCATAGTGATAACCTCCTCGAATGAAGCCTGCGGTGGTGGCGCCGGTGTAGTGGGAGCTAAATTCGGGGTCTTTGTACGTGGTACGTTTTGTTGCTTTGATGATAACGAAGTGCAGGCCGCCGTTAGACGCGGGGTTGGAGTCGAAGGAGCTTTAGTAGTGGGAGATGTCGAAGCCTCAGACACCGCTTGCTCTTTCGGTGATTTTGCGCTCTTCGAGGATGGGAGCTGAGCCATCTTGCATTGGCGCTGCGAGAGCACCGCAGATGATGGAAAGGATTCCATTTCGAAAGATTCTGGATGCTCTGATCTGATGGTTTGGCCTTGTGCAAATTGGAGTTTTCAGAGGCCGAAAGAGCTACGGGATAGATACTCACCAGAAGCCTTACCATCGCCAGCTATCGGGCTAGGAAACACAATTGCTTTCCCCTTGCAGCCTTTGAAAATCCAATCGGATCCGGGCACTCATGGACTTGACTTCGACCATTCGCTTCTCGGAGAAAGCGGCGTCCCAGATCTGCAAACGTAGCATCGCAGCTGAGATATCTCCAACTGTAAGCCATCTCAGAAAGGAACAACAAAGACACACTAGATGCCCGACACGGAGGAGCTCAGGAACGTGGAAGGAAGAAGAAGCTGTCTGGTGGAAAACGCATGAAGTCGCAAGCGAGGAAAGCACAGACCGTGCAAGGATCTGCTGAGATCCATGTTGGTGAAACTCTATTCGCGGCTGCCAACTTCATTCACTCACTTGACTTCCCTGTCTCTTGGCTTGGCATATACTTCCAATACCATCCATCTCGTCGACATGTCCCTGGAGGAGCATCGGCCGCTGCTTCCGTCGGACAGCATTCACTATGCTTCTGAGACAACTTCATCGACTCTAGCCAAAGCCCGTCGTCAGACCAAACGTTTCTTGGCTTCGAAGATCGGCCACTACTCCATCTTGCTCCTGGTGGCCCTGGATGTCTCTTCCATCTTTGCAGATCTCGTGATCTCCTCGCTGGCGTGTGAGGGCCATATACCACTCAAAGATGCCGCCACCGCGACCGAAATCCTCGGAGTCGTAAGCCTGGTCTTCTCCTGCCTCTTCATGGTTGAGCTGCTCGCAAGTGTCTGGGCCTTTGGATGGCAGTAAGTCCTTCTCGCAATGCTAACCTCTATCTCTATCAAACACGAGCATGAGTCTCAAGGTGTCAGAAATTTTGTTCTACCTACCTTCGAGCCAGAAGCTTACAACGCACCACTCTCATCGAATGCCTTTTGGCCTTTCCTGCTCTCACGTCCTGAATATCCCACTGACGATCCTCTCAGATTCTTCCGCTCTCCTTTCCATTGCCTAGACGCCTTCATCATCCTCCTGGGCTTTGTCCTCGACATCCTTCTCCGCGGCACAACCCTCGAGGAAATCGGCTCCATAGTCGTCGTCCTCCGCCTCTGGCGTGTCCTGAAAATCATAGACGAACTCAGCGCAGGTGCAGCAGAGCAAATGGAACCCCTCAATCAAAGGATCGAAGCACTCGAAAAGGAGAACAGAGACTTACGAGAAGCTCAAGATCGACAGGTCTGATGCCTGCAGTATCTGTAGATTACTTGATGCAATTGTGATTATGATACATACACAGCTAGTGTGCAACTAATTATGCTCTCTTTCCGAATGCAACCAACGCAAAGTGTCCGGAAAACGGATCGCGCTTTCATGTCCGATTCGAACAGTGCGTCCTCAATCCTCGTAGCAAACTTCTAGCATCGTCCCGTCATTCGTCATCGCCATTAGATATTTGTACAATACTTCACCGTTCTCGTCCTCGAGCCCGCTTGCTGAAACGCCAATTTACTCTTATGCAGCACAACCTCCGTTTCCCCAAAGCCTGGAATGCCAAAAAACTCTGCCACAGAATGACAGTTGACTTCATCCCCATCACCCGTGTCCCCAACCATACGAGGCTTCAGCTCAACATGCCTGGCTGGTTTCGAATGCAATGGATCGGTCTTTCCTCCTAGGGCAGAAAAGGAGGGATGCTTGCCGAACAGCTGTTTCCTCGTAGGTCGCTTTGTGATTTCTTCCGTACTCACAACGGCCATATCAGGATGCCATGCCGGCCATGCCTCAGCGAATGTCTTGTTGGTCTTGGAATGCCTCTCAACATCGTCGCGGATGAGCTCGAGAAGATTTCCACCGCGTGGCTCGGGCAAGGTTCTAGGCACAGCAAAGCTCTGCGATCCTGAATTTGCACCGCGGACACGTTGCTCGACAAGCGTTTCAGGTGCTAGAGCGCTATTCTCGGCCATTTCTACGTCGTCCGTTGGCTCAGTCGGTCCCTTAGGGAGCAAGAAAGGGGTTTTCGTGTACGGAGAAGCAATTTGGCGCAGTCGAGCGGCTAAGGATTCGTCTTCCAACGAGTGCTCTCCTCCCGGGATGTTCGCATCTGTTGTGTTGCTGTTTTCAAGGTCATCTCCATCTCCATCGGAGTGCCTTATCTTGAATGTCACATGCATGTTAGCACCGTCATGAGCGTTCACCGGAGCTTGCAACGTTTCGCTATCGGAGCTGCTCGAAGGGAACATTGGTCGCTTTAGTTGATGATCCCAATGCTCGATTCTGTCCTCGATGCCGGGCAAGAGTTGATACCAGTCCTTGTGCATGAGACCCCCGTTGCCTTCTTCCCAGGACAGTCTCTTGCAAAGAATTTCTCCAGATCGGCCTTGAGAATTTAAGATAAGGGTTGACTTCAGCCCATCAGCCCACGTGCCCGACCGTGTATCGTTGTATCCGGGTACATTCAGTGATACCCACTGGACGACGCGATCAGCTTGCATGCGATGATGAGGTGTGTCGCAAAGCGCCATGCCAATGAGTCGCTGGTATGTCTTCTTGGGTCGCTCCTTCCAGTCCCCCAGGTCATATTCGTCTTTGGGCCTGCACCTCTGGCTACGCTTCTTACAAGGCGAGACGTCGTCTGGACTTGCACTCTTGCGCTTTTCATTGCGGGCTGCGGTGGATAGGATCTCCGCAATGTCGTCCCCTTCAGTCGCCGCTGAGTCTTGATCGTCATATGGTGGAGATGTCATGGTCTGCTGCTCTGTCACAGCCTGTTCTTGTACACCAGGTGTATGAAATGCAGGTGCATTGTCTTCAGCCGCTGGTCGAGCTTGTCCATTGACCGGGGCAGATTCAGCATAACTCTCGTCAGTAGGCGGCGAGCAGTTTCGTTCCAGCTGAGGAGATATGATGGCGTTTCGAGGATTATCAAACATCGAGCCTGAGGATCCAGCAGCGATGGAAGCTGGTCTCCAAAAGTCTAGCCCGTTATCTCCCTCGACAGAAGTCGACCGTGCATCTGTTCCACCGCCATTTGGATTGTTTTCTGGCTCCTGAGCGGCGTGACGATTTTGGCGACCGCTTGATCCAATCCTATCACCTGCCTTTGCGCTAGGCAAGATCTTGTTTCTGCGCTCCAGTGGCCCTGTGGATGCTGTGATTGAATTGTTGACACCAGAGCCACTCTTGGCGGCAGCTCGAGACCTGCACATGAGGCAAAGAGCTCTCCCTGGACGTCGAAGTGCGTGCTTTCCGCAGTCCTCGCAGATGACAATCTGCTGTTCCGAATTCTTGCGCTCGAACGCTTTCCCAGCCTGTGTTGCGTTTCTGGAGGCCGACTTAGAGGCTGCTTCTGAAGTTCCTGGCGACAGCCTATACGCTTCAGCAACACCGTCCCCGATCGCCAGTGATGGTGCTCTTAAATTGCCATCACTATTGAGAGACGGATGTGCTTCAGAGATTTGCCGCTGCTGATTCATCGTTTCGCGAGAGGGCGTGTTAAAGGTCACATGGCCCGGCGTGACGTCCACGCCATTCCGTTGTGGACGATGAGCTGCCGAGTCGTGGCTTGCCTCACGGCTTGTCACTTCCCTCGCTCCGTCTGACTTTGTCGTCGTTCGACTCGTCCCGGGACTCCAACGTACAGGAGCAATCTTCTTTCTGATCAGGTTAAGTTTCGGGGCCCTCTTCTGAACGGATGCTTTTTCAACCATTGAAGAGGAAGCTGTTACCGTAAAGCTCTTGTCCACCAGGTTGTCGAGTTCGTGAGTCTCAGCGAACAAGCCGTTCCCAGTGTTCGCAGCATTTGAAGCCTCTGGTTTTGATTCTCGCTCGCCGGCTGAAAGCCGAGCAGCCTGATTGGAATCTTTTTGCACGGCCCCTGCGCCATTGACAACACTGACTGGTGTTACTAGAGAGTATGTTCTTGACGCAGTGTTGAACTTCTTTTTCGGCACAATATTCACGCGTGTCTCGGCCAGCGGCAATGCAGGTGTGTCAGCAGGATCTTTCCTGTCGCGGTGCTGACCCGTGCTTGGCTTTGGGAGCACCTCCTTTGAAGCAGTGTCGTTGGAAATATGTGGTTCGAAGTCTCTGGCTATGGGCTCCATCGGTGGATGTGTTAATGACACAGCGGAGAGGATGGTGGGATGCTCGACAGACGGACAAGATATTGACACTCGTATCGGGTTGGCCGAAGTAGTGACCCCTGTGTCGTTGACAGTGACAAGTTTTCCGACGGGGTGCGACGTAGCTTCATGCGCGGACGGCTGCGCAGGCTGCACAGAAGATTTTGACACGTCCTTGTTTAGTCTCAATGGGATGTTCTTGTCAATGCACCGCTGGCAACGCCAATTTGCACAGGCATCTCCAGGTACCACTAATTGAGAGCAATAGCTGTGGTACTGACGAAGGCATGTTGCGCATTTGAACAAAGGCCGGGACATAGGTCCCTTTTTGCAAACATGGCATGCGGTAGAGCTCACGCTAGAGCCGTCCGAAGTCGTTCTCTCGCTGATCATTGACAGCGCGTCGTCTTTGTCTGGCCGCGATGATGACGGACCTGACGAGGGCCGCGTGAGTGTTAGACGGTCAACGCGGACTGGCTCAGGGTTCGTCGGACGTGATGTCTGCTGTGAAGTTGATGGACCAGACGACGGTACCACTAGCGGCAGAGGGCCAGAGCGCACTGTATGGTTGTTCGCTGCCAAAGGTACCGGATAGGCGACAATCGGGTCAGTGCTGGCTTTGTCAGGAATGAAGCTGTTGCCGAGAATATCGCTATTGCTCTTGTTGGCCCTGCCTCGAATTGAGAATCCTTCCGTGTCAAGTGCCGTTTGATGCGTCTTGCTCGATGTAGCGACATTGTTCTTGTTCCCATGTGGATGGGCCCCATGAGCCAGGCCCAGGGGCACTGCCGGGATCCCGTTCACATTGATCTGAGTCCCACGCTGCCGTGGCACTGCCGACACCACCAAATCGGATTCCTCGGCATGCATTGCATCTGAAGGACGATTTGTGAGTTGGTTGAGAGCACCCGAATTGTCCGTCCTATGCGTCGGAGAGGCGGGCTTCGTCCAGGACAGGTTTCTGTGAAAAAGCTGATTATTGCTCTTTGTCCAGACAGATTGGCTCAGGGTGTCACCGTTGGCTGAGTGCCGTGAAGGAGAAGCTATATTTCTCCGCGGTAGGGTTCTTACGTTGTACGCATCTCCACTATCCCTCCGCCGACTGAACCGTGGCGACTGTGGGGATGAGGAAGCTGTCGGTAGAGAGTTACCTACGGCGGTGGCAACCAGCTCGCTCCGCGGTGATGGTGCTCTCTTTGGTGATGAATCTCTTCTTGGCGATGAGGCTCTCCGGCGCGGTGTGACTCTCCCGGGCTGGGAAGGAGACCTCTGTAAAGTCGAATCTCTGACCGCATGCGGCCGTCGTGGTGACCGTGTCGAATTTGAGGGGCTAGAGTATCGACGATCTGGACCGTGGACACTACGTGCTGCGGGGGGTGAGGGTACAGCTTGGGTGGACTCGGACGGCCTGTAGTGATCCCATCGGGGCATGTCGGAGTATGATGGCCTATATGTGCTGGCAGAGGCAAGTCTGGTGGAGCCGGGCGACCAGTGATCAGTAAAGTCTTCTCGCGGACGACGACGAGGCTCAGCATACGGGCTTGGTGACCGTGGCCTGCGCCTTCCCCTCGGAGGCGGTGGACTGATCATCTCGACTCTTGGCCTGCGATTCGCTTCGAATGGCCGTGCAGGTCTCTCTAAACTTCTCGCCCGATCCTATTTGGCTCTATTAGCTTTCAAATCTGTGCTGCCTGTTGTAGAGGTTACCGCCGGCTTTGATATGGATCAGATCTTTTCAGTTTTATTGCAAGTCGTCAGTAGTGTCTCGGAGGCTGCATGCAAGCCACAACCGTCACAAGAGCACATTCAGACCTTTTACCAGGTGGTCATCACGGTGTTCGCTGTCATCAATGTCTCGTATGAGATATCACACTTACCGCGTGTGAAGCACGCCCAGAGGAGACATTGTATTCCTCTAGGCGGGCCGAAGAGGCGCCCATCGGCATGTTACATGCCAAGTCGGTACGGCCACTGCGTCCGTGATATCAACGGAATGCTTGCATCCAACGCCGCATGGATGGTCGTGCCCCGGTCCAGGAGATGGCGTACAGAGCCTGGATGTCTTTGCTGTCGAAGTTGTCGACGTGTTCAAAGTATGAACGTCATCAAAAGCGTGAGCCTCACAGAACTCGCAGCTTCAAAAAGTCGGCGCGCTAACTCGCGTAGCGCTGAGGCTCGCGTTGTTCGTGGAGAGGTGCAGGTCGGTTACAGAGACAGACAAGATGGTGTAGATGTAAGGTACGGTAGGTGCAGGTAAACAGGGACAGCAGCAGCAGGAAAGCCCTCGGTTCAATTTCGACTGTGCACGTACACATAGACGGGAAGGTGCCAGTCGTCGTGACTTCCCCGAGTGCTCGTGTGATTGTCGCTGCCCGCTTCGTTTGGTGGACGCGAGAGGAAGGAGCGAGGGAGGTTGTCAATATTGAAATGCGCACTAAATTCGGGCAACGCCGGCTGAATGTTGAACCGCGGCGCGAACAGTGTTGGGCACGATTTCGACTCCAGCTACAACTGTTACCACCTCGCTTCTTCTAGATTCGCTTTGATTTCCACTCTTTTGTCCCCGTGACGGCGATCCGGAATGGATTTTCTCAAGTCTGCGGTCGCTTCCATCGCCAAAGGCCCGGCGTTCGGCTACTCCTTTGGTGATCGTGTCGACATTGACCAGTCCATTTGGACACTGCACAACGGCACGAAAAGGGTACGGTCGCGTAAAGGGCTTGCACGTGCTTGTGGATGCTGATAAGATGTAGGAAGATGGTTCGAAATGCAGCATATTCTCCTTCGACGTCAACGCGAACCGCTCCCGCCTACCCCTTGCCCGAAATGCGCTGAGGAAGTTCAAGACATTACGACATCCGGGAGTAGTAAAGGTGTTGGATACAATCGAGGTGGGTATGAGAGCTGTGAGAGTACGGTACATTTGCTTACCGGACAACAAGCTAGACAGACCAACTTATCTACATTGCGACTGAACGCATCACCCCGCTGAACTGGTCCACGAGACGGAAGGCACTATCAGAAGAGAGCCTGAAATGGGGCCTACACAGCGTTGCGAGGACGCTCAAGTTCATCAATGATGAAGCTGCATCAGTACATGGGAACATTCGCGCATCTTCCATCTTCACCAGTGAAAGTGGGGAATGGAAGGTCGGGGGACTGGATATTCTGAGTTCGATGAAAGAAGACGATGCCATCATCTTCACACAGGGCAGTTTGGTGCCAGACATTGGAAGATACTCTCCTCCTGAGGTTGCAAAGAACGGCTGGGACAGTGTACGGCGGAATCCTACACATGCTGTGGACGCTTATAACTTCGGCATTCTGGTGACCGAAGTGTTCAATGGAGCATTCTCCGGATCCGACCAGATTGGCTCCACCAAAAACATACCTCTGGACATGCAGAACAGTTATAAGCGACTTACTCACGCAGCACCGAAGATGCGACTCAGCGTTGCTCACTTCCTGGAGCAGGGCTCTCGCAATGGTGGCTTTTTCGACACTCCGCTCATACAATTGACAAATGGCATTGACAACTTCGGTCTCAAGAGTGATGCGGAGAAAGACGAGTTCCTAGAGTGAGTCGATCCTCTATCTACTGCTTCGTGGTTCATGCTGACAGCGCGCGAAGTGAACTGGGTGTAGTGGCAGAATCCAATGACTTTCCAGAGGAATTCTTCAAGGTCAAAATTCTGCCAGAGCTACTCAAGTCTGTCGAATTCGGCGGCGGAGGCCCAAAATCCTTCTCTTTGGTTATGCGAATAGCTACAACCCTTTCTGAAGACGAATATGACACGCAAATCACTCCCGTCGTGGTCCGACTCTTCACAAGTCCAGATCGGGCCTTGCGAGTATGCCTGCTGGACAACTTGCCATTGATGATTGACCACCTCAGCCAGAAGATTGTGACGGACAAGATCTTCCCGCAGATGGTGACAGGATTTGGAGACTTGGCTCCGGTGGTCAGAGAACAGACCGTTAAAGCTGTCCTAGTCGTCGTGCCTAAGCTCTCAGATCGGGTTGTGAATGGCGAACTGTTGCGACACCTTGCCAAGACGGCAAATGATGAGCAACCTGGCATACGCACGAACACTACCATTTGCCTCGGCAAGATCGCGAAGAATCTAGGAGTCAGCTCTCGGGCAAAGGTACTGAGCGCTGCATTTTCCCGCGCCCTACGAGACCCGTTCGTGCACGCCAGAAATGCCGCGCTGATGGCTCTCGCTGCTACGGCGGACGTCTTCAGCGAGGAGGACTGCGCGACCAAGATGCTGCCTGCGATCTGTCCTTCGCTTGTAGACAAGGAGAAGATGATTCGTGACCAGGCCAACAAAACGCTAAACATATATCTTGACCGCGTCCGCAAGTATGCTCAGACATTATCCGACACAGTACTGCCAACGCCAGGAACAGCGTCCGCAGGAGGCACCAGGGTCAATTCGCCGCAACCGTCAAATCAGCCTGGTTGGACTGGCTGGGCTATTTCTTCCTTTACCAACAAGCTGGGCTCTGCCACCGGAGAAATACAGCCCAACGGCACTGGAACACAGACTCCTACAGATCGTGGCGCAGCTAGATCACCCGCAAACGGCGTGACCCCTTATCCTCCGCCCGTACTCAAACCGACCGCATCCGCCCCTGCTGTTCCAAAGGTGTCGTCCAACCTTCGAAGCCAACCAACCACACCGGCTGCCGTGGTCGAAGACGAAGACTTTGGCGACGGATGGGGCGGCATGGACGACGATCCTGCAGATGCATTTGCTGAACCCGCACCGTTAACCACAAGTCATTCCTCGAAACCCAGTGTGGCCAGTGTCGCATACGATGATGGTGGTGAGCCTGACTTTGAAGGTTGGCTCAATGCACAAGCACAAGCGAAAGCAGCATCGAAGCGACCGTTACCTAAAGGCCTGACCAAGAAGTCAACTGGTCCACCGCTGAGGACTACCTCGACAAAACCGATCTTAAACAAGCCTGCGCCTAAGGCTGTAGTACAAAAGCAGCCGAAGCCTGAGGAAGATGAGGACGATTGGAACGCGTGGGGTGATTGATGGAAAGCAAGATAACATATCTGCCTTTTCATGTTACGATATCCTTTACCTCTAGCTTGTCACACTATCTCGCCAGACAGCATTGCAGAACTCAAGTTAATAATGCTCTCTCGCAACCCTTGAATCCTGTGCGAAGCAATCGGCATAACCTGTGACCGACGATCACGTGCGACCGCGTCAGCTTTCTTCGGCGTGAGGAGGAAGCCGCGATCCAAACTTCACTTCTTCTTCTCTATCTCGCATCAGACTTCACACTTGAGCTGAAGCATCATTATCATCAACATGTATTTGCTACTGCAGTATCCGTCTGTCACGTCATCTTCTGCTTCGTTGCCCGGAAATGGCGCCCTGCTAGGCAAGGCTGAGGCACACCTGCAGCCTCGTCCGCTTTCGTGGAGGCTGAGATGCAGCTTCGTGCCGCTCTTCCCCTCTGTCTCTTCGCAGCCTGATCTGAATTTTGCGAGGCTGTGCTGACGAGGGTTCTTTTTGACACTGCCACGAAACAAGCACAGTGCTCTCATCAAGATCAGAGTTCCCGCCAACTGGTTTTCTCCCTCTTCTGCTTCATTCTGGATGCTCTTTCCTCTGGGGATCTGGAAGTTTCTGGCCCGAGATGTCGGTACACGAGAGCGTTCCGCTGCCGAAGGGACCGCTACCAATACGACTACTGAGGATGCTGCCCGGGAGGAAGGCGGAAGAGATCCGATGCAAGCTGTTCGCGGTTCCGGATTTATCAAAGGTCGAATATGAGGCTCTGTCGTATGTCTGGGGTGCCTCCACACAAGGAAAAGTTATCTATCTGGGCGACGAACGACACAAGTTTCAGGTCACGGACAATCTCTTCGCAGCACTGCGGCGGCTACGATATCGAGACCACGAGAGAATTGTCTGGATTGACCAGATCTGCATCAATCAGTCCGACGACGACGAGAAATCAAGACAAGTCGCAATGATGGGTGAACTCTACAAAGGCGCAAGCTGCGTCGATGTCTGGCTGGGCGAGGCGGAATATATTGCATCTGTCGATCTAAGGTGTTTGCTACATGCAGCAAAGAGAACACGAATTTCATACGCTCGCCTCGGGCGTGTAGACAGGATAAAATATGAGTGGCCGAGCCAAATGTACCATTGCTTCGATGGTTTGATCCACGCCGCCAAAACGAAAAGGCCAGGACCCCGTGAGCTACATCCACCGACGACGGAAGAATGGCACACTAGAGTCTGGACTATCCAAGAATACATGCTTGCACGCGAGTTGTGTTTTTTTTTGGGGGGGGGGCGCACGCTTCAGATATAAAAAAGAGGCTGTCAGTACTCTTATTGGTACGAACATGCAATCGAGAATGGCTACGCGCTGTAACCTTGACAAACAATCGCTTCGCGGGCTTTCTGAAAGATTGTGGTTGCAGTTTGACAAGCCCAATACTTTGCTAGATGCATTTTACAAGTTCTTAGTATTGTCGGGAAATGATGCCGGCGCAACAGATGGCAGGGATCGAGTCTTCGCACTTCTTGGATTTCTGGACAACCCACCGGCTGACTGTGACGTGGATTACCATTTCAGTCCTGCAGAAGTATCAGCTAAAGCGACGTTCTTATCGTTGATTGATTACCAAAATCATACGGGAGGACTTTCTGTGCTGAGTTTGATTCCCCTTTACGATCTCTGTAGTATAGAGCTTCCGTCTTGGTGTCTGGATTTCACTAGCCAGTATCATGTACCACTTTCGACATCTTGGTATAGGGCTGACGCGCGACCTGACGCTAGAAGCTTTGCACTCGACAATGGATTGCGACTTCTTACCGTCTTCGGATACGCTTTGGATATAGTAATGGAGCTCTTGGGAGAGTCGGAAGAGCGATACATGTTGGAAGAGGGAAGGCCGTCTCGTCAATTCATTACTGCAGAGACCACTGAGTTCAGAGCTGAAAATATGACCTATGATCTTTTAATGGCCGTCTTGGAGGAGGAACTGACCATGGCTGGTACACATATGACTCCAAGCACAGAAATACCTGTAGAGGTCTCTGTGGACGAGCTGAGGGAGGCATCAATCGAATGGAATAATTCAGTCTTGCGCCTTAACAACCTCTACGGAATCGGTAGTAAGGACGATGTTTATAGAGGGCGACGGACACAATACGGGTATGATTTCGATTTGTATGATTATACAAGACAGCCTCCCAAAGGCAACGGGAGACAGTCATTCATGACATCCAGCGGCCTCGTGGGGATGGCATCTGCGGTTATTCAACAAGGCGACGTCCTCATCCACCTTCCGCCGTGCTTCCCTTTGATTGTTCTACGAAAAAACCGAATCACACTACATCTTCCGAGGACTGGCGTGGATTTGTGGGTTTGATTACGCCAACTCATTGAAACTACGGCGCGCTCAAGGCATCGACCCACCGAAGCAGGAATTCATCGTACGCTGAGAAGCCCGGGCTCCCGTCCTCCGTCGTCGTCGCGAGACTAGAACCTACGCACCATTTGAAGAATCCATTCCCCCCACCCCTCGCCGACTTCCCCCAAGTCAATGCACTCATCGACCCACCCGAAGCGACTCGAGCAACAACCACACCCCCCAGGATTAGGTAGACACAAGCAAGCACCTTTCCCCCCCCCCCCCCTCAAACCTTCCCCATTCCTTCCTATATCAAGATCTATTTTTTTTTCTTTTCAGCACCAGAAAAGAATCAACGACATACAATCTACGTTATAGTACATTTACCGAAGTAGAACTTTTCATCGTACGCTAAAGCCTAGATACGACCCCCCCCCCCCCGTCCTTTCAATCGCCGTGAGACTCAGTAGACCTGAGTACTAAGATATTTTAAAAGAATCTATCTACTCTCTCTCTCCCTTCCCTCTCCCTCTCTCTCTTCTCTTCTCTTATCTACTCCTTTTTCTTATAGAGAGAAGATAATACATTTCTTTTATCGATTTTCCCGGAAGCGAAGCGGAGCGACTCGAGTAAGAGTTATTACCCTACTCTACCTTACCCTCCCCGCCCCTCTCCCCTTAGGACAAAATCTTAGTATATCCTATAAGAGAGAGAGAGAGAGAGAGAGGAGATCTAAATGTAGGAGTAGGAGGAAGGAGGAAGGGTAGTCAGTAAACGTAAAGGAATAAATACTCCTTCTTCTTATTCTAGGTCTTCTAGCTAACTCGAAGACAGTACGAGTTCTTGTGACTACTACCAACTACTACTAATAAGAAGCCTGATCAGATAAACCCGTACCTACCATACCATACCATACCATACCATACCAAGGCACCGTATGTATATTGACGAAAATCTTCCCACAGCTATATCCCCTATGGAGGGCCAGGCGTGTGGCCTGAAGGTAAGCAAGCTCACGTGTCAAGCTAGGGGCAGACCGCCCGAACACTTCATACCTACCCAGTAGAGTCTGTCTGTCTGTCCAAACAGTACCAGAAGTCTATTGACCTTGGCCCTGCCCCCCTTGCATCGGGTGGACGACCTCTCCTGATGACCTAGAGCCGAGCCTACTGCCTTCGACCTGCCCGTTCGAGCAAATGCATAAAGACGGATGCAGGCAGGATTTTGCGCATTTTCCCGCGCTTACTTTCTTCCGTTGCTACCACGCTCGAGCTCCTTGTCTTCGGAAAAAGGGAAAACCCAAATTGTTTTGTCTTGGGGTTTGCTACGCCTTCTCCTTCGAGACGAGCTCCTGGAATGCAAGGGTATGAAGGTGCCTGTTCGGAGGGAAGGCCGAAGTCTCACGATCTCTCTGGCAATACTCGTGCTGCTGCTTGTGCAATTGATGTGAAGCAGTGGCGTCGGGCGAAAAGGATAGAGAGGAGAGGGAAGAAAAAGTGTAGGACCGAAATTAGCGCCGTTGGAAGCGTCGGTTGAGCTTCACACGGCTCGGGCTCTTCTGTCGACGAAAATTGAGACACCGAGCAGACGGACTGGGGTGGAACCAGATAACTCAACCGTGGGACGGCGTCTGGTCGCCAAGAGCTGCGGGCAGGGAGAATGTTCAGTGCGGCCGCATTGCGTGGTGAGGAGGAAGATGGCGATTTGCTGCGGTGTGCAGGTGTGAGTAATGGTAACATGGCCAGGTATGGTGTGTCAGCATCGGAAGGGCCCATGATGAAGCGGCGTCGTCCGCCGTCGCAGGGAGTTGGGCACGTGTTGGGCTTCGGGATTCGGGGGAAAGAAAGAAAGACGACGTCCTTTGTGTGTGTGTGGAAGTGAGACTGTGGAGAGGTGCTGGCGTCGCACGGCGTCGAGATGGCGCCTTCCCAAAGCGGAAGGCTTCTGGAAAAGATGATGCATCTTTCCATCGCGCAGTATCACGTCATGGGGCGGAGGGGATGCATCCCTGCACGTGCCCTTTGACGAAAGAAGACAGAAGGGAGAAGGTGCTTGGCTGCTTGGCTGTGTGGCTGCATTCCTCCCGCCTGGCACGGCTTCCACCACGACGGGACCCTGGAGGCGCATCACCGATTGACTGGGCGTCTCGCGATGTGTCCGTCGCACATCGCAGCGCGCTGCTGCTGCCTCCCTCCTGCCCTGCACGCCTTCTCGGACTGCAGTGCTGCACATTGCTGCGGGCACGAGAACAACGGCCTGTCGGATTGCGGGTGCTAATGCAGCTATCCCTGCAACGGTCTCCAAGCAAGCGGGACTTGCAAGAATGAATGTCTCTCATCACACCAGGCAGAGTGCATCGTAGATGCGGACCCCTCCTTCTCCCACTGCGCGGTGTGCGCCGGGTTCGGCATGCCGACGACAAAGAAGCGCTGGCGTGTGAAAGCGGAGAGGCTTCCGGAGCCAGCAGGACGGTGTTGGAGGGGGGTTGGAGGGCGATGGAGAGCGCTGCAGGGAGAAGCCGTGAAAAAGCAGCAACAAGGTGAGACGCAGCACGGCCAGGTGGGAGGCGCCTTCCTTGGATCTTCGAGAAGGAACGGAGCAGGGCTGCCCCGCCGCGTCGCTGCTGATTCGCCGACGCCGGGGGCCGGGGGGGCCTCGTCCCAGTGGCCAATGAGAGCTGCCGCGGCGCGCATCGAGCACTAACCGTCTCGAGAGTGGCGCCCATGCTGAGTTTCAGGACGCATTCACAGTCTTGCGCGACTTGACTTGCCTTGCCTTGCCCATGCCATCTTGCTGCTGCTGCTGCTGCTGCTGCTGCACACACTAGACACCTCTCTCGCTGCCCTCACACATCACATCACCACCTCACCCTTCATTCGTTGACTCTCCCACCTCACGCCTACTGTCATCACCCCTTAGCGCTGGACGTCATCGCCTCTGCGTACCCGCCATATCGACTCCCTCATATCCACCCATCCACATCATCCCTTCTTGCATGCCATGTGTCCCGGTATCAGAGGCGCCTGCAGGATACGAATCCATTACTAAGGGCCCGCCGTCACACTACGCAGCGGCGGCACGAGGCACGCCGGGAAAGGATCTGGAAGTCCTCGAGAAGTCGACTCCTGCCACCGACGTCCGCGAGGCCACGGAGGACGGTCCTGTTCAGAGCCTGACTCTGCGCCTCTCCGACATCACGCCTGTCTCGTCGCATTTCCGCCCAAAACACCGCCTGCGCCGACTGCGCTGCACTGCACTGCACCGCACTGCACCGCACCGCACCGCACCTTTCCCTCCCCCCCGCTCGCGAATACACTTTCACTCCCGTCACGGTATCAGCCCCGCGACGGCGACGGCGAGCATCCCTCTCACGCCGACGCGCCCACTCGACCCATCATCACACCACCCCTTCCTGCTTCAGTAATCGCAATCAGGCCTGTCCGGCGCACCAGGGTCGAGAGAGAGGACGGAACCCTGCTCTGGTCTCGACTCAGACGTGTCGAGCCCTTCCACAAGCCAGCAGCGCTCACCACACTGCGCTGTGTACCCATTTCCTGTACCTGTGCCTGGCTCTGTACCACGGAAGCACGTCCATTCCATCCACCTCTCCGACGTGACGTGCGACACTTGCCCACCATAATACCGCGCACAAACATTTCCCCGCCTACCGACGTCTGACGGACGGCCGACCACCCACTCCTCACTCCGCAGCGCTGCCGCACCTGATTCCGGGCTGGGACGTAGTACCCTCCCGTGAGACAGCGAGTCTCAAGAGTCCAAACTGGCGTCGACACACTCGCCCTTGCGGCAAGGCCGGTCTCTGTTCGCGGGCTTGCACTCCCGCAAGCCCTCCACCGATCCCACACGGAAGGGCCTCTTTCGTACCGGTATGATCGTGCGAAAACCCTCGTCCCACTTCACCAACTCTTCCACCTCATCCACCAATTCCTCCCTCAAGACCCCCTCCGCGTTCGCCGAGGAGTGGGACGCCGACGACGAGGACGCCATGTCCGCTGCGGACGACTACGTCCCATCGCGGCCGCTTACCGTCGCGATCCCCAACGTCGGTGCACATGGACCCTACTGCCCGCGAAGACCGAATCTGCGCGAGATCCTCGCCAACACCTCCCCTCCCCCGTGGACCTTGGCTGCATTCATGGCGTACCTCTCCAACAACCACTGTCTGGAGACACTGGAATTCACAATGGACGCGGGGAGGTACAAGAAACACTACGCGAAGATGATGTCGAGAGCGGGAGACGGAGGAGTACCTCCTGCGAAGGATCGAGAGTACGTGCAGGCGCTGTGGCAGCGTCTGGTGGAGGCATACATACAACCCAATGGCTCGCGAGAGGTCAACTTGCCGTCGGACGTGCGGGATCCCATCTTGAGCCTCCGAGCGTCGACGATGCCTCCTGCTCCGGACAATCTGGACCCGGCCGTCGCAAAGATCTACGAGCTCATGGAGGAGTCAGTACTGGTGCCATTCCTGAACAGCGTGTACCCCCAGTCAGCGCGTGCCACTGTACAATCATGTCCATACGAGACGTCGGATGACAGCGTATCGATAATGAGCCGGGCGAACGAGGATCGGAACAGCAGATACTCACGGCGGTCACGGTATACACGAAGCTCGCCTCCTCCGCAAACCGCGGTGGAGCCGCACGCGAACACCTACTCGGCGCCATCGCACTATCGCCAATCGGCGCCGCCTGTCTCGGCGTCAGCCTCGCCGCAGCGGTCACGCTTCAATGTCAAGCTCACGGCCACCACGTCTTCGCCTGCCGCTATCGCGGTTCCCTCCGGGACAGGGTCTGACGGGTCAGGCGGACAGGGGTTGACCGAAGATTCCGGAAGCACCTCTTCGCCCACCAACGAGAGTCCCATGACACCACCGCCCACCAGTCCCGGCAGCAGCGAGGCACAGTCGCCCAAGAGAGATTCGGGGATGTGGAAGAAGATCTCGAGATTGTCGGGCATGAAGGTGGGGAGGAAGAAAAGCCACAGCGGACTCAAGGAGGAAGAATCGCGGTCCACCAAGTCGTCGTTCTCCACTACCCAGCGGTCGGTGTGAGATGCAATATGTATTGACCATGTTTTCGGCACCTGGGGATGGGGGATGTAGACCCTCGTTCCTTGTGGTTTGGAGGGAAGGGAGAAAGATGGCTTTGGAACCATTGCACACAGCATGCATTTACTTCGGCGTACCCAGGGAATCGGCTATACCACGCTTTGGCTTCAGACCCGATTGCGAATCCGGCTAAGACCCCAGCGACCTGTTCCCACTCGGATATTCATCTCTTGCTAGCGTTTCCGTTTCCGTTTGACCGGGTGTTGTTCCACATGGGTAGAGAGGACAACGGATAGAGAGATCATGTCGGCGTTTCTACCGGGCACAAAATGGAACGGGAGATTTCTCGGACGCATCTCTATGCAGGACGGAAACAAGAATTGTGTTCCTTGCCCTTTTTTATCCATTTTTGCTATTTATGAGATGATGCATGAATGCTATGGCCTATCTGAAGGAAAGTCTTTTTGGGCATGGGATATGATGACGGCGAAATTTTTCCTTCTTTCCATGGATTTCTATTCGAGTAGTGTGTACATAGGTTAGGATACTCGTTGTGGAGGGAAATGAGATAGGAACCGCAGACCGACGGAAGGTGGAAGAAGAGATTTGCGATCTTCTCGTTGTCTCAATTTCCCTTTGTCTCACTATACCACCCGATGTATTGCGCAGCTAGCTGTCTAGGGACGTAGTGGGAGAAATTCTCTTCCTCGGTCCAAGAAGTAGAGATATCAACGTCCGTCGAAGTCGAAATAAAGTTCACGAGCTGTGACGTGGGCGGTGCACTGCGCAGTGGTGCACAGGTGTGTGTCTATCTCTATCTACCTCTCCGTCGTGTGTGGTGAGGTGAGGTGGGGCCTCTCTGCACCGATAGACGTATACGATCGATGGGGAAATGATCTCCCCAATGCCCTGCCTTACCGACAAGTCTCTTTGCAACCACACAACCAACAAATAACCTAGGTCTGTTTCGTTTCCCCCACTACACTACTACCTACTACCTACTACCTACTACCTACTACTCAAAACGCTTGCTGCAGCAGCGCGGTCTTTGGAATATTAAATAATAAGCTTTTCTTTTCCCCTGTTCCTGCCTGTTCCTGGTCTGACAGGACAGGACATGGATGCAGCAGCAACAAGAAGGGGAAGAAGCACAGAAGCACAGAAGAAGAAGAAGAGTCTAGTCGTATTCACCTTTTTCTTTCCTTATCGTGCAACGGCACGGCTAGGCTAGGCATTCGCCATGTCTGACGAGACGACGGAGGAGAGGCGAGAGCAGCAGCAGCAGCAGCAGCAGCAGCCGTGGGAGAGGAAACCGGTGGTGAATTTCAGCCGGCCGAGATTCCATACGGCCGGGAGCAGCGGCGGCAGCAGTGATAAGACGTCGTCGTCGTCGTCGTCGTCGTCTACGAAAGCGCAAGCGCAGGCGAGCGATGATGGAATCTCCCGTGGAACGCCTTCGTCTTCTTCTGCTTCCTCTTCTTCTCCCGCTTCTTCGCGACGAGATTCAAACGAAAGCATCGTCACGGTCCGAGCGGTGAATGCCTTCCACCAACCCCCGTCCTCCCTGCCGAGCGAACCGCGCTTCTCCCTCGGAGAAGAAGAAGAAGGGGAGGGAGAAGATCCGAGGACGCAGAAGATTCCCGTTGAGAGCGAAGGCGGAGAGGAAGAGGGAAGGGGAAAGGAAACGGGAATCCACGCCTCGTCTGGATTCGCCTGGGATGAAAGGAGAGGGGGATTGGTCGATCGCATCGCCGCGGGGCCTTCTATGAGCGTGCCAGAGGAAGAAGAAGAAGAAGAAGAAGAAGAAGAAGAGCAGAGGAGGAATGCGTCCTCCTCCTCTTCCTCCTCCGCAGCAGCAGGAGCAAGCAGGAAAGACAGCCACGCTTCGGATACCTCTACCACCTCTACAACTTCCACCACATCCGACCGAAAATCCTCCCTCTCCTCCATCCCCCAACCCCCCACCACCAGCACCAGCACCCCCCTCACCGCCACCCTCACCACCCGCCCCCTCAAATCCATCCTCAAACACACCACCCTCTCTCAGCATTCCTCCTCACGCGCCTCCTCCTCCTCCGCCGGCGAGGGTCTCACCTCGCACCACACCGTCTCCGAAAGCGGCGGCGGCGGCGATGGCTTTTCCAGCGGCGGCAAAAATTGGACATCCTCCGACCACGACACGAGCATGCTGAGCGACAAGGAACGCAAGAAATTGGAAAAAAAGGGCGTCAACCCCGCGCTGTATGCGGAGATGAAGGCTGCGAAGAGGCAGGCGGGGAAGAGTTGTATTGGCGGACTGACGGGGAATGCGTATGTTAGTTAGTTGGTTGGTTGATTGGGTATAGGTTTTCTTTTTTTTTTTTTTGGCTTTTTCTGGTGGATTGGGGGCGTTTTTGGGGGGGGGGGGGGCTTGGGATTTGGTCACGATGATGATGAGTGAGGATTGTTGAATTGAAATGAAATGGATGGATGGACGGATGGATGGGTGGGTGGGTTACTATGTGTATTGGGATCATGAATGATTGGAACGAAGGCGAACGGATGCTCGGGGGCGTTCTGTAGGCAGGTTTTTTTTCCTTCTGGGCTATCAATGTACGAGACCGATTGATGAAGAAAAGCTACAAAGCTGCTTGCTTGATGGTCTATCTGTCTTGTGTCTCACTCACAACCACACCTCGTCATGCGGTCTGTGCATGGGGATGCCTGCAGCCAAGGTTGCTCACCTCCACAGAACAGCACCCTGTCTCTCTCAGGCCGTATTGTCTTTTATCACAGTTGATCGTGCAGACTGTGAGGCGCACAAGATACTGGACGACAGGAGATCTCGGCCGGAGCGACGCCCCGAAATTCACTTTGTACGAGCCCAGCGCCTTGCGGAATGCTCGGCATCCTGGCCGCTCTCCAAAATGGCCTTGTGGCCCTCCAAGAACTGGCGCTTGTGCGTGATCTCTTCGGCCTCGGCGGCGATGTATTCGATTGCCTCCGCGGGCAGGTCGTTGATGATGAGCGGGGAGAGCGTCTCCTCGGCGAGCCCGTGGAGCAGGTTGCGCTCGATGACTTGGTCGGTGACTGCGGCGATGAAGTACGTGACCTTGTCCTGTAGTACGGAGACGGAGGGATGTGTTAGTGACTTGTATCATCGTCGAGGGGGTGGTTGAAGGAGCATAGATACCTTGTAGTACGCGAGCTGACTGTCGAGGGCGTCTTCGGAGGAGTTCTTGTCCATGTCCGGCTCCGTCAACTCCTTGAGTTGGTTGTAGAGGAGCTCGGGATTGATGACGGAGTCGCCGTCGCCGTTGTCGACCTTCGCCTGATCCATGAGCTGCATGATCTTGGCTTTGGCCTTCTGACTACGGGACTCCTGGATAGCAGCGGTATACGAGGGATTGTAAGTGATTGGTGGGCGCTGCTTGTCTTGAATGAGACGCTGGAGCTCCTGACGGGCGTTGCTGAGGCGAGTCTTGAGCGCGTCTTCCAATCGAAGAGCGAGCAGGCGGGTCGCGACATCTGGGAACGCGAGAGTCACGGCTTTGATAGCCTCCTCGATGAATCTGCAGCAGAGAGCGTCGATACGGTCGATGTGCACCGAAGCGAGATTCTCCCAATTCTCAGACTGCTCCCAGAAGAGCTGGCTCATGAGCAGAGGGTTGAAGTTTCCTGAAAGCTCCCGGCCCTTGGTCCGCACGAGGATGTCCTTGACCCATGTAACGGCATCTTTGCGGCTCACAGTCTTCTGGAGGTCTTTGGCGCCCTGGTACTCCTCGATGAGCTCGGGCTCCGGGAGGTCCTTCTTCGAATTGGTACCCGCAGCATCCTCTGTCGCCCAGATGCGAAACTTGTGGCCGTACTGGCGCATCTGGCTCGCGAATTGCAGGTTGTGATACTGTACTGCCGCACGGAGACGCTTCATGTTGGTCATCTCTTCGAAGCCCTTGGATGGGTCGATAGGACCGAAGAAATGGCTCTCGTAGTGACCTGCCGCCGCAGAGTTCACAGTGGACTGGAATGCGGCGGCGATATTCATGAGAAAGCGTCGCTGCTCAGCAAGAGTACTACGCTTCTCTCCCAGCTGCTCCAGGGCCTCAGCTGTCCTCGCATGCTTCGAGTTGAGCTCCGCCTGCAAGTTTGGGAGCTCTTTCTTCAGATGCTTGAAGAGGAGCTTGGAGAGCTTGGTGCGCAGAGATATAACGCCCTTGTCGGTTTCTGGCAGGTCACGATACCGGCCACGGCTGAAGAAGTTTCGCTCCGACTGGTTGCGCTCTTCGAAGGGTGTGTCAATCTCTTGATCGGATCTTCACCAAGTTAGTACTGTCTGACATTATGGAAGTCTTACTGTGCTTACCGGTTCTTCAACATATGCCAGCCGATCTCGAAGTAGATGTCTTTGTTGTGTGCCAAATTGATCCACGTTGTCTGGTTACCAGACCCCTCGATAAGGAAGTCCGGCTTGGTAATGATACCCAAAGTTCGGTGTCCATCCTTGTCAACTTCCTTGCACTTGGTGAGAATGCCCTGATTGGCGTAGTCATCCTTGGCGGAGATGTCGGCTAGCATGATCGTGCGCTTTTCCGCCAAATAGTCTCCGACGAGAGAGTGAATGAGCTTGACATCCGCTTCAGATTGCATCTTGCTTGCGGACATGATCAAGCCAGGGAGATCGACAAGAGTGAGCTGAGGACGACCTGGACCAGCAATTTCGACGCTGAGAACGTCTCGGGTGAAGGCGCGAGTGCTGTTCTCGCCTCCAGCGGGATCATTGAGACCCATCAGTTCGGTGGCCTTCTCGATCAACAGTGGTAGCTCCTTGAAGTCGGTAATGCTCTCGCTGAATGCCTTCAACTTTGACTTCTCGGACTCCGGGCGAGCGTCATCTGGGATGATCTTGGTATGGATGCTTTCTATCTGGTCCCGACGAAGAATGATCTCGGTAGCGAAGCGTGTGCAGAGGTTCTCTTTGCGTGGGAATGGGACTTCCGTAATCGCTTCCAGGACAGATGACTTGCCGGAGGACTGGTTGCCGCAGACGACCAACTGTGGGAGCGGCAGAATCGAGCCAAGGCCACATGTGCGTAGGCGGTCCACGACATCGAGAATCTGACGATACTCTCTACTCTGCAAGTCATCGAGAGACGCAGTCGCGAGCATTTGGGCGATATTGTCCACATCCCTAGCTGCAGCCGCAGCAGTACCGTTCGGCATGTCTATGCCTTCGCCCATGGTGGGCTCGTGTTGTGCGTAAGCAGGGAGGGTTGACGAATTGAACAAGGAGGGAAGTTTCGACAGGTAGGAAAGTGGAAGGAAGGCGAATTTGCTGGGTGTTGACATGTAACGATGGACTGTGTGTGAAGAGCAGCGAGGGGCGTGAAAAATCTTATTGAGTGCGCTGCAGCGGCGTTTGCACTCCCCAACGCGGCAGCCTCGTTGTGACGCTGGCAGCGTTTGTATGCAGCCAGCCGCGACAAAGCACCTTCACTTTGCCCCAACTAGAAGATTCTTTCTGGCTGGCGGGGAATGTACATGATCCGTGTGCAGTAGGAAATGAACAGAAATGTCAAGGAGTGGTAGGGCGCCAATTGTCAGACGAGATGCCTTCTTGCATGTGAAAGGCTTGGCATCAGCGCTCTCGTGTGCCTCAACACCAAGCCGTGAGCAAACGCCGATCCATGGTATAATTGAGTGCTTAAATTTGACAGCTCACTCGCATAATGGCAGCCAGGGATCCGCATCTCCAAGAATTACAGGCTAAGATTGAGAAACTCGGCAGTTGAAGTGCTTTGTACCACTGTCGCATAGACTTCAGTCCAGCATAGAAGAAAGAGCTACCCGCTTGCCGTCTCGATGACAGCGAAGCGTGCCTCAGTCCGGAGGGAACTCGGGGAAAGACCGCATGCTACAGCTTCCAGATGTTACGTCTCCCGTGAAGAGCACGCTCTCTCCGGCGCCGTGAGTTTCGAGATCCATGTGACAGACGTCGATGTCTCCGGTGCGACCTCTCCCATGTCGGTGATGAAAGATACCATTGACCTTCAAGCGACCGGTCTATCAAACGCTCGAGCCTCATATGTTCGCGGGGATCAATGCACCCGGGGCGTCTGCGGCTGTGAAACGGATCGGTGGAATCGCTCACGACCTTTCAGCGTCTGCTTGCCCGCCAGCTCTCGGATTCAGCGGTATCCATAGGGGTAACTCCTGCACGCATAGCGACATCTTCCTCTCCCAAGAGTTTGCGTCAGGTCTTTCCAGTGGTAAGGACCTCCCGATGGATCTCCTCTCCTTTCGTGCTGCTCCTGGTCCGCAAAGGGCACAGAGTCATTCCTCCAGCCTTGCCATCGACCTGCGGATGAACGTGAGATGATCCTGATTGGGCCTTGGAAGCTCTCTGGATGGTGCAAACAAGATTGTGGGATTACAGTTGGGAGATTAGAGTTTGTAGAAGGTGAAGTGTGAAGTCGATGTGCTGACTGATGACTGATGACTGATGACTGATGAGGAGGGTACGTGTGCGTGTATTATGCGGGTTGTTTACCAACACAAACACGTCACTCACTGCCTGCCGCCCCCCCCCCGCCAGCATCATCCTTCGTCCTGCGTCGCACGGCGGCCCAGCTTGCCCAGTGTGCAGCACGACGCGGTATTGCCTCGCCTCTTATCCATATCATATGACACCAGAGCGTCAATCTTGCGGCCTTGCTCGGCTTCCACACAGGCTGCAGCTTTCAACTTCCTCCTCCAACCCCAAACACGCCCGGTGCACGCCCTTCCCGTCTGCTCCCCTCGAGCACCCAGAAGACGCCACGACGACGACGCGTGTGACGAATCCTGCCAATGACGATGCCGTGCCAAGCGTCGACCGAGTCCTAGCCATACCATCCCATCTGATATCTTTCACACGGCTCCACTCCCCAGTGCAGTGTTGACATCCTCCAGAACCACCGGACTTTCAGCGGTGCGAACACGAAGTCATGCCCAACATGCGCTCCGCTCTCGCCCATGCTGCTCGTTCGGGGAGGAATCGGAGCGCTTCGCTGTCCACCGTCCCGCCGACGCAGGGCCACGAGGATTACCTGCCGGAGCTCGCTGCCATCGCCGCCTCGATCCTCTACCGATCACCGCACCTGTCGCTCGAAGGAAGACCCGTCTACATCCTCAACGCCGCCGCTTTCCCCGACGCATTCGAAGTCGATTATGACACCCTTCTGGCATACGTCCTGGCTCGTCTGCCCGGAGAGGAGGAGCTGATTGCGGGGACGGACTATGAGGTGGTGTTCTTTGCGGGAGGCACGCCGGACAATGCAACACAAGAGAAGAAACAAGGACCCAACACCGGCTGGTATCTGCAGGCCTACCATGTGCTCAGCCGCGCATTACGGAAGAAGTTACAGAGGCTGTATATTGTACACCCTCGGACGTGGGTCAGAGTGCTCATCAGCGTGTTTGGAACGATAGTGTCGCCCAAATTTCGCCGGAAGATTGTCCACGTCAACTCGCTATCGCAATTGGCTCTTCATATCGCTATTGAGAAGCTCCTCATCCCACCATCCGCCTACTTGCAGGATCGGAAGGTCTCGTCAGAAGTCTACGCTCCGTTCGTAACCGGGAGGAGGGCCTTTGGTGTCAACCATCCCTTTCCGAAGAACATCTCTACCGGCGAGTCACGGCTTCCGCGGGTACTCAGGGAGACCACGAGCTTCGTTCTCATGCCTTCAAATGTCATCACGGAGGGTCTCTTCCGGATACCGCCTCACAACATCCTCTCGAGTATTCTCAAAGAAGCATACGACCGAGGCCAGCAATTCATTGTATGGAAGGAGGGAGATGCAACTTTCGTAGCGCCTGGCATGGACCAGGCCTTGCTGAACGAGGTGCGCTTAGAAGATGCGTATGGTGTTCATCTCGCCGCTTCTCTCATCAAGACGTGGTATCGAGAACTCCGAGAACCAATCTTCCCGGAGTCAAGCTACTCAGCACTCAGAGAAAGGTACAGCGACCCTGGAACTGAGGTGACTCCAGAGGATGTCGTCGACCTGATCTTACCGGCATCTGCTTCTTCTCCATTGACCCAGACTGCTCGCGAAATACTGGCAAGACACTTGCTACCTTTACTGTCGGTCATTGCGTCTCACGAGACCGAAAACAAGATGAACGCGGAGAACCTTGCGATATGTTTCTCGATGTGTCTAGTGTGCGGATCGGATCAGATGCAAGACGCAAAAATGTCGACAGTCGTGAAGCGCATCCTGCATGCAGCTATCAACATGTGGCCTCAACTGCGAAGCGGCATGGGCTTCGATGAAGGTGCTTTCTTCAAGGATATCCAGCCCCCGAGCGACTCCCGAGAATATGAGGATCCTCTGGAAGATGCGAAACCGCCACAGCACGCTGCTGACGGCGCAGATGATGAGATGCCCGATGGGCATAGAATCGTCATGGCTGATTCTGACAGTCCTCGTTCTCTCTCGCCCGAAGGACCACCTCCAGCATTACCGCCTCGAAGATCTCGAGCATCTTCATGGAGAAAGGCCTTGAAGACTCAAATTCCTGACATCGATCTTTCATCTCTGCCCAAGCCTAAGATTGAACTGCCCATGATTCCCAAACGGAAGCCGGCGCCGCACCATGAGGCTGAACCACCTTCGCCTTACCGAGATGATGCTACCGTGTTTGATCAGACGTCAGCACCGCCGCCTCCACGATACTCCGCCCTTTTTGACAGAAATGGCAGAAGTGTGCAAGTAGAAGAGTCGCCTGCGACAGATGTGCCACCAGACAGCTTCGGCTCACCTCGCAGAGTGCCCAATCTCGACAGGGAAAAGAAGGCCGCCTCATACCCGGATCCGTTGGAGCATAATCCCATGGAGCATAATCCCATGGCGGCAGTACCAAAGCGAAAGGCAGTTTCCGGATCCGGATCCGGATCGAGAAAATCGTCGCCAGAAGCTACGCCGGCCGCGCCTCTGTCTCGGCAACCGTCCGATAGCAATTCTAGCCATGCGAGCAACGCCTTGCTCGCGAGAATGGCCGCGCAACAAGCTGCGAATAATCTCGCGCATCGTATTACAGTTGCAGCACCCGAAAGGAAGGATAGCACGGCTGGGGAAATCAACTCTGCGCCTGCCGACCTGGCCAAGTTTCCTGAAGCTGCTACTCCCAACTCAGCAAACGACAACGGCGTCTTTCGTAAACCTTCCCGGCCTGCATCCGCAAACCGCCAACTACAGCAACCATCCACCATCCAGTTCCTCGCCAAACCCGTCATCCAACCTCATCACGCGTCCACCTTCCCTATGGCCTCCAATAGTGGCTCATCACGACATCTTAGTCCACCTCACGTCCCGAAACCTCGTACCCCGTCGCCGGGTCTCTTGCAAAGGATGAGCTCGATGGAGAATACGCACTCACAACGTGCTTCTTCTGCGGGATCCGGAGGCTTGCAGCCGAACAAGTTGAATTTGAAAAAGACGAGTGTGGATGATCTCCGGAGGTTGTATGAGGAGCGGGTGACGACGGCGGAAGGATTGGCGGGTGTTGTCAGGAGGAAGACCACGCATCGTTAGTATGAGGATGGGAAGAGGATGGTGAGAATGGAGCAGGAAAGGGATCCGCCTCCGCTGGAGGGGTGGAGATGGGTGTGAGACGGAATGAATGGGACGGAGGTCTTTTTTGGGGTCGTGGTGCTTGCTTTGGATTCTCTTTGGGTTAGCGAGCGATGCGTTTGTTGGCTGAAAACAAATTCGCTATTGTTGGCTGCAAGCGAATTTAGGGCTGGTTGGCGAGGTTTTGCGTGAAGAAGGATATGATACCCTCTGATTAGCTAGCATGGAAGAAGCATTGAAGTAATCCACCTACCTTAATTCTTGAGACTTGCTTTGTTGGATACAATTCTGATTAGGAGAAGTGTTTATCAATTTCTCCGTGTTCATCGTCCGATTAGAAGAGAGAGATATACTAACAACGAATATTGGCTGGTTTGAGATGTATTCCTTCTCAGGCCGTGTCGCTAGAACGGAAAGCAAAGCACGGCAAACTCTCCATCAGCCTTCGACAACAACAACGTTCATAACATCAACATTCTCAACAACAATAGACAGAGACGACGGGTGTGAGCACTTCAAAACCCGCCATATGCTCCTCCAAATCACCCCTCTCCTTTCTTTCTTTCTTTCTTTCTTTCTTTCAAGCAGTCGTCGTGGTCGTCGCATCCTTCTTCACCGCGAACACATCATCCACCATATCACTCCAAATCCTCCTCATCAAACCCGCCTGCTCCTCGACGGGCACGCGCATCTTCTTCACGCCATCGCCAACCCTAGCCGCCAGGGCGTGGAAATCGATGCCGGCGCCGTCGCCGTCCGTCATCTCGGTGGCGGGCAGGAAGACGCGGTCCATGGACATGGTGGAGATTTGGGGTTTGACGATGAGAGTTTCTTCTTCGGCGATGATGTCGGCGGGGACGGAGGAGGTGGTGGTGGTGGTGGTGGTGGTGGTGGTGGGGAGGATGGGGACGCGCATGGGCAGGAGGATGTCCGGGGGTGTGGCGGGGGCGAGGGTGGGGAAGTAGGCGAAGTCGATGGGGGAGGAGTCTTTGGTGGATTTCAGGGTGCGGGAGGTGTTGAAGTCGCGGGTGGGGGGGGAGGAGGAGGAGGGGGATTGGGATGGTGGGGATGGGCGTCTGTTGGCCGCGGTGGTGAAGGCTCGGTTGTGGGCGAGGACGTCTGCTTCGAGGCGGGAGAGGAGCTGGAATGATCAGGTAGAGGTGCGAGTCAGTCTTTGGGGGGGTCTTCATGTGTTTCTTCCATGTGATAGGGGAAGGAGGTGGAGTGAATGAGTGAATGGATGGATGGATGGATGAATGAGTGGGGGGCGTACATCATTCTTGGAGCCTGCGATTTCGAGATTCCGTTTCTTGCATTCTGCCCGGAGACCGGCAATGTCGCGGGGGAGTTGGAGGGGGCGTTCTTTGGTGATGATGGGAGAGGCATAGGTGGTTGGGCCGGTCATGTGGAGTTGCCGGGCCTGGTGGCTGCCGCGGGCCAGGTTGCGGAGGGCGATGAATTGGGTGGCTCTGCGTGTTTCCTCAGTAAGTAGGTGATATGTAGGTAGGGTCACGGGGAGTTGGATGGATGGGACGTACCTTGGTGCTGCCATTGCGAATGGAATAATGTCGATGAGAGTTGGAATGGATTGATTTGATGGATGAGGGTGTAAGGTGGCAAGGAGCTTCACGTCTGTACGGCGGACAGAGGGAGGAAGGATACTTTATACCGAGACGGGATTGAAGGTGAAGGAAGCTGTATCGCTTCACGGACCAATGAATGGGATGGCGGGTTACGTGGCGGAGAATGCAGCACGGGACAAGGGGGGACAGTGTGCAGCTCCTGCATTCAACGACGACCGATAACCAGACGATAACGGTAACACCCTTTGGCGCAGCTCAGCACTCCTCCTGCACGCACGCACACGCCTTCCCCGACAGCCATGCTGGTGCTACTGTAGCTATGCCTGGCAACTGCTAGCTACTGTATGCCTATGCCTGGCAAAGAGCGGTGAATGGGAGATGCGCGCGACCAATGGTCTGCCTTCGGGATGCGCAGTCAGTGTCCTTTGCGGAAAGTGTCGTGTGAGAGGTGCGGTGCGACACACACAACAGATCGACGCGGTGCAGCTACTGTAGATACCTACACACTAGCTCTACGGCAGAATCTCGTTTTGCGGGGTTTTCATTGCTTGTTCCTTGCTCTCTATCAATAATAGCTGCTTGCTGTTGAAGAGCTTCATCCACACCACACCTCCCTTTCCTGCCTTCCAACGACGCATCTTGAGCGCGCCATTTGGTGAGCCGTCTGCTGAGCATGCGCGTGCACAGGAAACCGCTCGCGTTCCCCGCCAACGTTTCCCGATGCATCTCAACCGTCAGCTCCGTAGATTACCACCTCATTAGCTTCGGGAACTCTAGCTGTCGTTCGGGTCCCCTGCTTCGTGAAAGCCCGGCGCGGAGTCCCGAGCGGACTCTTGGCTCCAATACGATAACGACGACGAAGCAGACGCATTTGCTGACAAGCGATCTGAAACCGCATCACGCCTCTCCGCCTCGCCATCGTGGTCGACCACGTTCAACTGCAGCTGCACTGTGGGGCTCCCGTCCTTTGGCACATCAAGCTTTCTGCAGCTAGCACAGCTAGCATTCTTAATTCACCCTTCGCAGGAACTATCCGCTGGCGAATCAAGAACGGCGGCGTTGGACGCTACGCTATCACCATGCTTCGACTTCATCAATGTGACATGTCCAGCGCACTAGCCACCTTTTACACCGCTGAAACACGCATGAGAATGCAGCTTTTGGTGTGTTGCATTGCTTCTTTCCGTCATCAGGTCTGCCAGACTCGTGCTCGATGGTTCCAGGGCCGACGCGTTGGAACCAAGAAAAGGAATCTCTCTATACGTCTCCATCCGTGGTATGAGAGGCCATGTACCGGAAAAAAACACCATGTCACATGCCTCCGGATCGAGGCTTGAAGTCTTGGAAGAGTGGGTTCACGAAGACGAATATCGAGGCATCGGTGCAACACCTCCAGTGTCCTTTGGTGTCCGTGGCTGTGGCCTTTCATTGTACGCAGTAGAGCCAGATTCATCAGAAAGAGAAGATAGAGCCGGAGAGATTAGCATACCGTGTAGGTAGTGAAGCTTGCTGTAGGTGGTGAAGCTCTACCATGTAGGTAGTGAAGCTCGGAGCGGAGGAGGACCGCCTCGTCAGCACATTTGGGTGCTTATACCACCCCGTAGTCGCAGAGGAAGCGTAGAGTGCCAGTCTCCCCGTGAGCGACGAGGTGTGGGATGAGCGTAACGAGGAGTGGTTGTTGAATGTTGAGTTTGGTCTGTGGAATTTGATTGACGCTGACCTAATCACTGATAAGATCTCGGCACCTGCGGCCCGACCAACCCTCGACGTAATTTCTCGCGGGGCCTTGAGATGTGATTCACGAAAGAGTCACACATTGACCTTGAAACACCTCCGTCTTCTCTGACTCTCCTCTTCAAGACACATACACACATTCTCCGGAAAACCATAGACCGTCGCAATCATGTGTGGCATTTTCGCATGCCATCGGTACGTCCGCATCCCTCAATGGCTCCCAGAACACAGCACACCATCATTCACATGCTAATACGTACACGTGGTTTAGTCATCCCGATGTGCAGAAGTTCCGGCCGACTGCCATACGTATGGGCAAGCAGGTCAAGCATCGTGGTCCTGACTGGAGCGGCAATCACATCGCCAACGGTACCGTCCTTGTCCACGAGCGGCTCTCTATTGTCGGAATCGATACCGGTGCCCAGCCGATGGTGAGCGATGACGGAAACATTGCTTTGGCAGTCAACGGCGAGATCTACAACCACAAGATTCTGCGAAAACAGCTCAAGACTCCATACCCCTTCAAGACACACTCCGACTGCGAGGTCATCATTCCATTGTACCGAGAACATGGCATTGATGCGCCCAAGTTCTTGGATGGCATGTTCAGTTGGGTGCTTCACGATAAGCAGCAGGACAGGTTGATTGCTGCGAGAGATCCAATCGGCATCACCACATTCTACATTGGCCGCTCTTCATCCACACCTGGAGCGGTGTACTTTGCATCGGAGCTGAAGTGCTTGCATCCCGTGTGCGACAAGATTGACAGCTTTCCTCCCGGCCATGTCTACGACAGCAAGACCGACACGCTCACACAATACTACACGCCCAAGTGGCTTGTCGAGCCCTCCAACATCCCTACCACTCCACTCGACCTGACGCTGCTTCGGGAGACCCTCGAGCGGTCTGTGAGAAAGAGACTGATGGCTGAGGTGCCTTATGGTGTTTTGCTCTCGGGAGGTTTGGATAGCTCGCTTGTTGCTTCTATCGCTCAGCGTGAGACGAAACGCTTGCAAAAGGAGTACGCTCGTCAACAAGCGCTCATGAGCTCTGGTACCAACAGTCCGTCTCTCGACGGCGTTGCCAACGGAGCTCCGCCTCGGCCTGAGGACGACAAAGAGGAGCTCGCCGGTATTGACGAAAACTACCACCTGAGCTCCGTGCCTGTCCTCTCCCAGTTGAACAGCTTCTCCATCGGTCTTCCCGGCTCGCCTGACACCATCGCAGCCCAAGAGGTTGCGAGGTATCTGGGCACTCGACACCACGCTTTCACATTCACCATCCAGGAAGGTTTGGACGCACTATACGATGTTATCTTCCACCTTGAAACATACGACGTGACGACAATTCGTGCCAGCACACCCATGTTCCTCCTGTCGAGAAAGATCAAGGCAATGGGGGTGAAGATGGTTCTCTCGGGTGAAGGCTCCGACGAGATCTTCGGTGGCTACCTCTACTTCCACGCTGCGCCGGACAAGAAGGCATTCCACGAGGAGACCGTTCGCCGTGTCAAGAACTTGCATCTTGCGGATTGCTTGCGCGCCAACAAGAGCACATCAGCTTGGGGCGTCGAGGCTCGTGTGCCCTTCTTGGACAAGCAGTTCCTCGAGATGTCCATGAATATCGATCCAGCCGAGAAGATGATCACCAAGGACCGCATTGAGAAGTACATTCTTCGCAAGGCTTTCGACACCGAGGGCGAACCTGGCGCAAAGCCATACCTGCCGAAGAACATCCTATGGAGACAAAAGGAGCAGTTCAGTGACGGTGTTGGATATGGCTGGATTGATGGACTCAAGGACGAGGCGAGGAAGACGGTCTCCGACGAGCAAATGATTGAAGCCAATATCCGCAAGGACAAGCCGCACTGGGGTGATGACATTCCCGACTCGAAGGAGGCATACTGGTACCGCTGCATGTTCGACGAGCACTTCCCGCCTTACTGCGCCGGCACTGTGCAAAGATGGACACCCACCTGGAGCAAGCAGACAGATCCATCTGGCCGAGCAATTGCCACGCACGAGCAGGCTTACCACCCGGGTCAAGGACAGTGAAAGAGCGATGCAACGTTTTGAGGCGATGATCCCCCGGACTTCTCTTGCTATGTGTTCGGTGCTTGGGCCAGCTTTGCTGCTGCATTAAGCTTGACGCTTAGCACCTCGCAGCAGATTGCGATGCCCTGTTTCTACAAGTTAAATAGATGTATCATCATAGACTTACATGGTTTCAGAGACGCCTGACAATTGACATTCGAAATTTGCACACAGGAAACTTGGCAAGGATGGAATGAAAAGCTGATCGGTCCACTTTAGATTGCAAGATGAGATTATGCCATCTTTGAGCTCTCCTCACCCATCATCCCACCGTGGCGGACTCGCTACCATGCCAGACGTCAACCGCAAGAGGTCATTATTCGAAGCAGGGCTCCCTATGCAATCACCGATTCACAAGTCACAAGTCCAAGATCCAAACAGATGAACGACCAAAGGAGGAGGAACATGACCGCTTTAGAAAAGTTTGGCATGCATGAATGAATGCTGTAATTTTTGATTCTAATTCCTGACAGATCTAACCTGTCCTATCTTATGCTAACCTAGCCCAGATCCTTGGTAAGCTTCGAGGATTCGAGCACGGTGATTGTTGGATTGTTGTGTTGTGTTGTGAGTGTCGTGCTCATGCGGTTGGTTTTTGTTTTGGTTTGGTTTGGTTTTGTCTTGCGTTTTTGCGTTTTTGATTTTGTTTTTGGCTCCTATATCGAAGTTTTTGATCTGGATTGGAGTGGGAAGGGGAGGAAAGGCTAAGGGGAGGGGGTGTGGTTATGTTGTGCGTCTAGCTCTATCGAAGTTTTAAAATCTGTAATGTAATGGAAAGGCTGCGAGGAAGAAGAGTGTGGTTATGTTGTGTTATGTTGCGTTGTGCTGAGGTGCGGTTGGGTGGGTGTGTATATTCAGAGATCCGGGTCGAAAGGTGGTCTTTGTATATAGCTATAGAAATTAAATCGTCCATTCCAGTCCCCAACCTCTCCTATGACTCTACATGGCTCGATAGCTCGATGGCCGGCTCAGATAAGGTAAGGTAAGGTAGCAAGCAGTAGGAGTTGGAACCGAAAACTGCCTGCCCCACTTGGCTTCTCTTTTCGTACTAGCTGATTTTCACGTGCTTGGTCCGAGCGTTGCGTGCGTCAAGAGAAGAGTTCTTGGAATGATGTTCAGACACCAACACTGCGTTACAGAGGGAGTAAGAAGTACACTCACTTACACACGATACTAGCCTGTTTCAGCGAGCAAAACCTCGACGTCATTCCGCTCCAGACTCTGCAGAGCTTTTCTCTCCGCGGTGCTCACGCCTTGCCTCGTGCACACGACGTGAGAAATGCGATATCAAAGTTCCCCGGCTTCGTATCTGTTGTATGTCTTCCTCTTTCATCTGTGGACTAAGGATCTTGACATGGGAAAGCAAACGTCGGCGATTTGGCTACGCTCCCTACTGACTTCTTGGTAGAGAGCTGGGAGACTAGCAAACTGCATGGATCTGCAACGCTGGGATGCAATGACGTGAATTAGTAAGATTCGACAGAAGTCTTTGCACAGGACTGTCCTAAATTCAAGACGGTGAATGCCTTTGACGACAGCATGATCCATCAGCGAATAAGTGGAGCAGCAGTAAGTTCTCGTCTTTACACCCTGATATAGCAACTCGCTAACTCCCATCCCCATCGCTCCGAAAAATGCTAACCCCATCCAAAAGGCCCCAGATCACTACCCAGCAAATCCGCCGCAACAGCCGCCAAATCCGACCCGAGAGCCCGGACCGAAGCCCCGTCAAGACCAAACAAAGTGACCTTACCCGACGTGCACCCGTGGTTCGTGATCTCTTTGCCTTCCAGTCGATCCTGGACCCATGGCAGAGCGTCCACGGAGCCGAAGACGTCTTCCCCGGGATGACTGAGCAGTCTTGCTTTCTGATACTGGATCGTGACGCCTTCATGCTGGCAGAAGTGGGCGACGAGAGCTTCCGTGTCCTTGGGTGCTTCCACGCGATCCTTTTCGCCCTCGTAGACGAAGAGGGGCATTTGTGGGATGCCGTGGACGCCCATGGTCCCGCCTGCCTGGAGGGCTTCCTTGACGGCGGGCTCGTCGAAGACTTCGGGGCCTTGCTGGAAGAAGCTGAAGATGTCCAGGTCCTTGGCTCCGAGTTCTTCTTCGAGGAGACAGCCGTGGGTGACGTGTTCGAAGAGGGCTTTCTTCTCGGGAACGATGCTCCGGTCTAGCCATTCGCCCAGCCTCGGGTAGGCCTTGCTGAGGCCTTTGATGCCCGCCAGTCCGATGCCTGCATCTGCTGATCCGCTGATGGTTTTGATGACCTTTTCGATGTATGGAGTAAGTCCTCCCAGGGCAGCTCCTTCGAAATGGAGTTCGGGGGCGTAGCATTTTTGCAATTCCACGGCCTCGTTCTCATCATCAGCCGCTATCGAATAAGTAACAGCGTTGATCACTCACCCATTCGGTCGCAAGACCGCCTCCAGAGTAGCCCCTGAAAAGCTCTCGATTAGCTCTCAGCAAAGCGAGCTGTCCAAACTTTCTGATCAATACATACCACATAGCGTATCTCGCCTGCAGACTCAACCTCGTCTCGCCCGCCCCATTGAAAGCAGCCCGCACACCATCGAGAACCGCATGGCCCGCCATCACCCCCGCCGTAAACTGCGCCTCCAAACCCTGATAATCCGCCGCGAGAACATACCATCCCTTGTCCAACGCACTGGTGACAAACACAACATCAAACGCCGACGTCGTATTCGCTCCAGCCAACCAGGCATACGACGGGCTACAATCGTTATTCGCCGAATCATAGATCGCCTGGAAGACGAGCAGTTTCTCCGGGTCCGCGTTCCGGGATGGCATCAGGAGTGTGGCGACTGCTGCTACGGGGTTGTTCAGGCTGTCCGTTGTTCGGTAGAGGTATTGCATTGCGTTTTCGACGTTGGGGGTTGGCCCGAAGGGGAGGATGCCCTGGAGGTTTGTCCCGGCCTTGCGGGAGGTGATGATTTGGCCTGGTTTGTAGGAGGAGATGTTTTCGGGTTGTCGGTAGAAGGAATCTTGGCTTGGTAGTGTGGCTGCGAAAGTAGTGCCGGCGAGAAGAAATGCGAAAAACTTCGTTGGTCTCATCATGGTGGCGACTCCAGGCGGCTACCAGATGAGAAAATGCCTTGTATCGAATGCCGTCCAGCTTTTGATATTGCTATCTCCGTCTAGGCCGTTGGCAGCAGCCTGGTGCCAAGAGTATGTGCCCTCGAATCCAGTACGGAATTATCGTCTTTCTCAAGTGAGACTCTTGCGAGGAAGTTACAGACGTCACAGGGTTGCTACAGTGTCGTCGAGGAAGTTTCGAGTTGTGTTTGTACGAACCAACAACAACGGAAATCGACGTTGTGAGCCCTCCCTCAGCAACAAGGCCGGTCGTGCGATATTCCTTCCACCATGTTGAATCGCGAACACGGAGTGTTTTGTGTAAACCTGGTGATGACGGTGGCCAGATTACGCAGCGGATCTGACTACGTTCCAGTCGTTGTTCCTTAGTCCCATGTACCGTTTGACACTCGATCTTATGCCGTTGGACCCCTGCCTGTGAGAGCTTGGCAAGGATATGCTCGGATGCCGCGGCCTCTGTGACAGAAACAGGAATATGTACCTCCTCAACTCCTCAGCAAGCGCGGTCGTTCCCATTTCAGCTTCAGCGTGCCCAAGTACTCCAACAAAGACGGAGAACAATGCATGACTCGAGAAGGGCGTTGGGAAGGGTACTCGAGTTGAGATTCTCACGTGCATCATCTGTATTATGCCGTCCAACCCCCTTCTTCTAGATTCAATCAAGCGTACTCTTCACCCGGGGCTTCCATCATCTCTCGATTCCCGCAGGGTAGTTCCAACCATTCCGTCTATAATTGGTAAGGGCCCATGTATCGGTAACACCTTGATCACCCCCCTGAGACCTATAGCTGCCTGCAAGACTCCACATGGCCCAGCTCTTAATCGTAAAATTTCACGCACAGCCTTGTGGCGTATCATTGACAAAAAGCGTCGCATCCTGCAAGGAACCGAATTCGCTGAGATTGACCAGAGTCTAGCGAACGCCAGTGGGACAGCCGTGCGTGAAGTTACAAGGAGCGGGTTTTGACATTCCGAGAGCGTTGAAGCCGTAATGATAGAGTTCTGCTTCGATGATGGGACAGTTGCCAGTGTCCAGATCCTCCGCCATGGAGTATGAATGCAATTCGTACACGACCTTGTTGGACCATGCGTGGGATACAAGGTCAAAGTCCTGAGCAGGTCGACGGTGGCCGTCACGGATGGCATCGCACTTTTAGAGGGGCGCTGGGTTGAGATTGAGGCCAGAGGTTCTGCCGAATATGTTAGCATGATTGCAAAGTTGAGCCCCAAGGGAAATGGAGAAACTTACAGGACAGACAGATCTTGGGCAGACTGCATGCCAGACCCAGTGACCAGAATGTTGGGGTTTGCGAAGTGCATGGCATCCGTAGCAACGGTATAGTTTCCAACGAGCGAGATCCAATTGTACCCGATGGTAGAGGTGTGATCATCTTCGTCGATAGCTCTCCGCAGTTCATTACTCAGAGACATTGGGACGACGTTTGGGTGCGATTGAGCCCAGGTGGCGATGACCGTCTTTTCGCAACACCATTGCGCCTTGCCACCATGGAAACCTGGATGTATGTAAATGTTGCGGGCGGCGGCGGCGTCCGCAATACAGTCCCAAATTTCAAATCGAGCGGTGTCCTTATTCCTATCCGGAATTCTTCGTCATAATTTCATTCGCAACCTTGGCACTGTCACCTCCAAAAGGCTTCCTGGACCTTCCCGTTGAAAATACCCAGTCCGTCGATCATAGCGACTTCAAGCGGCACATCAGCCCCGTTTCGCTTATAGATCTGATCAATCATCTCAATCGCATACGTCAACCGAATGAAGCCGACACTCTTGACTCGACCATAACGTCCTCTACGGACTCCCATTCGAAGCCTTGGGATATCATCGTCTCGCCGCTGCCAGGCCAATTGACTGCAGCCCAGGTAACAAATTCGCTTCTGAAGTTTACAGTGTCCATTACGCGCGTACTGAACGGTCCATACGGCCATTGAGAAGGGCCACCCGTATGGCATAGTTGATGTTGGAGGCCTCGCCAGGTAATGTCCAAGCACTGGTGGTGAGCGGCTACCGGAGGAAGGCTGTCAAGACCGGAACGGCGTGCTGGAAGGACAGAATTGTGGCCAATATTACTGCCATGTTTGAATGTTGCACAGAGCATGGTGGTCTGAAATGTCGAAGAGTGAAGTCGGCCACACATCGGAGTGTAAATGTTCTTCCGTAGCGGCCGAGTATCCTAGCTCAAACGGGGGTCGGAGCGAATCACACGATACAGTCCAGCGGGAAGCCTCAGTGTGTCTTATACTCCGAGGTGCGAGGACGCTGTATACGAAAGGTGGCCGGAGTCCGGATAAGTGTCCGCGCCTGCTAAAGTTGTCATGAACCTTTGATGAAGATTTCATGAGGGTTTAAACGTCCCATCAGTCGACTCGTTCTCTTGCATATCGTTCTTCCTAGAGCGCGACGGCCTTCGCAGCCCTCATTTTGATGCCTTCCCAGCTATTCAGCTTGGGCCTGACGTCCAAGTAGAAGCTCAAGGGTCCTCCGGGCTTGCCAGGCGTCTCTTTGCCCTTGTAGAAATCAATCACATATTCCACCTTCGTTCCGCAGCGATCAATTACCCAGTCATGGCGATCGAACGGCTCCGTATATCCCATCATACTCTTCCATCTTGCTCTTGGTGTCAAGGCTTTCGAATCTCCTGCGAAGCTCACCAGCTTCGGCCCACCACATCTTTCTCCGCCCCAACCTCTCTCCCAGACTTTGATCTCGCTCCAAGCTCGCTCATTGACGGCATTGTGAATGGGAACAATGCTCTGCATGTCTGATGGGTCGGCTGAGTGTCCTTTCCTCTGCATTGCGTTGAAGAACATTTCTTGGGAAGGATAGATCCAGTTACCGCTATCTCTGTCATGGCCGGTATCTTTCTCGTTATTTGCTGGGAGGGCAGCGCGTTCGGCAGAGTTGAGATCTGATGGTGAAATGGTGACAGCACGAGGTATTGAGGATATTTCGCGGTCTTGGGAGAGGGTATACATCTTCGGTCTTTTGGGCTGGGAAGCTGGAGATAGCGATGGAATGCTCTGTATAGGTTCCCATCTTCCGCCATCAAGAGACCATCGAGATGGTTGTATGGGTGTCGATGACGAGGCGATTGGAGGATGCGAAGGTGTTGGTTGCTGCTGGCCTTTTGCTTTGGCAGCCTCTAGCCATTTTTCGCGTGTCTTGTGGTCGACGGGGCATTTTGCTTCTGGATCAGCGTCTTCGGGAGGCATTCTTGCTGCGGAACGTGGTGCAGGAGATGGTGGATACGGGATGGAAAAAGATTCGGGATCGGCATGTGAAGGAAGCTTTGCGGCTCTGATCCCTGCAGCATCCCCGAAGATCGCCGCCACGTAACATCATTCTGCTATAATACCAAGATTATGATAACGGTATAGGGCAAGCCCTCTAAAAAGCGTATCTTATTCAGAGCGTTCACTTTACTCTCGGGGAGATCAAGTGGAATCTCAGACAGGATGAGCTGGTCCAGAATTACAGCTCTCCGATTGGCTACAGAAGCGAGACCCTGAACACTTTCGTACTATCCGAAAGCAGAAGGATGTTTTGACATGGTACCATCAGTTCACGCTGTTTCTCCTCTGTCCAAAGTTCCACGCCAATACTCCACGAACAACACAACAGTCACCAGGAGACTCAGCAACGATGGCCGAGATATACCGTGGATCAACATTCGCTCCCGTCAACATTGCCGTTATCAAGTACTGGGGTAAACGCGACGTGAAGTTGAATCTGCCCACCAACGGCTCCATCTCCGTCACTCTGTCACAGGACGATCTGCGAACGCATACTACCGCCTCATGCTCTACAGACTACACGAAGGACGCCCTGATCCTGAATGATGAGGATCAGGACATCTCCAGCGCCAGAACGCAGGCATGTCTCGCCGAACTTCGCAAGCTACGCTCGGATCTTGAGTCCCAAGACCCTTCCCTCCCGAAGCTTTCCTCTATGCACCTCAAGATTGTGAGCAAGAACAACTTTCCTACTGCAGCGGGCTTGGCGTCCAGCGCCGCGGGTTTCGCTGCGTTGGTGGTTGCGATTGCGAGGCTGTACGCTCTGGACACCGTGATGAGCATGTCGAATCTGTCCAGGATTGCAAGACAGGGCAGTGGGAGTGCATGCAGAAGTGTGCTCGGAGGATATGTGGGATGGCATAAGGGAGAAAAAGAGGATGGGAGTGACAGTGTGGCATACGAGGTCGCGAGTGCTAGCCACTGGCCGGAGATGAGGGCTGTGATATTGGTTGCCAGTGACAAAAAGAAGGTATGCAATACTCCGCATCTAGCGCCGGACCAACATCACGAGAGACTTTACATTTCACGGGTTCGAGAGAAGAACACGTCATACTAACATTCGGCACTCCAGGACGTTTCATCCACAGCTGGAATGCAGCAGACGGTTGCCTCTTCGACATTATTTCAACACCGCATCGCCGATGTGGTGCCAAAGCGCATGAAGGCAATGGAGAAGGCAATTCACGCCCGCGACTTCGAAGCCTTTGCAACCCTCACGACGAAGGACTCGAACAATTTCCACGCATGTTGCCTGGATACTCAACCTCCCATCTTCTACATGAACGACACGAGCAGAGCTGCCGTGAGAATATGCGAGGCAATCAACGCGACTCAGGAGGACAAATCGGTGTGCGCGTACACTTTCGATGCAGGCCCGAATGCCGTTGTGTACTACCTCGCAGAGAACGAGCATTTGGTTGCTGGTACTTTCAAGACCATATTGGGCAATGTCACAGGTACGCTATCCATTTGCTGGTCATCAAAGCGTGTTCTTGTCCTTGAACGGCACCTAACAATGATCACTAGGCTGGGAGGGCCCTCGTGGCTCTGCAATCAACACCAACGCTTCGTCTGGGCTGCCGGCTGGATCGGAGACCGCCGCAGAACTCTTGAAGAAGGGCGTCTCCCGGGTGATTCTCACCAGCGTCGGCGACGGCCCGAGAAAGACAGACGAGCATCTTGTTTAGACGCGTCCCGGATCGTAAAGTGGCGCGGGGTGGAAGGCGTACGGTCAAGGACGCACACGCGTATGAGAACAGCTAGATATGAGTTCACGTATGAACGACACTTCAAGCACAAGGTCGCTGAATCAATTCTCTGTACTACTATAGGTCGAAATGCAAGCCAGAAAACGGAATCAGTTGACGGCTGGAATCTATGTGGGAGTATCGTCCGCCGTCTCAAACTTGGCGAGGGCGATTGTGCGCTTCCACAACGATGTTTTCCCTCGGGTTAGAGTTCTCTATGCTTTCTACGTGAATTCGTGGTCGCGTGCTGGTCTTCCTCATTGTAATTGTATTTCCGACCTGCAGAACGCTTCAAGTTCTTAGGTAGCTGCGAGGGGCGGACCCATCACGTATACAATAAGCGGGAGGAGGGCAAGGCTGCCACCCCATAGCCCATGGACAACACATACAAATGACCAGAAAATTTCCCCAAGACGTATCAACCATGATGGCGCTTCCATGAATTTTCCCAATGAAAGCCACGAACGGCAAAATCGTCGCTTGAGGCAGCATCGGTCTCGGTACCTGGGCCGCATGCGATACCTCCGAAGCAAAAAGATAGCATCCTCTACGCCGCCCTAAAACTGGGCTACCGCCACATCGACGGAGCATAGATGTAACAGGCGTTGATTCGAGGCTGACCGAACGGTATCATGCCTCACATCACGACGTGGACATCGAGCGTCGTAACTTGTAAGACAGTCTTTCGTGTGGTACGGGTGTATTGAGGAACGACTTTTGGTCTTACCAACTTTACGCGTTCTGATTGGCTCCATCTTCATCTTCAGTATCATAGGGGGCCGACCGAGCACGCGCTGCTTGCTTGCGCAGGTTCCCGAATTCCAGATCTACTGATGAGCGGCGCCCGTCTCGAGCAACCATTTGAAACCTTGCAGTGTGTCTTTGACGAAATCCTTGCTGCGTTCGAGGAGCGGCCAGTTGGTCCAGAACATATGGCCATACCCATCGTATCTGTGCGAAAAAGTCAAGAAAAACAAACAATTATTATAACGGCGGCCGTAATTCAACCAGGAGGGGGGTAACTCACACGTCAATCTTTGTTGGAACCCCGTTCTCTCTCAACACGCGCTCCCAGATCAAAGCTTCGTCTCGTAACGGATCCAGTCCGCCAACTTGCAGGTAACATGGCGGCAGATCTTTGAGATTCGGGTGCAGGAGTGGGTTCATGATGGGATCGTCGACGCCCTTCCCGGCAGGACTCGGGGGTAGTTTGTCGGCAAACAAGCTGCGAAATATGGGGTCGTCGACGCATTCCATGCGACTGCGGTATTCTGATTTGAACTTTTCGGGCACGACGTCGTGCCAGAGGAGGACGGGGAAGCCGAGGTACTGGCCTGTTAGTGGTGGATTGAGGCCGTTGTCGCGGCCGAGCTGGCACATGACTGCGGACAGATGGCCACCGGCGGAGGCTCCCCCTACGATGAAGCCTTTAGCCGGGTCTCCGGGGAAGATGGAATTGGAGGGAGATGCGTTCTTTGCGACCCATTGTACGACGTCGTAGCTGTACAAGATGAGTTGGACGGTCAGAGCAAGCTGGTGCACTGGAGACCTCTTACCAATCATCCACCGGTGTAGGCCACGGATGTTCCGGAAGGAGTCTGTAGTCGACGTTGATGCAGACCATTCCTAGATCTCGTGAGGCCGCGCGGCAGTTCAAGTCTTCGTCGGTGAGGTCACCCATAGCCCAGCCTCCTTCGTGTAGAGCTACGAGGACTGGCGAGCCATTCTTGGGCAGGCTGACGGGCTTGTAGATCTTGACTGGTATCTTGAAGCCATCTCTAGCCTCCACGTGGTGGTTTGTCTCGGAGACGTGCTCCAGGATGGGTCCGGGGATGGGATAGAGATGGCGGCGTTTTGTCAGATGCTCGAAGCGCCGCTGTCTGTGCTGGTCATCGCGATGCATCTCCAGTGCAGGGAACGTCTTGAGCTCCTACATTCGGCGTCCGTTAGAGGGCAGAGACGCACAGGACATACGTGGACTCATACCTCGGCGAGTAGCGGGTTCATGGTACCCATACGCTTGCGGTCTTGCTCGGTGATGGCCATGGCTACAAGTCGATATCTGGAACGCTCGTTGAGGTGTCAAAGGCGACGACCTATCATAGTAGTAGCAAAGGTGATGTGAGATGAAGCTCAAGGTTATGTCTCTACCCGATGTGATGTGGAGACAAACAGTAAGCTCCTCCTGCAGCAAGGGATCCCATGATCCAGTGCGAGGATGTGTCTGACATAAGCTTTGCGTCTTGTATGAGCTCCAATGCAGTCAGTGCCAGAAGTCAGTCCCAATCAAGTCTCTGACAGGTAGATGTAGAGAAGAGAGAAGAGAGAGAGTGATAGACGATTGATCGTCCCGGATAAACCTTTGTCCGAGTTCCGGAACGATTACCGGGTACTTCGGCTACCCATTGACAGAACGGACGGCAACGGATACTTCCGCCTCGATTGGCATCCCGTGCAACATCTGGTGGTCTACAACTATGCCCATTTGCACATCTGAAGTCAGTACATGAGGCGGCTGGAGCAATTCCCACAAGCGGGCGCGAATAGTATCCATATCACTGAGCCACTACCGTCTGCCTACGAGATACAGAACAAGTATAATTGGGGAGATGCGATCAACACACCTTACTGGCTGCAGACCTACACAGATTTCAACATGGACATGTACAATGGCTACGCCGAATGGCTGCAGAAGGTATCCTGGCTCAACGACCGTATCGGAGAGCTTTCGCTGGAGACTCTTGGTGGTATGGTTGTCTCGAACTAGCAGAAGAATGCTTCTACTGGTGCTCTAGGAGGCGCGTACCTCGGGGAGAGCGGACAGGACGATTTCGTCGCTACAGCTGGCAAAATGGAAGCCCGGTACCGCAAGGTATGGTATTGGAGACTCAGCCGCTCGCAAGCTTGCATCAACGGACGGCACTGCTGTACAGTTCGACGCCGTTCCAGTCTCTAACTCCGGTGGCGGCTCGGACATCGCCAAGCAGTATGAGTATCCTGCATGTAGCTCAGTATCCCGACAACACAGTCCCGGTTGGCTTCGATCCTGACAGTACGCCGGTCGATTTTGGTATTTGGGGCAGGGCGTATTCTGAACACAAGTTGGTGAAATGGGCTCCTGCTATGGAAGATGCCTTCAAATTCAACCGGATTATGAGCTGCACTTCTACAATCATAACACCACGAAGATGCCGTTTGACAAGAGATGGGTAAGTATGAGTCCATTCAATTATGTTGCTGGTGCATTTGAGGCTGTCCAGATGCTTCAGCCTGGCTATAATTGCACCGAGGAATCGCTTGGCCGTTTGAGATGCTCTGCGACTTGATTGCTTTACCAGTCTATCGACTCATGGCTTCGCAGGCGCCGCTTTGTACACAACCTTCCCTTTCAGTGGCATTTTATGATTGGATGTGATGGATCCCCACGCGGAACACTAACCGTTTTGCAGTTGGGAAAGTCTTGGACAAGGTTGTTATATCATGCAAGGCCCCCGCGGAGCCGCATCATTGTGATCAATGATCGACGAATTTTGCAGCGTCTTCCTAAGATTTCGGGGTTTTATTCTTCTTCCTACACCTGCACTCTCAGGTTCTAACAACAATCCGCGAGGTGGAAATGATCTTTACCTACACTTCCCTGGCGGCTGGCTTCGTCAGTCTGGCTGTTGCACAACAAGTGCCGAACATCACGTATGACTATGTGATTGCCGGAGCTGGGACCGCAGGCCTTCTACTCGGCGTGATTCTTTCGGAGAATCCCAATGTGACTGTAGCCATCCTTGAAGCCGGCAGCGATGGAAGATCGAACCCCAACATCACCAATCCGCAGCGTAGAGGTACTATCCAGATGACAGAATATGACTGGGCTTTCTCCTCAACGCCACAACCAGGCTTGTACGACAATGGCACCGGAGGCATCCAGCCTGTTCCAAGAGGCAAAACTCCCGGCGGTACTTCCGCTATGAACTGGATGATCCACAATACCGATTCGCGGGTCCAGCTGGATATCTGGGAGAGCATCCTCGGTTTAACGGGATGGAACTGGGATACGCTTTCTACTGCTTTCAGGGAAAGCGAGACCATGTACGCCCCCCCGGCGAACATGAGCAAGTACTTCAAATACGATGCTTCCGTCCATGGAGGAAACGGATATATCCAATCGGCTTTTCAGAGGAGTGTTCTAAGCTTGTTTCCGGATTACTTGGAACCTACGTTGCTGAATGCTGGATACCAGATTCCTCCTGATCGGAATGATGGCAATGCTGTTGGTGCCGGTTTCTTGCCTTTGGCTCTTCAACCGAGTGATTATACGAGATCTTATGCCGGGTCGGTTTACACCGGTGTACAACGAAACCGGTCGAATCTGCACATGGAAACCAACGCGCAAGTTACTGGGATCGATTGGGGTAGCACGACTGGTAATGTCACCGCTTCAGGACTCCGATATATCAACACCGGCGGTAACCGCTCAAACACTACGCAACACATCCGCGGTCGAGAGATCATCCTCTCAGCCGGCTGCATCCAATCCTCCCAAATTTTGGAACTCAGCGGCGTCGGCAACCCGGCGATTCTGGACCCGCTCGGTATCAAATCCATCGTCAACCTCACCAATGTCGGCGAGGGACTCCGCGATCCTCCCATGATGAACTACCTGCCCATCTCTTTCGGTGTCAACAGCACCACGACTTTCACCGGAGCAGAATATATCCAGAATTTCATTCAATTGGAAAGCGCAAAAGATATGCTCTCCCCGGCAGATTACGCGGCGGCGAGCTCCTGGTTGAATTCGACGGAGAGGATTGAAGGCGTGAGGGATGCGCAGTTGAAGGTTTTCAAGAATTTGTGGTTTGGGGAACAGCCTTTGATTGAGATGGCTTGGCAGTTTGCTTTTCAGAATGTGAGTGTTTTTTCCTTCTCCTTTCTTCTTCCTCACTGATAGTGATGCTCCCCTTCTTTGCTTTATGCGGAATTTCTGACTTGTCATAGGTTACTCCGTATAATCTTATCCCTCTCAGTCAAGGCTCCGTGCATATCAACAGTTCGGATCCTCTGGCTATGCCGGCCATCGATCCAAATTACAACAGGATCAACGCGACGATCAACGGTACCAGTGTCCCGTGGGATATGTGGTTCTTAGCCAAAGCAGCGCAGAATTACCAAACGAAGGTGATATCTTCCTTCTTCTTCTCCTTCTCCTTCTCCTCGTCTTCCTCTCTCGACTGACCACTCATAGCTCGCAACTACATCTCCAATGAAGAATCTCATCACCTGGTCCGATCCACCCTACAACCTCCCCTTCGAAGACTACTATCCTCACATCTTCAACCGCACCGGTTCATCCCAACACTTAACCGGCGGCAACCCCATGCTCCCTCAAACCGAAGGCGGCGTGGTGGACACGAACCTCCTAGTCTACGGGACGCAGAATGTCAGAATCGTCGACGGGTCCGTCTTTCCCTATCAGCCTTCCGCACACCCGATGGGCTTGACGTATGCGCTTGCTGTTATGGCTGCAAGGATTCTGGAACGGAGACCGGGTGCGGGTGGCTTGACGGAGACGGAAGTGTTGCCTGCGAGTAATAGTAGTGCGAATGCTACTGCTAGTTGGGGCGGCGGGACGGCTATGGTGCCCGCGGCGACGCCTGGGAGTCGCGCGCCGGAGGGCGCGAGTTCGGTTGGTGGGGCGAGTGCGAGTGCTACTGGGGCGGGAGCAAGTGCGACTGCGAGCGCGAGTGCTGGTGCAATTGGCCAGGCGACTTCTGTTGCGAGTTCGATCGAGATGACTGGCGTGCTTGCAGCTATCTGCATGATGGTCTTAGTGAGCGGTTTGATGGCTTTGTAGTTATGCTACGGGGTGAGAATAGGCAAGGCCTTCGTTTGCTTGCACAATGCATTTGAAATGATTGCTCTCAAATGGAGGCTTTGGGGCCGAGCGTCTGCGAAGAGAGCATGGGTTTTGTGCCCGGGTATACGCTGGCGACTCGGGCCTCCTCGCCACTACGACACGTCGAATTTTGAGAAATTTAAGTAGATGAATAAGTAGGCAAGTTTTTCTAGTTTGTGATCTCTCACATTGGGAGGTAGCTAGCGAGGTGTACACAGACCCAGAACTATCATCTGATCGCGACGTCCGTGCACTTCTTGGCATCGGCTTCGCTTAAATTCGAAGCTGCACGGGCAGAACTTCCAATCCACGACATCAACAAACCAAACTTCGCGCACGCAACTCCTCAATCGCACCCTCCTGCGCAACACCGAATCAACCCTGAATCTGCGCCGCCATTGATCGCCGCACTCGAAGTTGCAATCCGCGGGGTGAGCTGTCGCGGCGACGGCCAGACAGCCGAGTCTGCTCACTTCTCGACATCTGCATCTCTTCCACATCCGCTGCCCGACCATGGACGACTCGCCTCTCAGCCGCCTCTCTGGCGAACTGCGGAACAAGATCTACGAATACGCCCTTTACGAGCCCGCCGGTATCCCGGTGCATGTCAGCCCACCCGCCAGCAAGGAGCGCCGCACTTCCTACGAGGTTCTCTTGAACCGGATCAACAAACCTGCACAGCCCCACAAGAGTCCACTGTGCGGTCTCCCACAGACCTGTCGCGCGCTCCGCCAGGAGACTCTGAAGCTCTGCTTCTCGTTGAACAAAGTCGTGGTGTACACGAAGCTTCTCGACAAGCAAACGTACTACGTCAACTATACGAACTACTGCATGCATCAGCTGTCCAAATGGGCAGCGCTGGTCGGCGGAGAGCAGCGAGATGAAGTAAAAGAAATTGTCATCCACTGTGGCACCGCTACAGAATCAGTCGCAGAAGTCGAGGAGATTCCATGCGAGCCCATCAGCATATCAACTTTCGAAAGGATGCTCGTCTTCGACAGGAGATGGGATGCATGCTACCAATTCTTGGAGATCAAGAAGAAGATGGCGGCGTTCTGGGACTGGAGGTCACTTCTGGCCATGCTTCGGAGCCTGTTTCATAACTACGACAACATAAAAGTGCAGGTCAGGCTGTCTGTACTGCTCTGGAACTCTTGGATGCACGTAGGGATCAAGAGAGGAGAGATTGAGTTGCCTGCAGAGCAATCTCTGGGTCGAATGAAGTTCGTTGAAGCGGGTCTTGTGAAACTTGCACCTCAGCACAGCCGGATTTACGACCTGATGCACCGCCCTATCCTCACACTGCTCGCGGGACTTCCCTCGGAAGTCGAGATAAGGGACTAAAGAGAGGGCTTCGATGGTACCAGATCGACGGGTGGACCCCCAACGGCTTCGATAGAGCAGTAGACGGGTCTGTCCTGACCTTGCGAAAGCGGGAATTTCTTTTGGGAACACAAGCTGGTCGGATTAGTAGAGGAGTCAAGGAGGCAAAGGCAGGATGGATCAAGAGCGGACTGAAAACGACAACTTTGAATTAAGACGCCCGGGATGCACGGATTCGCACGGGCAGACAGAAAACTCATAAACAATACTTCTGTAGCCGCACTTAAGGCGCATGCTTCATTCGACAGGGTTCCCCATAAGATGAGTAGTGCCTTGCGATCGAACCAAAACTTCGATACACTCGAGATCACTACAGGTGAACAATAGCATTCTACAGGCACCGCAGTATCATCATAGCGGAGTGACTTGTATTCCAATTAAGTCAAGCTCTCCAGGTTTCCGTGAACGTGACATGTGACGTGTAAGTCCGTGCGCAACGCCCCACTTAAGCTTGGCCCGCGCGTTTTCCAGCCGTAAACAAACATCAACTGCAAAATTCTGAACACCAACACACGACTCACACGACGCAATCTGCATCGGGGTGCAGTACCGTCATCATGGATGAGTCCCCCCTCGCAAAGCTCTCCGGCGAACTGCGCAACCAAATCTACGAGCTCGTCCTGTACGAACCGACTGGCATCCCTCTCTACGCCGGCCCTTTCAAGACTCGGCCGACAGACTACGAGCTGATGGTGCGGCATCTCAACAAGCCCGCCACTCCACCAAACAACCCGCTCCGAGGCCTGCCGCAGACTTGCAAAGCCATTCGCCACGAGACGTTACTGCTTTGCTTCGCCCTCAACAAGGTTACCATCTACGCCAAGATTCTGGACGCGAATCACAAGGTCAATCTCACGCGGTATTATACCTCCACTCTAGCGCGATGGGCGCGTCTGGTTGGGCGGCAGCAGTGCGCGCAGGTGAAAGACGTGGTGTTTGACTGTGGCACGGCGACGAATATGATCGAGTACGAGAAGGAGAAGTATTTTGGTAGTAGTCCATATGTCGGGCTTCTGCGCGATGATAATTTTGAAGATCACGGTTCCCGGGAGATGACTGCTTCGTTAAGCGAGCATTTGGGTCTGGACATCGACATCATCAAGCGCGCGCGTTGGCATCGCTTCGACGAGGTGGACAAGTTCAAGGTTCTGGACTGGGATCTCCTGTATCCTCGACTCGAATCTTATTTTCCGAGTCTGCAGGCTTTCGACATCAAATTCCATGTTACCGTCATCAGCAATTCCTCGACAAGGCCAGAAGAATTACTCATCCACAATAAGCACTGGAATTGGGCATGGGGCTCAGACACTGACGCGTTTCTGCGGCTGATCGAATCTTTCTTCAGCACCTTGGAGAATCTGTCCTATCCGATGAACCGATACGTGCAAAGACTGAGCGATCATGTGGAGATGGAGAATTCGGTGTATGACTTCTTGGCCGACATTTATACATATACATAGAGCCCGAGGAAACTGCTCAAAGTCAACAATTGCGGTCTCGATGGTCTGTCACGGAGACGTAGAGCGAGGCACAGGGAACACGTGCTTTCAGCATGGGTGACTACCACGGAACTTGAAGGATGACGAAATGCCGCAATGCGTGTAGGTGAGCTGCATTACGGCTGTAACTTGCCTTAGATACTCAGAATGGCAACAGCGTAATATCACGAGTCATCTTTGACGACGCTACTTAGACTAATCCTTCCTTCTTCTGCTCCTCCATCCTCATTCTCAATCGCTTGCCTAGGCTCCAAGACCCCCTTCAACCCCATCCAAGGCGTATTAATCGGTGATGGTCCAGTGAAGATACCAATTTCGTACGACGTCCCTCCAAACAGGCATTCAGAAAACGTTGCCACCATTGGTATCCAGAGATAAAAATCTCCAGCACTCCAATCCTCTTGATACCCCACCGCAAGACGCATAAGTCTCGGCCCAAAATCTCTCGCCAGATTGATCGCATACTCCGTATTCCATCCAAAACACACTCGGCGCCCAAAGATCAGTCAGAACAATTATAAGAGAAACCAGGATCCAGAAGCGGAGAAAATCCCAAGGCTATGGTTAGGTCTGATTGCGGGTATGTGCAAAAGATTGCGCCCGTGGCCTTTGGAGCGGATGGTGCGGTTTGGGTATCAGAGCCGGCTTCGAAGGTATTGATGCCGTTGGTGTAGGGTGCGTAAACGACTCCTCAACCGACGAAACCACCGAGGATTTGAGCGAGGAAGTAACTCCTAGTCACCCGACGCAGTGGTATTCGATGAATCCATCATGCGTGGTGCGGTGGAGTTGGCAAAGACATCCTTGCAAAAACAAGGGATCGGTGGTTACAGTGGGCTCTTTGTACTGAGGTTTCTCGTTGTTCAGGTCATCCACAATGAGGCAAGTCGGTGTAAGCGAGCAGCGAAAAGAACGCCGCCTCTTCATTGTGATGTACAGTCGAGGCATCCGTTGTAAGAGCCGTTTCGTGGTACAATTGCGTGAAGTGTTATCACTTCGAGCCGCAGCTGGGCCCACATCTAGACCCTCTTCTCCACGGGGAAGTCCTTGGGGTACAGCGCGGAGGTGGACCTCAGTAGTGTTCCGGAGGAACTACACCTCAAGCTGCACCATCAAGAAAATCGTAAAACGACCGAACTATTGTTGTCGTCGGTGCACGAGGAGTGAAAGGGACCGGATAAAGTTGGAAAGGAAGGGCGCCTGTAGACAGAATATTTTCGATTGCTTTCTTGGTATCATGCACGCACATCACAAACTCGTAATCCTCAAGACCGTGCAGGGTCTCATCCGGCTAATTATACCGCGTTCTCCGCTGTCGCTTGCCGTTCAAATGAGGCTCTTCGCCGCCGACCTCTTCCATTTCAGGCCGTGATGGAGACGACTGCGTCGGCTGTGGCCAATGCACACCCAGCGGAGGAGGGGGAGGCTTCTGTATGGCCTCCTTAGCCTCCCGAGTATCCTTCTTCGTCAATCCCAAAGCACCAGCGTACTCCTGAAACGCAAGCAAGATCTCTTCTAAGCTGGCTTTGAGGACGTCCATGACCTGTGAGAATTCTTTCTTCTCTGGCGTGAAGCGAGCGATGCGTCCGGTGCGGACGAAGCGCTGTGCGACGTCTGCTACAGCTTCTGGATTTTCAATGGTCTGTAAGGTCCACGGGTCATAGACGGTACGGTCAATCGCTTCGTTGAAATTGACGTCTGTCCAGTGTGGCTTGAGTTCCTTCACAAACATTTCGATGTCCTTGATGGTCGTCGTGAAAGTGCGAATGATCTTGACAACATCCTTCTGCACTTGGCCGAAATTGTCCTCCTTCAGCGAACAGACGCAGAGCTTGGCCAGGGACTTGGCAGCGTGTATGATGTTCGCTTGATTGCTGGTCGGAGAATCCAACACAACCGAAGCGACATTCCGAGCAAAGGTCTGGCGGAACGGCTCACCAGTGGGTGTCTTTAGAAACTGTCCGACGATTCCAGTAGCCTCTGCTTGTAGATATCCGGGCGTGAGATATTGCTGCTGGTGGGGAGTGAGTGTTTCCTTTGCCGCCCACTGCAGATACTTCTTGGCTCGCGGAGAGACAGGGTCCTGTGAATTGGGAGACATTCCAATAGACTTGGCCCAGTTGTTGACCGCATTGGCAAGATCTGGCTTCTGCTTGGCGAATACGTCCGCGTCATTGTTGACAGTCCGATCTGCGATTCTCTTCAGCCCCGTCTCTTCTTCGGGCTGGTGTGCAATCAGGTGTTGATGGTGCTGCTTCTGAGCTTCCATCTCGGCCAACTTCTTCTTGTACTCGGGGCCTTCCTGAGCTGTCTTTACGCGGTCCGAAATAGCACTAATTTCCTTCAAAGTAAGCTCACAGATTTTGCTCCATGTGCTGCCGTCCTTTCGGTCAACTTCGGAATACAACGTCTTTCTCCGCATCTCAAACTGCTCGCAGATGATGAACAGCTCCCAGAATGCGAAGGTCTTCGGCAAATCCTTCTTCGCTTTGAGGCCGCTCAGGAGACTGCCATTGGGATCGGCGCTCTTGTGTAGAATAACGCCTTGTGAATCTTTGATCTCGCTGGTCAATGGGTTTTCTTTCCTCAGTGGTGGTTGGGCCACGCTTGTGCTGAACACAACGTTCGAGGCCTCCCAGAGTAGCAGCATCAAGAAGGGCGCAAAAAGCGCCTGTGGCAAGATTTTCCAGAAGTGCGAGATGCCAGTCGGGCCGGCTCCCTCTGGCAGATTGCTAAACCATGTCCGAGCAAATGCGTAGGTCCAGCCCCAGACACGATGGCGTACGAACCCGAAATAGAGGATCAGGTTCAAGAAGTGAGCGTAACAAAGTGCGTTGCATGTTCGGCCAAGAATTTGTCCAGAGTGAAGAGCGAGCGCGCGGAAGGGCCGTGGAAGCCTGCTCAGTGTTGTTGCAGACACTCCGGCTATGCGGATCAACCAGCTCTTACTCATGTCCTGCTTCTCGTCTCCCATCGGAATTCGTATCTGATCGTAGTCGCGGAGCAGATGAAGGAAAACTTGCACCACTCCAGTAACCACGAACAAGGCTCGTAGGAAGATGGGATTCTCATTGAGTCTCGGACGCTCGTATGCTCTTCCCGGATCCACCATACCAAGCTCCGCAGTCTCATTTCTCGACCAAATGTACACCTCTCCAAACCACCAAGCGCTGAAGATGTACCACACGGCTGTCGTAATGACCTTGCCTCCGCTCAACTTCTTCAATGTCTCTTGCGCAGCACTCGGCGCTATTCTCTGACCAATATGCATGTTTGCGACTCGCACGATGAATACGGCCAAGCATGATATACTGAGGAGAAGCGCGCGTAGCCCGGCGGAACCAAGAGGGAACCATGACCAGATGAGATGGCGTGTGTTGGAGAGTTGCCAAGCTTCGAAGATGCAGACGAGGAAGACGACTCCCGCAGTTGTAGTGAAGCGACGATGTAGCGCGGGTGTGAGAAAGTCTTTGTATGCGCGTATTCGCGTGGTTGGAGGAGACGCTGTGGAAGGCTTCGCGGCGAACATGTGTTGGGTGGTGATTGTTTGCGTCGCCATAGTCGCGGGTGTGCTGTAGAGGAAGGAGTGTGTGGCTTGAGATTATCTCATGATGGTCGGCCGTGATCGAGGAGAGTGTGGTGTTGTACCGTTGTGAAATAGTATTGGCTCGGTGCAATTCGTGTTTCGTGTATAGGGCGTTGTCTGGGTGCGAGATGTTCACGAAGTCAGGTGTAAACAGAAACATCTTATTACTAATCAGCCCTACGGAATGGCACGCGGACGTCATGTGGCCAGGCACCGCGGGGGCAACTTCAGTTCCTCCCACCTTCTTCTACTGACATCCACCAATACCACCAACACCATCTTCTCTGGTATACGAAAACCTCGATAACCATGTCCTTCAACGATGCGCCTCGGCTGGAGTCACAGCCCACAACAATGCGACGGCAAGATGACCCGCAGTACGCCGACGATCCCGAATTCCAGCGATACACCGTGCAACTCAGCGATAAGCTCTTCTCCCTCACATCCAACATCTCCAAGCTCTCCAGCCAAGTCGCCACGCTTGGGACAAGACGGGAGACAGAACGTGTCCGGGAGCGGGTGCAAGATTTGCTGCAAGAAACAGGCGATGGCTTCAAGGAAGTCGGAGAGGGATTGAAGAAAGTCCAGAACTGGCATGATATGGGTCCCAGCCAGAAATACACCGCTGGCAAGCTGGGTCAGGAGTTCAGGGCGAGCTTGACGGAATTCCAATCTCTTCAGCGCCAGGCTTTGGAGAAACAACGCGCAAGCGCATCCGCGGCGCGTACAGCAATCGATCAAGAAGGCGTTAATTCACCTGGCGTAGGCGGCCAACAACAGCAATTTCAGCAACAAGAACAGCTTCGTCTCGCGGATCAATCGGATGTAGACTTCCAGGAGAACCTCATCATCGAGCGCGAGTCGGAAATTCAAAATATCGAACAGTCTGTTTCGGAACTGAATGAACTTTTCCGCGATGTGGCTACGATGGTACACGATCAGGGACAGCAGCTGGATACGATTGATGCGAACGTCATGCAGACGAGGGATGATACAAGGAATGCGGATAGTCAGCTGAGGACCGCCAGTCGGCATCAGAAGAGCGCGAGGGGGAAGGCCTGTTGTCTATTGATAATCTTGGCAATTGTGTTGGCGCTTATAATTGTCGCAGCGGTCCTGGGTTGAGACCATGCGTATGAAGTTTGGGTGTACAGCGGGCGTTCCTGTTCCTCGATGGCGGCGAGGATTTTTTTCCCAATATTGTACGGCATTGACAGCGAACATTGGCATGTTGATACAGTATCCCAGAGCGTAATTTAAACATGTTCCGATGGCGGCTCACTTTGTCGTGAGACATATCCGCTATCACGTGCTCCGGCTGGACAACATGAATTTCACATGCGCCGCACGAACCTGCCATGGCTCACCGCCCTCCTTTCCTTCGACAATAGCAACACATAACAATAACAACCTACCACAAACTGCACATATCCATACCCCAATGTACCCGAGAGACTCAACCACAGAGCAGCAATGGGGCTCTCGGTCGACTAGTACGTTCCCAATCCCCTGCCTGAAACCCCACTGCCTTCTAACATATCGTCAGCAACACCCGACCGGGCAGCTCTTTCGCATCACTCGTGATTGGAGACGCTTTCCAAGAACAGCATAAGATTCCTCCAGAGGGCAGTATGACGGAAGCGGAAACTCTTACGCTCGCGGACTTTGGTTTTGCGGACGCGGAGGAAGTCGAAGACGCGAAGCATTCGATGCCTTTGGGGGCGTTCGAGGCTGCCCATGGGGTGATCGAGGGGCTCGAGAACACGAGCGGAGACGAGAATGCGGCCATCTCGATGGAGGTTGACACCGATGACAGTACGAGGAGAGCTGATATCGCTACAGGGAGCGAGACGGTTCAAGCACCGACTGGATACGCCGCTTTCTTCCGAGCAAATCCGGAGATGAAGAGATCGGGTAGGCCTAAGGGTTGGAAGAAGTCGATCCATATGAAGGCGAAGTCTGTGCAAGGGGATCCGTCCAACACAGCGGCCAGCAAACGGAAGAGCGTGAAGGGGCAGAAGCCGGCCAAAGGCGAAGAAGCCAGCAGAGCGGCCTCGCCTCCTATACCAGTCAAGACTGAAGCATCTTCTGAGCAAGGCAAAGGATATGCCGCTTTCCGCAAGGTCAACCCGCATATTGAGAAGAAGGTCGGTCGGCCTGTGGGGTGGAGGAAGGCGATCCACGGGAAGCGAGCTACTGCAAACACGGACGAGGCGGAACCGGAGGAGGAAACACAAGTGAACGTCCCAGTGAGAGGCATCGAGGACGAAGATTTACCATTGTCTTTCTGGGAGGGTGTTCTTGAAGCTGCCGGTATTGCGATCTCGATCGAAAAGAACGATGAGAGTGGAAGGCGGGATTCAGTCCTCAACTTGCAGTCTCGGAATTATGTCGCTTCAGAGCCGTCAAGAGGAAAGGAAGACAATGGGGGACTTTCCGTGGCTCTTGGCCTACCATCCTCTCTCTAGCACAAATATCCTCACCCACCGCGGACTTTCAAAGCCTGTTTTCGATCCACGATCAAGAACTGCCTTACTCTGCCGCCAACCTGCCAACCACAACCATCACGTCCTGCGAACCCTAATCTACCGCCACTCCGCACGAGATCTTCGCCCACTTTGGTTACTAGATTCCAAGGACATGATATCTTGTCCTTGGAATCTAAGAACGAGATCCTACGAGCTCAGATAATCAGTAAGACACTCACGTTTCTTTGCGATTGGGAGAATCGAGGGAGATCATGGCGAAACGAAGCATTTCAACTTTGCAAAGGACTTTTGCGGCGGCCAGAGTTCCTCTCGTACCTCGTGTTGTTAAGGCACAGCGGGTTGGACATGCTCTCTAGAGTCTCTCACGGCTAAGAACGCGAATTCTACCTACCGCGCTACTTGAATATCCTCGGAATCTTAGCAATCGGGGGATAGGTAGGATTCAGAACTCCTAGCTGGAAATTTTACGGAGTGGCTGAACGTTGGGTACCTGGAACTTAGTTTTTCTTAGATATCATGTAGAACTCAGTCTTGCAAGGTAGGATATCTCCTGTTTCTCATGACGGCGTCTTTGCACAGCGGAAGCTTGTTATCTTACCCAGCAAACGCAAGAAAAAATCTGACCAGTTCTGAATGCATGCCAAGACATAACTCGCCTTCCCGCCCATGCAACGAGACGAATGATTGTGCGCATCATCCTCCTTCGGGTGCACGAGGAGGTGACCGGTGAGCTTGGGGGAACGCATCGCTATGGTTCATTGGGACGAAGCTGATGCCATTCAGACACAAAGATTGCTCAACATTGCTGTCTATTCAACGAAAGTGGATGATTGAAATAGTTCCGCCGCCGCGGCGTGACCTCATGGTCTTGTGGCCAGTCCGATGGACCAATTTGTCGATTGACATGCGAAGAGGATGTGGTACATTTCTAATCCATGGGGACATCTTGATTTGGGAACTCGCCGATTATTTCAATTTTGCCTAAGAGCGGGAAGGCGTGTGATCTACAGTTTATACTTGGCGGCACCTTGTCCAGCACTTCCATCGTTTCCGACGTTTCGTCCTTCCACATCCGTGACAGCGCCTTTCTTGCCAATGACCTTGACACCACCGCGCTTGAGGTCAGCAATGACGCCGTCCTTCCCTTTCTTTGCTTTGGCCGCTCTACTCTCCGTTTGGCTGGTGTCATTGCCACTGGACTTACGAATTCGTTCCTTCTCACGTCTTCGTCTCCGCTTTCTCTCCTCGCGTGAGAGCTCCTCGTGGCCAGCAGGCAGCCCACTCTTACCCACAACTTCCTGTCTCTTATCCGAAGCTTCACCACCCTTGTAGACTTCCTGTGGAGCAAGTTGGCTAGCGCCAGCCACTTCGCCTCCAGCGGAAGGTCGCGCATCTTCCATCGTGACAGCAGGCGCATCGACACGTATATCGAGTTGCGGAGCAGGTTGTTTGGGCCTGAAATGCCAAGAACTTAGACTGTCGAGCTGGCCACACACCTCTTTCCACAGCTTCTCGATCTCCTTCTGCTCTTTCTGCAGCTTCTCGTCCTTGACGTCGACAAAGTTGGGATCTGTGCGTCGCAAGTGCTCTTCCTCGTACTCTTCAGCGAGGCCTTTCTTGCTTTTGGTGTCGTCCAGCTCGAAATCGAGTCTTCCACGTTTCCCCTCTTTGCCGGTAGCGAGATCATCCGGTCTCCGGCGAATGATATCTTCAAATTCGTGTGCAAGAATTCGTCTCTTGATAAGCTCTTCAATTGACTCACTGACTTCGGCTGTGATGACCGGCACAGGCTTCCCGGCTCTCTCAAACTCCAAATCTTCCTGGAGCAAAGAGTTAATCGGTCGATCTGCAGCACGGGCTTCACCAGTAAGTTGCCACTCTCGCTTTGCGACGTTGGCGGCTTCGAGTTTTCGGATCTCTTCCGTAAGTGCAGCTTTTCGTCTTTCATGAGTTGATCTGCGAGACCGTGGGTCCGATGGATCTAGTTGCTCGCCTTCCTCTTCTTCGTCTCCTTCCTCCTCAGACTCGTCGAAGAGGTCGCGATGCACAGCAGCCATCGTCCGCTCCATATCGTCGTCCTCTTCCTCTCGAGTTTTCCCATTCGTTGATGGCTCAGGGAAATTATGAGGGTTTGGTCGACCCTTTTTGTTCTTTCTCTTCTTCTGTGCAGGTGGCGCGAAGAAGTCGGCGTACATGACATCGTTCGTGTTACCCATACCGCCCATGTCATCCAAATCACCACCTTCTAACTCCTCATCCTCATCCTCACTGGGCGCATCGGGGTCGCCGAATGTGGGACCGTCTTCGTTGTCCTCCTCAGGGGATTCTTCGGCACCATCGCCATTGGCCTGGGCTCCGGACGCTGCTTGCGCGAGTGGATCAGCGTCGAAATCAATATCTTCTTCATCACTCGCAGCTCCATCATCCTCTCCTCTTGCGTCTTGCTGTTCCAAGAACTCCGATTGCTTGTTGAAATCATCGATAGAGAAGAAGCCATCGTTGAGACCGAACCTATCTGCAACAAATTCCTGTGCAGGCTCATCCTCCGTCCGCTCATCTTCATCTCCGGCCATCTCATCGTAGTCGTGTGGGCCATCCATATCGAGATCGTCCTCATTTTCGCCCATCTCCCCATCTTCTCCTTCATATTCTTCCTCCCCGTCGTCTTCACCCTCAACCTCGTAATCCACACCTTCTACGCCCAGGTCGTCGTCTTCGCCATCGACTTCGTCCTGCTCTTCGTCCTCATCCTCGTCCTCGTCATCAGTCCTGTCACCCAGATTCGCTTTGACGGCATCATATTCTCTTTCTGCCTCACTCCGCGCGGCTTCAATCACCCTTTTCGCTTGCTCCCAAACCTGCCCAACACCAAATCCTTCCGCGTGCACCTTCTTCAACCTCAGAACATCGTGCTCTTCAATTTCCTCTCCGCGCTTTCTCTTCTTGCGCGCCTCCTTCAATCGGTCCTGTTGCTCTGTGCTGATTTCCGTCGCAAGCGGATCGAGGATGCTTTTGAGGTATGCAATGGCATCCGTGTACAGCGGAAGGGAAGGTTGGAGCAAATCATGTGGAGTATTCGTCAATGTCGACAGAAGAACATTTGACTCAGTCGCTGCCGCCATGATTGCGACAGATAGGAAGGTGTAGAAGGAGATGTCGCAAAGCTTGAAGTTTCGAGGGCAAGACTTAAGGTTCTGAAATTTTGGCGGAGCTTTTCCGCTTTCGGCCTGAGGCATGAATATCTCGACTTCCATTCACTTGCGACGTCCGTGCGTTGACGCTAGCAACCCCCACTGCTCGAAACTTTCATATGGCAGCTTGTGCAAATCCCAGTAATGTACATATGCAGATACATAGCGCTATTCCATGTTTCAGTAACGTTAACAGAAACCAGGGAGGATGATCTATAAGTGTCACGAGAGCTCTTTAACGGAAACATCCTGTGCAATGCCACTACGGCGCGAGACGTCGAGGTACGTTGAATTAGGAGCTAAAGGATGCTCAACAAGCTTGTCTGAGCGGTAGCCGCGACTAGATCATTCACTTGCAGCTATTCACGTGCATGCAAACTCGCTTCTTGCCTTGATAAGCCTTCGATCGCCGAGTCAAAACGGCACAAACAACACACTTATTGCACACCTCAGCAATAGAGGCGACATCAACATCTCATCCATCTGCCTGCAAGTCACTGGCTTGTCTAGCTCGGTGCCACGATCTGCATCGGCGCAAGAGCAATCATCTCGTTCGCTTGGCGCCATGGAGGCGCAACAAACTCCCTCGATAGAGCTCGATATAGCCGATATTCTTCACAGAATAGGGAATGTTCAGCTTCGGCTTGCTCGCGAAGAGCGTGAGCGTCTCCCACAGGGTGAGTAGTAAGTGACCCAGTGCCATCTCAAACAACAGCTGACTCTGACGGTCGTAGAACAGGTTCAAGAAACAGGCGCCGCCATGTCCACGCCCATCTCGCAGTCAAGCCCGGAGCCAATCCAGCGGCGAAGTCGCGCAGGTCCATTCCAGCACAGCAATCAGCACAGCGATCAGCACTCTCCGTGGCATCAAAGCAACGACCTGCGAAACCGCGACACCGTCCACGTAGTCGTCAACCGTCCTCCTCAGTACCACACCACTTCCCAGACTCAAGCTCAGGCTCAGTTCCAAGCCCAGTCCCCGCAAACAAATCCGCGCGGACCGGCAACCTGGGACGACGGACGTGCAGCCCAATACTTCGCATCCGACTTCCGACAACCCTCATCAGGGCCAAGCACTTCATCACGTGCTGGTCCCGGTCGATCTTCTGCGTCCGGTATTTCAATCGGGCCAATTGACCCTCCGCCACCATACTCCGAAGTCGATCAAGGGGCTCCAAGTACTGCAGGCTCAGGATCAGACAGAAAAAAGAAGAAGAAGAAGAGACAGATCCGAGCGAAGGATTGGGAGCAGTGGTTAAGATTTTCCGCCTGCCAGCGAAGTTTGGGTAGCCGGAGATGAATGCTCGTCGCTTTCTGAGAGTTTTGGAGCGGGAAAGATTGATACAGGTCGTCTGGCTTTGTCTTGAGTCTTGGCATAGGATTTGCAACATGAGTTGGGGCGGCATCGAAGCTTGATTCTTGGCTTTGGGCCGAGCGAGGCACTTCTTTTCGAGCATCTGCCTCTTGGGCTTCCAACGATGTAGCTCTGCTCTCCGGTTAGTTCAAGTGTATGTACCGAACACTACCATGATCGAGACCACGAGAGGTAAGAGTAAAGAACAAATACCCGGGTTCTGTCCGAGAAGGTCGCCAAAATAGTCCGTAGCAAACATTTGATGCTGCCATAAAGTGCGAGGGCGAGAACCTTACCACGAATGAGTGGACGTCTGAGCCCATAGGAAGACCATCAACGAGCAAAGGAGGATACAGCATGGCTGAGACGATTCGACACATACCTTACATACCCATAGGGAATCCGAACACCGTCTCTTCACTCGCTTAACAAGTAGCTAGAGGCGGCATGCTTGGTCCTCGAATTCTTCGTCTTTCTGAAAAAGACGGAAAGACACGGACAGGGATAGAAGTCGAGGAGATGGTCTAAGCGTTGGGTGCAGGCACAAAGCGATTAACAACCTGAACCTCAGTACGGCGCCAGGGTTGCTACCAGCCACCTCTTGGATAGGTCAGGAATGGCGGTAGCATCCATGGATGTCGTGCGAACAGAAAATAGCCAGTGCCAATAAATTTTCCTCGCTCCTGCGAGCTGAGCTCTCGTGGCTCCTTCCCTGTTCAAAAGTAGGTACTTTCCTCGCCCGCGGAGCACAGGGCAGGTGGTTCGCATATAAAATCGGTTCAGAGCGGAGGAATGGTGAAAGTCATCCCCATTGAAGCCTTGCTATCTAGCTGGCGCAAAAGAAGAGTTGGTGGTATCATCATCAGCAAAACAAGACAAAAATCCAAAGAAGCCGAGGTCGCATACTTCAAACACAGCCTCCGAACAGCACGGCCATAATCAAAGTGCGTGTATTTCCTCCTTCACGCTATTCCATGAAGCAATGGTATCAGGTACTGCCGCTCTTCGCGTTCGCGTCACACAGGAGGGCGAATCGTCAAAACAAAGCAATCGCGTGTCGTTGCGGTGGCCGTTAAAAGCGTCATCATCGTCCTTCAAAATCGCTCAAGTAATCGCCAGCCTGATGGCCTCCGTACCCGGAGAAATTCTGTGCTCCGCCCACCGGCACATCGCTCATATGATTCATGCCCATGCCAGTCATATTGGAATCTTGATACCCTCCCATTTCATTTTCCGAAACTTCTTCGTAGAACTCACCACCGCTCGAAGCGTCAAAGGAGCTTAGTCCGCTGTATGCGTCTTCATCGGGTGGTGGTCCTTGCGGCATCGCGTTCCAATCGATATTTGCCAGGGCAGGATACTGTTGTAGTAGAGAAGCTGGAAGGAAGTTCGTCATCATGTCGACTTGCGGTTGATTCATCATTGGTTGAGGGGCCACTAGCCCTGCGGCGACTTGCGCCTGTTGTTGTTTTTCCATCCTCGCCTTTTGCCGTTCCGCGGCTTCTTCGTCGAGAAGAGGTTTGATGCATACACGGCCAGCTTCGGATCGGAAGTGTCGTCCAAGCGCATCTGCACGAGCGAAGCGCCGACCACAGCCCCATTGCGATCCGCTCTGCAGCTGACCTCGACATACGAACTTCTTCTCGCCAGAATGTAGACCTTCGTGTCGCTTGCGATCGTGCTGTCGTGCAAAAGCTTTGCCACAAACTGTACATACGAACGGTCGTTCGTCTGTATGCGTACGTAGATGTGATCGAAGATTGTACGCCCTGGTAAATCGCTTCGGGCAGAGATTGCATTGGAATGTTGCCGGGTGCTTCTGTACCCGCTTGCTGTCCGCTCCGTTCGAAGGCGTTCGTTGCGGGTCGGCCAGGTCTAGAATGTAGTCGCGCTGATCCGAAGCGTTGCTTGAACTACGTCCACGATTGTTGTGTGAGCCATTCCGGCCGCGAGCTGGAGATGACGATCGTGATTGCGTCTTTGCGTTGTCGAACGGAGACAGAGTCTCCCCACCAGCGGAAGGAGATCTGCCTCGACCGAGAAGCGCTGGAGATGGAGACCTTGAACCAAGATTTGAGTCCGATTTGGCACGTGCACGATTAGTGGCTGAAGCTTCAGTCAGCGTATGCTCCGCTACCAGACATGGAAGGAGCGGCTTACTTCGTAGTGGTGGACTCAACGCATCTTGAGAATTGTCCGATCTTACATTCTCTACAGGTCGTGTCGGGGGTGCGTAATCGATGTTGATTTCGGGTGGACTCATGTGGTCTGCCTGACCGAGGTCTCCAGGACTTGATCCTTGTGTACTGTTGAGCGAGGGGAATGGTTCTTGGCCGGTGCCCGGAAACAGATCTAATCCGTTCTGCTGACCAAACGGCGGATTCATGCTCGCGTTCAACCCGTAGTTGTTATCTGCCGTGAATTGTGGGAGTGCATGTTGTGGCTGAGGCATGAGGTGGGGCGAGTGTCCTGGACTGGGACCTGGACTGTGGTTGAAGTGCTGATTCTCGTTCAAGCTGAACTGCTGGAGGCCTAGTCCATCACTGAATAGAGGATCGTTTGATGGGTTTTGAAGAGGCGATGAATGCGCATTGGCCGTATCGAAGCTATCCAAGTTGCCCAGATAGGGCGACGCGTGGTTCGACGATACGTCAGACAGGTTGTCCGAAGGTGTCCGCTTGTGTGACCTGTATGCGCCCATGTTCATCCACTCGTTTCCGCTGTTGCCCTGTGGAAACATCGCACTCGAGGGATCAAGCGATTCCGATGCATTGCGCGGCCTGTTGATGATCGGAAAGTTTGGATTGTTCTGCTGGAAGTGCGGCGAGGCATGAGGGCTTGGGCTGCCAGATTGGCGCCTGCCCATGTCTGGGAAGAGGTGGGGCGGGGTGGGCGAATGCGACGACATGGCAGCCGCCATAGGATCGAGCGCAGCGTTACTGTTCTCTGCGCCTGGCTGAGGCTGTAGTAGGTCGAGCGAGCTAGAGTCGATATCGGCAGAGAGGAGGCTCGGGTCGAGGGAGTTGGACTGATCGAAAGTGGTTTGGCTGAAATCGAAGGAAGGGAATGCGCTGGAGTCGCTGTCGCCGAGGCCGGTCTCCACGGTGGCTTGCGAATGGAGGAACGTGTGGTTGGAGATCGGGTTGCTCTGCGATTGCTGCTGGTGTTGTTCGAAGTCGGTGTAGGTGGGTCCGAGAGAATAGTCGGTGGTGAAGGTGGAGTCGCCGAAAGCGCCTGAGGCTGCGTGCGCGTTCAGACCAGCGGCGAACTGGTTGCGACGGAGGTTGTTCTGCGAGGCGATATTGCTGCCGTTGCTGTTGGCGTCGTGAAAGCCGCCGCCGGCGGTCACGTTCAGGTTCAGGTTGTTGGCAGCAGGCGGGTGGGCCGGATGGTGAGGCGATGCAGAGGGCTGACGTCTTATAGGCGCGCCGGCCGAAGGAGAGCGACCGCGGTTGTCCATGATTGCTGACTGCGTGCGGTCTACAGCCTGAACCTGAGGGTACTCGTCTAAGATTAGTAGAGCCCTGGCGAGGCGTGACCGCAGGAGAGGTGAGGGAGAAGACCTGAGTTCCGGGTGTTGGCGTTCGAGTTGCGAGGATGTCGAGACGCTCGGGCCTCTCTCGAAGGATTCAAGTTCCAAGTCGCCGTCTGCTCCCTTTCCCACATGTAACCACGGACGCTATCTAGTACGGACGGCGCGCGCGGATGATTCGACGAGCGCGAGCCTGATACAGGCACCAGGTGCCTACTTGGCTACCTTACCTTAGCGACAAGCACGGGCAGTGGCGCAGACGGCCTACACCTCCCCTCCCGGGCTAAGAAGGCGCAGCAGCAGAGGGATGCATTCACCATAATAAGCGCCGCGGGATGGAACATTTGGTGCCGATTCTACGCATACCGCACAAGGGAGCTCTGGGCATCGAAGCGAATCCGAGAGACGTGTTCCCTCCATAGCTGAGCATTCGCGTACTTCTGACAAGACAAAGCATATAAGCATTGCACTACGTCGTCGCCAAGATCTGAGAGGGTCGTTACAGATGTGCTACCAAAGATAGCAACCCAGTTCTGAAACCAATCCACGCTTCGTCTTCGCGCTGCTACCGTTCCCCGATACCCAACGGGGCCTGAGCACTTGCCAGCACAGCCACACACGCTCGAGTGCCCTCGCCAAATGGGCGCTTCCCATAATCAAATATTGACGCATGCCTTGGCGCCGGGACTACCCCGCCAATCTCGTGTGGTTCACCGGTCTGTGACTTCCGACTTCACCTCTCGAGCATAGCACTCCCTCAACATCTTCACCTCATTCCCCCCATCCTTATCCAAACCATCATCCCCGGTTCCGCAGCTACCGGCAGTCACACGAGCTCGACGTGATCGATATGTATATCGCTCTCGGAATCCGCTCCGCCGTCAGCACCTTATTGGTCACCTGAAACTGGTACCTTGCTTGCACAGCCACGTAACAGCCTCACATCCAGAGTGGCAGTGCTGTGGGCCGCCCATTGAACCCACCGCTAAGAGATAGTCAGCAAGTCAGGAGACATGGCTCATCTCGACATGGCTTCTCTTTGCAATCGCTGCGTAACCAGGTCTTCTCCGGAATAAGTCGTATCTTCGATGCTGCACTGGCCGCGTGGTTTCGAGCTCCACGGGCCCGACGTTCTTCGGCATGGCTCGTATTCTGAAGCTGCTGCCTGATGGTGGTCGCTTCGTCCCCAGCAGTGCTGGTATGGGTGCCTACACTAGGCGAGAACTGACGCCAGGCTGCACTCGCGCGCTGTTCTTCGTGCGACTATCCATGGCACAGCTGGAAATTCTAAGCGGCCAAGACACTGTCTTACAGTTTGAAGCCTCGCATTGATCATGATAATTCAATCTCAGCAGTTGCTTTCTCGGAACTTCTTCGACTTTGCCCACTGACTTGGTTCTTCTCGCTTTCTCTGCCCTCTCGGGGCCGGGCCTCGACTCTGTGGATATCGAAATTTTGACCAACGCGAAGAATATTTCCGGCACGGAATAGATCCTCGTTGCTTTCTCGGTCTTCACTCTGGCTCATATTTGGTCGCACTTCGCGATCTTGGGTTCCGATGCCCTCCTCGATCCCTACGGCTTCTTCGCGACGTCGACCTGGCCAGGTTCCAAACGTATCCAGTGCAGATGCGTCGGCGTCCGGTATGGCGGGTCCGAAAATCAGAGAGTGCCGTGTGGTGGTGTACAGTAGTACGTCCGCCCATCCATTGGAGCCAATCATGACCTTAAGCATGCTTCAGTCAGCAGCTTTTCAACCCCCCGGAAGAAGGAACTCACTCCAATTGCGCAAAGCTCTGCATAGGAGGCTTTGTGTCCAGTCATTGCCCGCAACCGAATGACCACAGCCGGGAGAGTGCACGCGGTGTAAATCAGGGGGTAGAAGATGACGCATCTCGCTGCAGACTCTGCACGCAGGTGAACATCGCCATTGGAGTAGAAGAATACCTTGACTCTTCGCCACAAGATGACGAACATCAAGGTATAGAGCACCACAGTCGCAAATTCGCAGATCAGAATCCAAAAGTAATGCAACCAGAGTCGCTCGGGCATGTACTTTTCATGAATCCAGCACCAGGCACCAGCCCGCATGTAAAAGTCCTTTGGATGGACGGCAATTCCGATTGAAGCGCAGAAAAAGGAAAAAATCCAGCATGCCACGAGGCATGCGAGGAACGGGATATGCCGGAGTCTCCGATCAAACACGATATCCGCGAAGAGATGTACCGCCAGCAAGAAGCTGAAGACGCAGATCCCCACGTCTCCAGTGGTGAGGAACCAGCCTTGCGTCCAGCAAGCAGTTGATCCCGCGTCGATGCTGTCGTGCCGCAACCATAACACGTCCAAGGACCACCCAATGCCCTGAATTACGTCGGCGAATATGAGATTTGTGAGCAGGGCCACATACTGATTCAATCTTGCGTAGCCTCGATGCTTCCATGTGATGATCCGATATACCAGATGCATGAAAAGGAGAGATGCCGCTGCAAAAGACAGAAATCCGATGAACGTAACAGAAATCATACCACGGCGCAATCCTGGCGGCAGCGGCGACAGCGTCGTCGCAGTACTGGTCTTGGCCATGTTGTGCTCTCTCTGGTTGCGCGGGCAAATTGTAGCTGTCAATGCTCTATCCCCAAGCGTCACCACAGGCTGGATTTGTCGCACCCGTACTCAAGACTGCCATAGTCAGCATTCTTCGCTCTCGCTCGAGATTGATCTCTAAATACCGCTCGACGACGACGACTTACTGCGCGCTCCGAGATGGGCGTTATCGCCGTGCGGGAATATCCCACAAAGCAGCGGACAAATGCATCGCAGAGTATGGTGGCAGATTACAGCGGAGCATTCCAGCGCTTAACGTAACGCCATCTTTGCGAAGGCGCTCGGACGCGCTTTGCTTGTCAGACTCCTCACTCTTGTCAAGGGACTGAACAAGTAGTCAGACATGGTAAACCCCCGTGGAGCAGTGTCGCTTGCCCTGATGCGGTTTAGATGAAAATGGATCTTTAGTATCCATGCACATCCTGGGCGCAGAAACCGAGGCCACCGACTCCCTACAAATTTCCAAGAGGTAGAGTTCATGGGCAGAAGCCTCTCAGTGGTCGCAAGTGAATTGCCGATGTTCTCTCGAAGAGCACGCAGATCAACCTTCTTTGCTTAACCTGGAATCGTCCATGTGAGTTTCTGGGGTAGGGCAGTGAAGCCCTATCATGGGTTGAAATGCCTGCACAAAATTCACTCGGGCTGGTCTGCAACTTCGCGTGATATTCCATGATGCTGAGGAACCATTGAAAAATGCGAATCGGCAGCCGTGACCGGCATGGATCAATGGCGCGAATTCGTCTTGAACAATTATTGGATCTGCGGAGTCTGCAAAGATGGCGCTGCTTGCGACTGAACTACGAAAGCTCGTCGCTGACAAACGCCTTGCATACGGCCGCCGGATACCATGGACAAGCAACGAGCTCTTTCGGCATAATAGTGTGAAACTACGGAACTGGGGTGAGCTTCTTTCTATGCGTCTTCCAGAACTTTTCTCCCAGCCCGGCCGCATCCTTCCGTGACGTCTCGCAGGCACTAGTCGCGTGCATGCTGCGCCAAGGCGGTCGAACCACTCCTACGGTGCTCGGTACGCCTGTACATTTGAAAAACAAGAATTTGAGGTGCATTCGGACAATGATCCAAGAGCTGAGAGTGGCTGATCTAACGGAGGCTAAGACCATCCTCATCTGTGCGCCTCAACCCACTTCCTCAGGCCCCAGGGCTTCTGACAAGGTGGGATTCACCAGAGGCTGTAATCTTCTGCATCACCGACTTGATCCCTACTTACTTCTGCGACCACCAACTGCCCACCAATCGGCTTGCCCTCTTGGCGACCTCGCTGGAGACGAATTGTAGGCTGTCGTAGCTGAGACTCTTCTGTTCAAGGAGCATTATTATTGTCCTTCGCAACGCCCCACAAGGCTTCCTGACTAATGCTGTAACGTCGATGACTGTGGGAAGAGAGAGGTCCACACAAAATACAAACCCCTTTCACAGTCCACGCCCTACCAAGCTTTATAAGCTGCAAGGAGTCACTAATCTGACATTGTGCTCAGACTCGCGGCCATCAGAGGCTTCTATAGTCGGAGAGCTACGCTCTTCCAGATTCGCGGATACGGACGTTATGAAAATAAGAAGTCTAGCACAGCTTTGCCCACACTTCTCGGAGAACGGCACTCGAAGACACGGTTCAGATGCTAAGAATACCGGCTTGGACTTTATCGCGAGCTTATTGGAGCTTCGTCCCCCGTGCTACCATTTTCTGGCGCTAGGAGCAGCAAGATAAATGCCGCATTCGGCTCCGAATGGAGCTGGAAGACGCCAATCCTGGACATTCTATTCTCAAAAGCTCAATGGATCATTTGTGTAATGTCTGCAAAGCCACAAGACCCAAATTCGACCCTCGTGCTCGGTCAATGTGGTATTACGGGCGGTGAAAGGAAATGTCCGACTTCTGGCTCTAGCCTGGTTGAAGATCGCCTCGACAAGTGGTGCTACTGTTTGGACCATGCAAAATCCGTGGAGTCGATGGCGTTCGAGGCCTCAGCATGGTTCGAGGTGCCGCTCCTATGCTATTTTTGTGGAGCTCACGACACTTGGGAAGAACGGCTCGTTGTCTGTACTCTTGTGCCGCTGCTGAGCTCTACGAGCGCCGACTCGAACGATTATGGCAACAGCCAAGGGGCACATCAGTAAGCCACAACAGGGTCGCCGTGGGTCTTGCTAAGCAAGACGCCATCCAATGGCACGTTTCGAAAATCGACATATGAGCATGTGTTACCTGTTTCAAAGATCTCCGCGGCGATCTTCCAACTGGGCGGCCACCTGTACTGGTGCTCAAACTAGATGACCTAGGGAATGAATGAGATGGTTTGCGGGAACGGTATGTGCGACTGGCGATATTTGTGACCGAGAATGCCCCACTCACCAGCAAGGAATGCGAGCGAAGGCAACCGAGTCGTAGGTCAAATGCTGGCGCTGTTCAAGTTGGACGGCAAGAGGATGATCATGTTTTCTTGGACTCGAAGCCCACCCTTTAATCCAAGAATCTTCGAGGAGTTCTCTGGCGCTCGCTCTCTGCTCCGCCCTCCATATCAGCACCTTCCTGACAAAATCTAAGAAGCTCCCTCTTTCATCTCCGTGCAATGCAATCTCTTCGTCTTCAAGAGAAGTGTGAAAAGTGCTGATACTCGGCTTCAACTTATCTACGCCACCGGTGAGCAACAGGATCAAGAAAAGGTCGGCTGGCAGCTCACCTTCGGTCTCAAAATACTCCTCCCAGGCTCTAGAATTCTGCCCAAGATCAATTGGCGGAGGTCCAAGAAGTGCGATCATCTTGGCCAGATGCGCTGGGCTGGACGCATTTCGACTTGGCAGCCGTTCCGTGAAGAGATGTTGCCTTCTACGAGATCCCATACCATCAGCGCAAAGGCCCAGATGTCGATCTTTGCATCCCAAGCGATACCGAGGATAATTTCACGAGCGCGGTAAAGATCTGGCATGACGTCTATCTCGAATGGACCGGGGCCATAATGAGCATCTCCGAAGTCGCAGATGATGGCGTTTCCGGGCTCATCGGGCATTTCGAGGTCGGCAGATGAGTAGATGTGTCGGCCGTCTACAATCTTGCAGGGACTTGGGCACTGTCTCTCGAGCTCGATCATCTCGTCCCAGTATGATTCGTCGTCAACTGAAAGCATGATGTTGGCTTCGTGGAGATCTTGAGTACAGCGATCAGCCAAATGAAGGACATCGGTGAGTAGAGTCATTGATACCTGTATGCACTACGCCTGTAACGGAGTGGAGATAATCCAGACCCAGCAGCAGACCGTACAGGATGGGTTTCAAGATCTCGGAAGGCACCTGTCCACCAGCAATGTTGCGGACTTCTCGCAGTGAGACGCTGAGAGGCTCTTGTACTAAGCACACGTGGCGACCGACTTCCCCTTGTATCTCAAAAGTATCAAGCATCTTCCGGACGAGCCCTGACCCGGGATGATCCGAACTGAGGGAGTTCAGGTGCTGCATCACTTTGACTTCGTTCCGAGCCTGGCGATGCCCCGTCATGTATACTTTCAAAGCAACATATCTTGATTTCCTTTCGAATTCAACATATGTCAGCCATGACTGTGTCTTCGGAAAGAAGAAACGTACTCCATGTCGCGACACAGCCACGATGTGGAAACGGAGCCGTAGCCAAGTTTGAGGAGGACTTCATATCTTGCGTGTAAGACTTGGCCAAGACGGACGGGATACCACTGCTTCGGTCGATACCATGAGAATGATTGCTCTTCCACCAAGACGTCTTCGGTACTTTCATTGGCTGCCATGTCCGCGATGTGACTCGGTACTTTTCGTACCATGTCTCATGTCTTCAGCCGTATGAAGGCGTATTCGATCATCGGCCAGATGTATTTATTTCGTCTCCAGTGAGCGTTGACCTCATGGTGATTTGGTGACCAGGAGACTAACTTCCACTCAATCGAAAGGCGGCGTTCCTTTTCTCTTTGCTGTTCTGTACATGTACTTCTAAGCGCCGCGGCATCGACGCATTCGAAACGAATTCGGGGAAGGAATCTGATGAGTCAGCGTCTTTGAACTCTATTCGGCGCTAATCCCTCGTGACAAAAAGTGTGTTTGAACATCACTTGGACTTTTCGCCTTGATGAGGCTTCCGATTCAACAAATCTCTTTTCATAATCCGTGCCATGAATCGCTGGGTTGGAAAACAGTAGAAGGTTAAATTCTTCGACTGACCAGGACATGGATCGGTTCAGCCCCGGCGCTTGTAGGGGTGGTTCCCACGCCATGCCGAAGCGGAGCACCGCGCCGCTGCGGAAGCGAAGGCACCCTGTCACAGCGAGATATGGCGGGCGAGAAGCTCAAAATACAGGAGAGCGCATCAGTCGCCATCTAAAACGATCGATTTCATCATTGAAAACGTCGATGTCCAGTCTGAGGGGTCCAGATGGCTCTACGTTCCAGCAGACAGGGCATCATCCTGTGGACAGTCGGCCTTCTGATTCTCATCGCTGCTGCTTCTATTATCTACCACGGATATCCTGGATCTTTGGATCTATACTCAAGCGACCCTCTTTCATGGGACTCATTGGCCGCTTCTGGCAACGCATCTACGTATGATCCAGTGCTGGGTGACTGAGAGGACTCAAATTGAATCACTTCAGCAAAGGCAAGACGCATCATCGGAGGTAACGAGTATGATCGAACGGGAGTACCGTCACGTCAATGGAGATACAAAGCTGTTGCACAGATACCGCCCAATATGCGAAAACATTCAGTTACTCATCATCGCTCGAACCACGCCACTCTCTAGACACGGATCATTCCGCAAGCTTCTTCTTGAAGCTGTCATTCGGGAACTCGTTTCCACTCGGGTACTGTCTATTGCCGTCTTGTAACTGACAAGAAATGATGAGAAATGGTGTCGCTGTGTGCTTCCGCGGTCGAAGGCTGATGCGGCCAACCTCTGCTAATTCCCAAAATGAGGATGCTGGCGGAAGGTCTTCCAAGAGTTGCGCGGCTGACTGACTGACCTAATGACAGTCTTCTTCACTTTGGGATTCTGTGAAAATAAGAAGCCAAAGGCAAAATCTCTTTTAATATCGAAGATTTGTTGCCTGTCTCTTCAATTTTTTAAGACCTGCTTTTGCCGCGGTCTCCCACTCGAACGCCGAATCCGGGAACCTCACTTAGGAGTTTGCGGCGGTTTCGACGATACTGATTGATGGAGTGGAAGACATGCTGAGGGCGGGCGAGATAATAGTACAACGTACAATGAACGAAAGGATAGGACGTCTGTGCAGTCAGTAATTGGCAGACCAGTTTCAGATGTGCTTTGGCAAGTCTTTCGCAACAGCGACTGCTTTGTTTCAATGTCTCTCTCGACTGTCTAGATGCTTTGAACCTATTACGCGCCTGTGATTTTAGCCGCTGGACTGTGAGATGAGGTACCAACAAGAATAGCCAGCGTTCAACAAGCAGCTTGGGCATTGGCCCTCTCACCGTTCGTGGCATGTCGGCGTCTCGCCCGCCTGTGCCACATACTTACTTGTCCGAGATATAGCAGCGGCTAAAGTTTAGCTGCAGGAAGAGCGCACCGTCTAGACTTTTCCAAACGAAAGTAAATGAGGGAATGAGGTTATCTGAGCAATTGATACATGATGCACAATGAAATTACAAGCGTCGTGCGTACAGCGCTTACGCATATACAACTCTCCGTCTCAAGCGTCCAACGGGCACACTCTCTCCCACGCGATGGAGTCGGTATTCGATCGCATCTGGCTGCCCTTTGCGATGGACGGGGAATATACTGACGCGAAGCTTCTCCTTCAGTTCGCCCGAGAGAGCTGCTCCGCGCACTAACTCTAGACTCTGGGGTGAGATTCCCGACAGTATCGATACGATTCCAAAGCCGGTGTCGATGGGCGTGCTGTGCATCAAGGCGGTACAGATTGCCATTACGATCACTAGTAGAGGCTGAATGGCGAGTATCGACCACAACAGAGGACCATTCCTTAGCGTCTGACGGATCGACACGACCTGCTCGTCCGCGACGTTGTACATCAGACCAGCTTCTTCGACACTGATGCTGCTGTTGTCGGGCCTGGTGCCGAACTGGACATTGAGAGTTTGGTTGAGGTAATTGGCGACACCATTGAGAGAGCAGATCCTACTCCAAGACATTGCGGCAACGGCGGTAGACATGGATGGATAAAGCCAGTGTGATTGGTTTCGGGAAGTGGCGAAGGGCGCCAGAGTTTCGTGAAGCTGAGGAGTATACCAGTCTGCAAAGACGAGCGTGTTCATCGTCAATGGCAGTTGCTTGCTGGCAGGAAGCAGCGTCCCATTGCAAGAAGACCCAGAAGTAAGTTGGATTCCACCTCGAGTGATGGACCATTTCCCAGTACAGCGTTGGCGGGTGGTGTCGAAACGTTTCATGTAAGGCTTGATATAAGTGCAGTTCTCGGGCAGATTGTCTCCTTTTGCATTTGGAACGAATCCAACCCAGACGTGAGATTGGTCTCCTACGATGGCGTTGGCCAGGAGAAATACGGAGTAGTAAGTGAACATATATTCCTGAGACATTTTCCAGCTGATGTTTCCGCAGGCCATGTCAAGCATCTCGTCGTGTCCAGGAAATGCAGACGTATTATGTGCTGTGACGGTCGCAGAAACATTGGCTGTGATTGTGACGGACTCGCCATCCCGGAGTGTCTGCTGCAGAGCTTTCAGTCGGTTGGCCTGAGGGGCGTCTAACAAAGCTGATGTATGTTCATTCAACAAGAGAGTGTTGAAGCCGTATGGATGAGGGAATTGAGGGAGAGTAGACTCCTTTGTATCCCATGGAGAGACATTTGTCGCTTCGCGGAATGGCAGAGTCGCGTTGAAGTAGAGTGAGATTCCCGTATTTCCATCGAGTCGTTCCAGTCCAGGCGGCCCGAACATGCCATAGTAAGGCAGCATACCAGTGATTTCCGAAGAGGTAGCATTGATCGTGTTTGAGCTCTCGCCACCAATCTGGAATTGCTTGTACCCGACGCTTAACGCAATGGGCAAGGCAATGACGAACAGAATGACCAGTCGCCATAGAAAATCCATCTTCGGTTTGAAGATCCCGCCCATCAAGATCCCGTCGTAATTCTGTAATTTCGACCTGCCAAACCTCGCTTCCAGGTGGAGGAAGAAAGAAGACCCAACGCGAGCTCGACAAAGTTCCATGATGCTGAGAAGGAAGCCCACAACGATCAGCTGATTCTGAAGACCAAGACGCCACGAGATGGTTGGGTGAGCTATGGATATTACAGCCAGGGAGAATGCAAGCAGAGAGATGACTATCGAGGTTATCGACCAAGCATCAATCCTCTTCTTGCATTTGGGTCTGCCGACCGGCTGATTTGATGGCTTTTCTTCGAGGATCGTATGCGGTGATGAAGAGACGAGTGTCGTCTGACTGCCCTCTCTGGAGGAACCTGATTGCTTTGAACTGCTCAAGAGGCTCGAAGAAGATCCAGTCTTTCCTCTTTGGTCCAGAGACGGGGAAAGATAGTAGGGTGTCATATGCATGACTCGCCGGAGGAAAAGCTTCTCGCTGGGCGATGGAGTGAATGAACTTTCAGCGTCGCGGAGGACTCCATGACCCAAAAGGCTGTGTTTGTATCGTGAGACCGCATTGCGGCACAGCGAGCGGTAGCGTGCGGCGCGCTCGATGTATTCATGGCAACTGTGGATTGGCCTAGGGTTTCAAAAATTTAAGCGACATAGCCAAGACCAAGCAACACGCATAGTATACTTACTGAGGCAGTTGTGTGTGATCGAAGGTACTCAAATGCAGGAGGAATGTCTCGGCATTACTCGCAAGCTCCTAGGTTCGTAGCGAAGCATCGTGTGTGGGTCTCGTCGCCATCTAAGCGCTGATCTAAGCGCTGAGGCTAGATCTTGCCGCTCAGTAAGGCTTAGCACAGCTCGGAGTTTCAGCGAACTCGAGTTGCCAGCGTATCATCTCGCTATTGCGACAATGGAGACGCCTGTCCTGATGCCAGCTTTGGAGCGGTAGCTTGGAGACGTGCTTATTCATGCGCTGCGGAGTGATGCCATCTTCCCGCTAAAAGCAATTTCGTCCTTATATGCCTTTTGAAATCAGACATCCAAACATCGTGTTGAGTTCCCGCGCGAATTGGGTTCACTGCAAATGTGTAAGTCTTTTGCTGAAATATCTGCTTCATGAGATGCGCCTAAAGCTGAAGGCGCTGTTCAGTGCATGGTATTCTTCAACGCCGGTGAGAAGGCGCTTAGAGAGGCACGGTCAGGATGCAGATAGCAGGGAGCGTTTCGCGTCTCATGCGCTGGCTGGCTGTTGTCGCTGTGGATGGAGCAGGCCATAATTCCACGCTAGGCAATATTGCGGTATCTACCGCGTACTGAGCCTGAATTCGGTGAATGTTCTCGCCAAGTTAAAAATGTGAAGTGATGGAATTGCTGAAGCGGATACATCCTGACGTTGGTGCCTCAGGAATACATCGGGACTCACATCCACCGATCGGCGCCTAAAAGGCCCGCTCGGCAGAACCTTTTTCCGACCGACGACTCCAGACCTCATCTCAGGTTCTCAACATTCACTCACAATTGTTAGCCGAGCTCATGCTATCTCACTCGCTTTGGCAGTCCCTCCTCACAGTCGTTCACCTCGAGCGGAGAACAACGCCGGCATGCTCTTCGAATTGCTGAAGTACAGCTCCACTGCCATCGGAACAATTGCCGCGTTCTACGTCGGCCTCCTCGGGCTTTTGACAACATCATGGTTTCAGGCTCACGTGGTATACCTCCACGCCATCCAATTGACCTGGTTCAAGGACTTGGACTATCCTGAAGTGTTCGGGTTCCTTCACAATCAAGTTACCCCATTCAGGATACAATCTAGCAGCGGCGACTCGTTGTATGCTTGGCATATCCTACCAGTCGGAGCCTATCAAAAGCACGAAGACAAACTCATCAGAGAGCCTACAGGCTTTGTGGAGGACATAAGCTCGCGTCTATCCTTCAGACTGCTCCGCGGAGATCCAGAAGCTCTTCTTGTCATCCACTTTCACGGTGCGGGAGGCACAGTCGGCTCTGGCTATAGATGCCCGAACTACCGCGCTCTCTCCGCAGGACACCCGGACAAGATCCATGTCTTGACATTCGACTATCGCGGCTTCGGACGAAGCTCAGGCCAACCATCGGAGCAGGGTATTATCATCGACGCCGTATCGGTCGTTGAATGGGCTATGAATGTCGCCGAGATTGCGCCTTCTCGAATAATGATATACAGCCAGTCTCTGGGCACAGCCGTCAACATGGGCGTAGCAGAGTACTATGCCCTGCAGAGTGAGCCTGTAGTGTTCGCTGGCCACATCTTGACAGCTCCATTTGTAGACGTTGCCACGCTTGTGTCTACGTACAGCGTCGCCGGAACGGTCCCAATACTAGGGCCACTTGCTAAGTTCCCAGTCATCTTCAACTATCTGAGGACGTTCGTGCGGGATAGGTGGTCAACCAAAGACCGAATTGCGGCCTATGTGAGAGCCAACGAGGCAAACGGCAAGAAGTATCGTCTAACGATCTTGCATGCTGAAGATGATTACGACATCCCCTGGACTCATAGTACGACGCTCTTTTGGCATGCTGCCAATGCTACCCTGCCGGCAGAAATCTCCTATGGAGAACTTGAGACCAGGAAACAGAAAGCTCGAATCGACTTGGGCCAGGCGGGCAGCATTGTGGAGTGGCAAGCGCCTCACGGAATCATAAGGGAGCAGATCCTCACGCATGGGCTACACGACGTCATTATGGGCACTCCAATCGTCTCACTGGCGGTTATGCGAATATTTCAGGAAAGGGGATGACCTCTCTTGCGGATACGCTATCACACATGGACTCTGCCTTTGAGAGCTAGGCTTATAAACAGGCACGGGATTGCATATGCTTAAGATTCACCAAGGCGCTACTGCAGTTGCACGAGCGTTACCCGAGTCTGCCCGGAGCCTGTGAATTTCTTTGGAAAGATATTCGTGGACGGCTGGCTTCGGCTTAACATATAAGAATATTCACCTTGCGCAGGTGCTGCCTGCATTGGCTTCTGATTTATCGTGATGCAGCAAAAGTCAAAACTTCAGGCATGACCCAAAAGCTCGAACTCAAAGAATTCATCAACTTGTTGACGACCAACAACAACATCAAAGGCAAGAAGCAAGCGAAGAAACAAACAACAAGCATACCACGCTCATATATATCCCCCCTGGAGTCGCTCAAACCAACTCCGCCCCCAGCATCGCCTTTATATTCCAACATGTCCAACACTACAGGCATAGGCTACGGCTTCAACTCCCCAACACCCTACAACCGACGCAAAGGCGGACCGAGATTCGACGACCTGCAGGCCTCGAGCGCGGTCAACCGACACATCGTCCACCTCCACCGTCGAGGCAAGAATTGGAGGGAGATCGGAGAGACTCTCAACAGCACATTCCCCCACGACGACCAAGTCAAGGGTCTCCGGGACAAACAGAAAGCTGTCAACGAGCGTGGTCTCAAATTCCGCCTTCACGTTTCGATTCGCCAGGGACTCGATATACCGGCTACTTGGCTATATGAGTATGTCCGTGATGCGATCGCTGCGACGGGATCGGAACAGCAGGCGAGTCAGCGGGTTATAGAAGCCTGCAGGCAAGGAAACGACATTCCGTCGAGGACGGCCTGGGCGTGTCGTCGCTGGTTGGATTCCTGCTTCCAGATCGACGGAAGACCCGCAATGGATGGACGCCCTGCGAACAGCAGCAACATCCAGCCTGGCAACGATCCGGATCACCCCTTCGTCATTGAGGACTCGACGGCGTCGAAACACCGACCATTCACCGGCACACGCGGCAGAAGAAATCCCCCCGCCTCCGACGAAGAGCAGATGCTAGACATCCCATCCGCACACCCCTCCTCCTCCTCCCCCTCTGAAATCGACTCCGAACCCCTGTGGTCCACCTCCTCCGGCTCGACCTGGAATTTCCAGAACCCCTCTCCGCGCTTCCGTCCCTGGACCAATCCCCCTCCTGCCTCTTCCTCTTCTTCTGCCTCTTCCAAAAAGAAACTCCTCGCCCAACTCTCCCAACTCCACTCCCAACACCACTCCGCCCAAAACTTCCTCCAAACCCAGAAATGCCGCCTGGCAAAAGCCCGGGAATTGGAAAATGAGGCCTGGCGCGAGCTGGGGGAGCTGCGGGGGGAGGTCCTACTTTTGCTTCCAGGAGGGGTCGAATTCGAATTCGAAGATGTTGTTGTCCGGGAGGAGGGTGAAGAAGGGCAGGAGGATGAGGAGGAGAAGGAGCCGGTAGAATTAGAACTAGAATTAGATTTCAGCAAGCGGAATTGGAGCCCGAGGGCCGACGTGCGGGCGTTGCAGGAGGGGATCGAAGGGTTGGATTTCGCGGGTCGGGTGCGGTATGAGGCGTGGAGGGGTCTTGCGGAGGAGAGGACGGGGAGGTATGGGGGGGGGGGAGATTCGGAGGTTGGAGGGGATTAGAGACGTGATGATGATGATGATGATGATGATGATGATGATGATGATGATGATGATAATGAGGAGGATTGAGCGAGGGAGATGATTTATAGGCGCGTTTTCCGTCCGGGAAAAGGCACAATGGTCTAGAAAGGTGAACGAACATGTATTGTATGTTTCACTCTCCATATACCTTCCCTCAGTCAGTCCGAACCACCGCCATCTCATTCCTTCATCCATCCATTCAGAAAATGTACATTTATTTCATCCCACACGCAACCCCCTCATCTCGCATGATGAGTGAGATTCAATCCCTTACTCCGACTTGGCCCACCAATCCCCCTGATCCTTCATAGCGGCCGCGACCTTGCTGAAACCGGCAATATTCGCGCCGGCGACGAGCGAGGGCAATTCGCCCTCGCCGGAAGGCACGTACTCCTTTGCAGTCTCCAAGCAGTTCTGGAACGCCGCCTCCATGATGCCCTGCAGCTTCGCGTCGACCTCCTCGGCGGTCCACTTCAGGCGGGCCGAGTTCTGCGCCATCTCGAGGCCGGAGACGGCGACGCCGCCGGCGTTGGCGGCTTTGCCTGTTGTTGGAAATCATAGATCAGGATTCGTGGCTGAGAGATTGGGACAAGTGTTGAGGGGGGGGGGGGGAACTCACCAGGACCATACCAAATCCCCTGGTCCTTCTTCTCCTTCCTCGCCTTCTCAAACACATCAATCGCCTCCTGGGTAGACCCCATATTCGACCCCTCGGCGGTAAAGCGACACCCATTCTCGACGAGCTTCTGCGCCTCCTCGCCGGAGACCTCATTCTGCGTGGCGCAGGGGAGCGCGACGTCGACGTGGCCGACGTGCACCCACGGGCGGGCGCCTTCGATGTACTGGAATTTGCTCTTGTGCTCCGAGTTCTCGGCGAGCTCGGTGAGGGCTTTGCGCTTGACTTTGAGGTCGGCGATGTAGTCGACTTGGTCCGGGGTGATGCCCTGGTCGTCGGTGGCGAGGATGGTGCCTTTGCTGTCGGAGAGGGAGACGATGGTGGCGCCGAGCTCGATGGCTTTGAGGGCGGCGTATTGGGCGACGTTGCCGGAGCCGGAGATGGCGACGCGTTTGCCTTGGAAGGTCTCCTTGCCGCCCGAGGCGTATTTGATCATGTGTTGGACGTCTGCGGAGAGAGAAAAAGTTCACGTCGTGTCAGTCGAGCCAATCTTTCATCCTGCTTTCGTGTGCTTTTCCACTCTTACAGTAGACGAGACCGTATCCTGTGGCTTCGGGGCGGATCAAGCTACCGCCCCAATTGCCTCCCTTGCCGGTCAGGACACCCTCCCAGCGGTTCTTCTCCGCGCGGTAGGCGCCAAACATCCATCCGATCTCACGGGGAGAGACACCGATATCACCCGCCGGCACATCGGTATCGGCACCGATATGCTTGTTCAGCTCCCGCATGAACGAGACACAAAACTTGCGAATCTCGTTATCCGATTTGCCCTTGGGGTCGAAATCGGCACCACCTTTCCCGCCTCCCATGGACACTACGAGAGAAGAAGTATCAGCAACACCATCGCCCTCGCATCTCCTCCTCTCCTTGCCTCTTCTCTCATATCACGGGTCAGAAGTACTCACACCCCGTCAAGGCATTCTTAAAAATCTGCTCGAAGCCGAGAAACTTCAACACGCTCAGGTTCACCGTCGGATGGAATCGCAGGCCGCCCTTGTAGGGCCCGAGGGCACTGTTGAACTGGACGCGGAAGCCGCGGTTGACCTGGCACTCGCCCTTGTCGTTCTCCCAGGTGACGCGGAACTGGATGACACGTTCGGGGATGGCGGCGACCTCGAGGGCTTTGCGGTATTCGGGGTGCTTCTTGAAGAGGGAGCTGTTCTCGATCGTCGAGGCGAGTTCCTTGTAGGCCTGCGAAGAGGCGGTGAGATATGTGGGGAGGGAGGGAGTGGCAGTTCTGGTGGGTGTCTTACCTGTTCGAATTCGGGCTCGGAGACGTTGGACATGATGGCTGCGGTCGTTGATCTCTTTTTGGGTGTGGATTGGAATTGGTGATGGGGACGAGAGGAGAGAGAGAGGGAGAGAGAGAGAGAGAGAGAGAGGAAAGCAAGAAAGAGGAAGAAAGGAAGAAAGAAAGAAAGCAAGAGGGCGGAGAAAAGAAAAGAAAGGCAGAGGTAGATCCATGGATGGATCAATGCCTCTCCTCTCCTACTACTACTACTACTACTCTCACACGCACCAGGCGCCAACCGCGCCTTTCAGTCCCAGTCCCAGTCCCAGTCCCAGTCCCAGTCCCAGTCCCACTACCACTACCAGTCCCACTACCACTCGCTTCCATCCTCCTCCTCCTCCTCCTCCTCCAGCCAAGGTACCAAACCAACCCGACCAAGAAAAGCAGCCCGTCATGCCTGCGCGCAGACGTCACCACCAAGCAGCAGCAGACATGGAGCTCCGAGGTCGTGCCCCGATGCAGCGAGCGCCCCAATGCATGAAAAGGAAAGAAAAAAAAAAATGCTATCATGCTAGTAATGCTATCGTTCGATGGCGTCGCGGTCCACGGAAAAACACACACAAAGCAATATGGATACTGCTGCTGATGAATTGGAACTGACGTCGAGATTTGTTTACTCGAAAACAATCGTCGAGCTTCCTTATCGTGCCAATCGTGGCCCGGCGGGTGGTACCGCGGAAGCTCCAGAGGCCGACATCGGAGTTGGTGGGATGAGGAGAGGAGGGACACTTCAGGTTCACTTCCGGGTTCCATCGATACGAGCTTGATTCTCACGTGACAGAGAATATGATTCAGAAAAGCATGTGGACCGCCATATCCACTCTCGCAGGGCAATAAGAATATGACATCTAATCAGATCTCTCATCTCTCATAATAACATCCCAGCGCCATCGCTATACAAACACCCACCCACACACACACACACACACACACACACACAACACTATATCCCGCCGCGTCTCACTCACCAGACCTCGCGACGCGCACGACGATACTTCCAACGCTTCTACTCCTCGTCCGTATCCATCGTCTCCGTCTGGTCCAGGTCCAGCAGCACACTCTCCACCTCTCGCGGGTCCGTCAGGCCCCACACGCCGCCCCCCTTGGACATGCCCTTCATCCCCACCTCCTTGCCCACCAGGTTGCGTCCCACCTTCCCCGGTCCGATCCCGAGCCATCTCTTCACCTTCTCCGTCTGATGGAGATGTACGATGCTGTCGTGCCAGTAGACCGTCTCCACGCATTGCCGCGCCAGCAGATCCTTCAGCTGCTTCTTGCTCTCGAATGCGCGCGCCGTGACATTGCTGATACACGGCATGACGCCCGGCCACAGGATGATGTCCTCGTTCCGCGCCGTCGGGCTCGCCTGGTCGAGCATCTTCTTCATCAGCTCCGCCGCCGGCTTCATCAGCGGGCTGTGGAAGGGCGAGTCGCTCTTGAGCCGCACCGCCCGCGGATCGTGACCCCCGAATTGCCGCAGATGCGTGAGCAGCTCGTTGATCTTCTTGATGCCTCCGGACAAGACGATCTGGTTCTTCGAATTGATGTTCCCGATCAGCACCTGTTGCACGGGCGGGAGGTCGGTGTCGGAATGGCTGTCCGTCTTGGCGCCCTCGGAGGTATGCCCGAGGAAGGAATGCATCGCTTCGAGCATCGACGAGAGGTGGTCGGCTTCACACACCAGCGCTACCATGCCCACTTCCTCGTTGGCTTCCTTGGAGCAGCGCGCCATCACTTCCCCTCTCCGCCGTACGAGCCGCAGTGCGTCTGCCTCGCGTAGATAACCCCCCGCTACCAACGCAGCGAATTCCCCCAGCGAATGTCCCAACGTCACGTCGATCCGCTCCGCCGTCCGGAATCCAAACTCCTGCTCCAGCACCCGCAGAATGATGATGGACGTCGCCATGATCGCCGGCTGCGCATTCTCCGTCGCGGTCAATCTGCTATTCGGCCCTTCCGCGATGATCTTGGTCAGGTTGACTTTGAGCGTGTCGTCGATCTGCTCGAGCAGCGGCTTGACGGTTCGCGGGAAGGCCTCGAGCCAGTCCGTCGTCATGCCCACGCGCTGCACGCCCTGTCCGGGGAAGAAGATGGCCGTCTTCGGGCGCTTGCTCCGTGGTGGTGACTCGGTGGCGAGACATCGTGCCTGGTGTGTGGTCGCGTAGACGCTCGGTCGTATCGAGGGGGGTAGTGAGAGGATGGCTTTCAGAGTTGACGGCGGTCCGGTAGGGAGGAGCTTCGAAGTCGGACTCAGGAGGCATGCCATGGTGTGTGTGTGTGTGTGTGTGTGTGTGTGTGTGTGTGATGTGCTGGCGCGTGTGACGATACCTGCGGGAGCTGATGGGGGGAGTAATAATGTCCAAGATGGATGGGTAGATAGGATTGGCCGAGTGATCTGGTAGCTTTCGTCTGCTTAGGTTGTTTCTTCCACTAGGTACGTACCTTTACTCCAAGCCGACCTCGTTTCATCCGAGCTTCCCCACGGGCCTCGGGTTCGGCTTACTCGGATCACTTCCTGGCCGTAGCTCCCTCGTCACATGTTCCACCTCCGCCTCGACTCCATCCATGTTCATGTGAACGTCTCCTCAAGATCCACATCCCCCATAATTGCTACGCGGAGAAACCACTCTCATTTAGAAGACATCACAGACCTAGCTACCTAAACAAGACCCTGTGGACGCAGAATACGACGACGACAGAGCGTCGTTAGTGAATCATCTCCATATCCCGAATTCACCTGCAAAGTCTTATCAAATCGGGCGTACCTGGTCACCCACGAGAGTCAGCTCCGGACGGCAGAAATAGATCGCAGCTGGATAACTGAGAGGCATAATTGAAGTGCGGAGAAAGGGCATAAATCAGTCGAATGTTTGAGAGAGGCTTTTGAGGGCACCGAGGCATTTCGCCGCCCTGGTTGCATGATTTGTCCATACTCTGCATTTGTCTATGTGTCAGCCCTTACCCCTTGAAATTTTCAGCCACGGCGAGAGCCCTGGGGGGAGTGTGAAAGGCCCGGAAGCCAGCAGGAACATATTTCAGCTCGTCTTGCTAAGCACTCGCCAAGTCGATGTCCTCGGTGCGATAATGATCTGCTACGATCTTGTACAAGTAGCTGGGCGCATGGCCGCCAAGGTTGGTGATGTACAGGTCGACGAGTTCCGCGTCGACATGATCGTACAGCGGATTGATGACGTCTACCTTGTCGATGAAATCGCCTTCTTCATACGCTACCACCTTGCTTGGATCGCCGTATTCGATGAGGTCTTCGTTGTCGAAGGGGTAGACGGGACTGAGTTTGTAGACGCCGCTGAGCACGACCACGGGCACGTGATGTGCTTTTGCGGCTTGCGCAATTGTGCTCGCGCCTGCTGCGGCGATCAGGCTGCCGTTTGCGAGGACGGTGTGCGGTGCGAGTATGACTTTGTTGATTCGTGACATGAGCGCAAACACTGCCGAGTCGGGGATGAGAATGACTTGAATGCCCATTGCTGTCAGAGGCTTCCATCTCTCATCTCCTTCTTCCTCATCCCCTGCCCTCACTCCGCCATTCACAATCATGGCGTGAGTTGTCTCGTGGTCGTTCGGATACGCCTCCGCGTGGATGACGGTAAACTTTCGCTTTCGCGCCGCAGTCGTCAAGAATCTCTGCACCGTCTGCGAGGAGGTGTGTGTAAGGATGATCTCGTTGTTGTGGATGTGATCGAGCGCAGACTCGGCTATCTGACTGTCGACAGAATCGAGCTCGTCCAGTATGTCTTTGATGCCTTCAATCACCTCGGCCTTGATGTCTAATTTCTCCTTGACTTCGTCTGGAATCTTCTTTCCGGCTTTAGGGACTGGAGATGCTGTGCCAGAGCCTGCTTGGGAAGTGCTTCCCATGGGCGTGCCGGCGGCTGATGGCTGGAAAAGACCGAAGAGCGAAATGCCATCGGGACCTTGTCCTACGTAGGAAGCTCCGCCGCTTTGCATGTGGGGTCTTCGGGGAGAACTGTCTGCCTTGCCGTCCAGCGAAGGGGAAGACGCGACGCTGGGCTGTGTCTGTGCAGTCTGTGGTAGAGCAGCCCCATGATGAAGCGGACTGAAGCTGGAGAGGTTGGTATGCAGAGAAGGTCGGACGGGCTCTGCGGTCACTGCTGGACTGGGCAAGCCTTCTCCCGCGCCTGCACCGCCCTGATCCGGATCTTCATCTTCCTCGACGACTTCCCGCACGAGGCCGAGAGTTCGTCTGGTGATGTTACCTACTGCCATCTCGCGTGGCTGAGCGGTCACGAGTTTATGGCCGACTTCCCGGATGCGTCTGATGAGTTCCTGTGGATTTTGCCATCTTCGTTGGGCTACGACCTGGAGGAGCAGACGTGCGGTGGCGATGGCGCATGGTCGTGAGTTGCGAATTTGTCGTCGCTTGAGGAGCGATACCAGAAGCTCTATTGATTTGTCGACATTTTGTGATTTGAGGTCTTTGAGGAATGTGCCCAGCGATGGCGCTGGGCGCGCAGTTGCAGCTGGCATGTTGTCGGATCCCGCCGGATATACGCTTGGTCTCTCTTCTATCTATGTCGAGTGTGAATGTCGCGGCGAATTCAGCGGCGCGGGATATTCTTCTGGATGTTTGCGGTCAAAATTGGTCCGCTTGTGACTCAAGTATTGTGTCCTTGGGATGTACGCTGGAGATGGCGGTTTCCGTCCTCAGGCTTCTCGTCTCCTAGATTATATGAAGGGCCTTTCTTGAAACCGAATCCGACCTAGCTGCAGAGAAGATCGCGATGTCGTGTAGGAGATATAGTCTGGGGGCAGAAGTTGAGCCGCGGGGAGCCAAAGGGACCCTGGACGTCGTGTCGTCTCGAGCAGCTGCCAGGTCAGGTCAGGTCAGGTCAGTCAGCCCAGCCCAGCCATTTCGCCAACACAAACAAACACCGGGAACCCCATACCATCGCCGTGACACCTCCGCCGTGCCTTCGCTATACACCCTTGATTGTCTGCATTGCGCCGTCGCCGGCGCTCATTGTTATACCTTTTCTGCTTTCACGACGAGCTCCGACGCTCTTTCACGCGCATCTCCACCACGCCGCCATCTTAGATCTTCGCACGAGACCGGAAGCTTGCGCACGCTGGATCACACACCATCTTCGACGACTTCCCGATGGAATGCAAGCGGTGAAAAGGATGAACAGCCTCAACATCGTCCAGAGGCTTACCACCACTCCTCCGCCCTCTCCACCGCGATCGCGAACCAGCTCCTCGCCCGATGTGGAACCAGTGTCTAGTGAGAGCACGGATGGATCCGCTGAGATCAACATGGACTCTGTAAACGAGAAATTGTCGATTGACAAGGACCTACGAAAGGCAGCTCGACATAATGAGAAGAGCCAGGAGGACTACATCAACGAGAAGACGCCTCTGCTGAGCAGCGGAGACTCGGGCGCAGAAAGGGAGGCAGCTGGTCGCGGATGGAGATTACCTAGTAGAATTGGCGACGCAGTATTGTATGGTGTGAGGGTTGTCTTCTCCACCGTGACGGCGCCTGTCCGCTATGTGATCGCCTGTTTCTATGACGAAGAAGGCCGCTTCTCGGCCGTCATGCCCTTGAGGCAACTCAAGAGCCTCTTCTCGCGCAAGCAACCGAAGTCAACAGCGCGAGCGATCGGTTTGAGTTCTGTGCAAGAAGAGCAGGGAGAGGATGAAGACGCAGTCCCGCGCAGGAGGTTCTCATCACGGCGCTCACCCTCTGTAGACAGCAATGCGTCAACAGTAACAGCGGGTTCATCTGAGGGAGAGAGGGATGACAGTCCCGCCAGACATACACGCTCCAAGACTGCGGCTGCAGCCAATTACAGCGAAGAAGGTGCTCCTAGAAAGAGCATTCGCATCAAGGTTCAGAATGACGAGGCGCTGCGGAAACGCAAGGCCTCCAAGGCGAAGAGGGCCGTGAACCAGGAAGACGTGGCCGCCGTTGCCAATACGCTGAAGTCTCCTTCATCACCTGCCGGAAACAAACTGACGCGCTACCCTAGAGCACCAGCTCCTCCGCGGCCCCTTGTCCCACGCCGGCAACCATCATACACGCTGACATACTCTGCCGAGGCGCCTAAGAAGACCCTGATCATTGATCTCGACGAAACGCTGATCCACTCCATGGCTAAGGGCGGCCGCATGTCCACAGGACACATGGTAGAGGTTCGACTAGGAGGACCTGTCACGAGCTCTGGGGTACAGCTCGGTCCGGGTGTTCCCATCCTGTACTACGTGCACGAGCGACCAGGATGCCATGACTTTCTTAGAAAGATCTGCAAGTGGTACAACCTGATCGTCTTTACAGCTTCTGTCCAGGAGTACGCGGACCCCGTAATTGACTGGCTGGAGCGAGAGCGGAAATATTTTTCTGGGCGATACTACAGACAGCACTGCACGTTCCGGAACGGTGCATACATCAAGGATCTGGCGCAAGTAGAGCCCGATCTCAGCAAAGTCATGATTTTGGACAACTCGCCGATGAGTTACATCTTTCATGAAGGTACGTGTCGACTGAACAAGTGAGCCGTGCCACCCTTTCTCACTTTTCTGCAGACAACGCGATACCCATTGAGGGCTGGATCAGTGATCCGACAGACAACGATCTTCTCCATCTTGTGCCTCTTCTCGAAGGCCTGCAATATGTGACAGACGTGCGCGCCCTCCTTGCCCTCCGACAAGGCCAAGCGCAACAAGCATAGAAGGAACATCGGGACCAGACTAGGGTTACGCAGCTCAGGGCGGCAGAGACCAATTATCCCTTGCAACTTTTTTCGCTCCAAGGCCATTCCACCTTGTAGCCATTCTGCACATTTTTCGGATTGAAAGCGATCGAAAGTCTTCGGTTCTTCGTCATCGTAGCGTCGGCGTTCAGTGGGTGTTTTTTGAGAGAGCATTGTTGCGGTGTGGTGTGTACAGTATAGATGGCCATGGGAATACGAAACCATGCCCCTGACGAACAAGAAAGCGGTGGCTTGAGAGCCGTTGCTCAGTAAAGCTGCTAATTTGACGTGTTATTCTTCTGATTTATATATCACAAACGTCTTCACATGTCAGACGATCTGCGGGATCTGCGATTGGCTGCGGAGCCGAGTCCGTTGCATGACTCGTGCGGCTTCAACCTCATCGATGTGGACATTCCACTCTCACAACGTTCTACGGCCTCTTATGCAAGCTCCAAGCGATGTATTCGCCCTTTCTTTACCACAGGATGATCCGTCGATAGCATCACTCTCATTTCGTTCGCAATGAACCTCATCACCGCCCTCGCCCGGCTCACAACGACCCTCCTCGTCCTCTGCACCCTCACCCTCTACCGACTCTCCACAATCCTCTCCCCGAACCGCCCCAAACCAAACCGAACAAGAGGCAAAAATACCCACCTCCTCATCGTTCTGGGCAGCGGAGGCCACACGGCCGAGATGTTCGCCATGCTGCAAAAGGCGTACGGACAGAAAGGCTGGGAGGACTTCTGCCGAAGGACATGGGTCGTGAGTTCCGGGGACACAATTTCCGCCGCGAGAGCGAAAGAATGGGAAGAAAACAGAAATGTAGGCGGGCAGTGGGAAGTGAGAATCGTGGAGCGGGCGAGGAAGATCCATCAGCCGCTGTGGACTGCGCCGATTTCCTGCATGAGGTGTGCGTGGGGTTGTGTGGGGATTCTGAGGGCGGCATATCCGGATGTCATCCTGTGCAATGGGCCCGCTACTGCTACGATTCTCGTCTTCACGAGTCTGGTGTTGAAGTTCTTGGGGTTGGGGGAAGGGGAGGGAAAGATGAGGACGGTGTATGTGGAATCTTGGGCGAGGGTGAAGAAGGCTAGCTTGAGTGGGATGTTGCTTTCCTGGGTGGCGGGGAGGTTCGTGGTGCAGTGGGAGCAGATGGAAAGCGTTTTGGGGAGAAAGACGGAATTTGGGGGTGTGCTGGTTGGCTGAAGAGAGGGGTGTGATTGTTGAAGAAGACTAGCTCCTGTCGAGGACGCCATGCACCAGGACCCTCCGACCGGCGGTTTGCGAGCCCTCCATGCTATCAAAAGTTCCGACTCGTCCGCAAAATTTGTATCCGCGTCAGCAAAAGAGCGCGAGCAGCGAAACAGTGGCGTTTGCTCCGACGACTTCTACGCGCGAGGCTCCCAAAATCTATCGCCCGAAGACGAGTCTGTGTCTTCGAGCCCTTCCTATGGCTTTTGAGCCATCTCCGCCGCTATAGCTTCCCCCTCATCCCCTGAATCGTAAGCTCGCAGCACGCGCTCTCGCCTCCCTCCACTTAGCGCTTCTCGCCCCCATTAGCGCATCCTCGAGCTCGGCGCCCTTCCTCTTACTCACACCCAACGCGCCCATAGCCAAGAGAGCTCTCCTCACGGCCTCTTGATTCTCCTCCCCGGCGCAATCCTTCCAATCTCCCACCCACGAAAGCGCGCATGCCTGCTTCGGGTCCGTGTCCAGGTGCACACGCACCCTCTTCGAAGGCCGCATTGCGTAGCGCGTGACTTCTGCATCTTGGATTTCTACGCGGAAGAAGAGTCGCACCTCCTGCGCCTCGGCAAGGTGGCGTTCGACGCGAAGGAACATTTCTCGGTGGATTTTGAATTGGCTCGATGAACTGAACGCCGTCCAGCGGTAAAGGAGCTCTTCGACAATCGTGTGGGTCAAGGGTTCTTCGCGGATGGAGGTCTGCGGCAGCCATCCTTGTGCGCCTTCGAACTCGTTTCCTTCACTGGTTGGTACCACTGTTAGTACCTTCTTCCGGACCGGATCGCAGACAAGCAGGGCGACGGTTAGTTTTGGCAGTGGCAGTGGCATTGCGGCGTTGGCTTCGCTTGGCAGCTGGCTGATGTAGGCATTCGGTGGCATCTTGAGAGTGGTCGACATGGCTGGCGTTGTTGATGGAAGAGTTGTATGGTGGCGGAGTGGTTGATGTGTTTCCTAGGGATGTGGGTGTCTGTTGCCTGCGCGACGAGAATTTGAGAGCCGTCAAGAACCAGATGAATCGAGATGGATGTGCTGGAAGAGCTTCTGCGGTATTCTCTCGACTTCAGGTTCCTGTCTGGCGGTTGTTGTTGTCGATGAGCCGTGAGGTTTTGCAGAAGCTCTGTGCGTTTTACGAATGCTCGCTTGATATGTCTTGGCACGACTGCAACTCCTACACTATGGAACATCTGGACGACGCGCCCCTTACTCCCTTCGGTCACCATCAAGCGATCTACGTCCATCTACAGCACCCGTCTCGGCACACGCCTTCGCCATAGATGTCTCAGCAGCTTCGAAACCCTCATCCTTAGTCACACCCCTGAACCATGCTTGGTCCACCCGCGCAATCTTCCCTACCACCTAACACCAATGCCTCGAAGTCCCTCGACAATGCCAAATCTCGAGAACCCTTCTCTCAGTCCATACGCCAAAAGACTTCTGGTCTGGACAATGTTTGATTCTACAAGGGCTTCCTCCTTGGCTAAGCGCAGAGGCTCAGTATATACCACGGATAAATCCGTACCGGTCCAGAGATTCAAGATTTGCTGTACGATATCGCGTATCTTCTCGTCGGAGTAAGTGCTTGAGACTTGTGAGAAGCAGAGATTATGGAGTGTTCCCAGGTCGGAAGACGGAAGCACGGCGCTGAAGACGGCTTTTCCTGTCGGATTGCAGATCAAGAAGATGGTGTTATGTCTTTCGCCATTGTGGGCCTTAGAGAGGCCTTGGAAGTACTCGACTGGCGTGAAGCTCTGCAGGTTGGACATTGTCCTGCTTGTCTGTTGGAATGGGGAAAGAAGACTGCGAGCTGAGTGATCATTCACCAAACTTTAAGAGAAGTATTCCATGATACTGCTGGGAAAGGGATCAAGATTGTAGGAATACGTCTGCTCTCACGGTATCCTAGGTGGCAATTTGGAAACGGCGCCTGCCAGGTTTCATTACAGAATCGACGAAGAACTGGTCTTACCTTTCCACTTCACATACATGACCCAAAAGAGCTGGAGGTTTGGTTATCTCCCGGCGCACCTCTAGACCTACTCGCGCGGTGGCTTCAGACTCTCCTCTTTCTTCCATCACGACCTCCACACACTAGGTCTCATCAGAACCTGTTCTCTCGAATCCTGAAAGCCCGTTCGCCCTGCTCTGGTGCTCCCTCCTTTTTTTTTACAACGGCGTTCTGGCTGGTGTGCATAGCCAGCTCGCAGCGTCAGGGGGATCATGTGATCAAACGTGTCACAGAAGATCTCTTCCCCTGCTGCGCTTACTCTGGCTTCTGCTGGCACTTTCTACTCGTTGTGGTCCTATACGAAACCAGGAAGAACAACTACTCTGCTTGCTACCGAATTTCACTGTTAGATACGCCTTACTGGTCAGGACGCTACCGTAGGTCTCGGTCTCTTCGGCGAGCGACGATATCTAGAATGCTCTTCACATCTGGGTTGCAGATCAGGTGTTTGAAGACATGGATTTCGGCCAGTAGTCATTGTCTGGGAAATGCTGGCAAGTGCGTGCTGCCTGAGATTTTCTGTGGTTGGTGTGCGTATTGGAGCGGACGCTGATGTGGGCGCTGGTGAATATGGCTGATGTATTGTGAAGGCCTTGCTTGCTGAAAGGGGGAGGAGAAGGAGAGGGAGAAAGATCAGTATGAGAATGATGTCCCATGGCTCCTGGACACCTGCCAAAACCACTTCCTCGATTGAGAACAGTAAGAACAGGATACAGCGTTCGGCGGACAACTGACCAATCTTCTTCCCAGTGCTTGCATCGTAACTCTTTCCAAAGCGGAACCCAACCTCGGGATATCAGCAGCTGCCATCTGGAATTATAAACAACGTTAAATATAGCCCCCCTCAACCTCCTCGCCCTCTCCTCCTCCTCCTCCTCCTCCCTCTCCCGCCTCCATCTCCCCAAAGACCTTCCTCAAAACCTCCTCCACCAACATCCTCTCAGCATCCGCACCCCTCCACTTAACCTCCCCCACCGTCTTCACAAAGCGGAATTCCAACCCGATCATCTCCCCATCCACCTCCCGCAGCGCGTCTTTCAAACTCTTCTCCGCATTCAGATCGGCGTCGCGATCCGTGATATCTACGCGGAAAAAGCACTGGCCTCCTGCTGCTGCTGCTTCGTGGACGTCCACGTGAAGAGGGGGTGTGTGGATCGCATACCCCGTGGCGGGAAGACTGGTCCATGTCTGCATGAGGCGGTTGATTTCGGATCGGATCGTGCTTGTTGTTGATGAGGAAGAAGAAGTCGTCGTTTCCGGGAGGAAGGGGTGTGCGGGGGTTTTCTTCTTCTTCGAGACTGGGAGGATTGTCAGGAGGCGTCTTGTTGGGGCGTCGCAGATGAGGAGGGTGATGGTTAGTGTTTCCGGTTTGAGTGATGTGGTGGTGTTGTTTAGCTGTTGTCGATATGCAGCTGGGGTCATGTCTAGCAGTGTAGACATGGTTCGCCTTGCCCCAAAAGGAAGGGTGATGCATAGCATTCTTGGGGTTGTAAGACGCCTCTTTAGTTCCTGCAGCTGTTTGCTTATGCTAGAGGAAGAAACCCCAGTGAGCGACTTTCTTTCTCCTCTGAGCTTCTGGTGAAGTGTTTGCTTTGGTGAACACTCCATCGGCATGCTCAGTGTCCACGAGCTTCTCCCTTTCTCCATCTCAAAATTCCAAAACAAAGCTCTCATCAGGCGCCACAGGCCTACCCACCCTCACCTCCGCCCGCTTCCTACCCAGATCCATCACAATATTAAACAACGTGGCAGACGTACTCCCCCCTTCCGCCTGCCGACAAATCGATCCCGGAAAATTCGCCTCATCCTGAAAGACTCCCTGCAATTTCTCCATCGTGACAGGCTCTCCAACACGCCCACACAGCTCTCCAATCCTCCTGACCCGGAACTCCGAATCACTGAGCCAATTCGTGTCTTCAACACCCCGATGCGTTTCCAGATAATGATTCGAATGGAAAACCTGTCCCGTCGTCGCGTTCTGAGGAATCTTGATCAGGTCCATACAAGACCATTCCAACCCGACACCCCCCTCCACCGCGTCCGCAACGAGCATGTGGCACGCACTCGCCACGCCGTACTTCTCCAATCGCTCGACCGCTTGCGCTCTCGAGGTACTCTCCAGCACCATCCTCAAGCCCAAATGACACGGCAAGCGGCTCGGATCCATCCCCTTCGCCCGGATGGCATTCAGACAGACGCCAACGCCGGAATCATTGAATCCAATCTTGCCAATCAGCCCCGCCTCGGTTAACATTTTGATCTTCGGTTTGGGAGCTTGTGAGATCGTGAGACAGATTACATTTTCTTTCTGGCGAGGATTCCAGTCCCAATTCTGCGCGAGCCAACTGCTGCTGCTGCTGCTGCTGCTGCTCTCCGATCCGGTTTCTTTCCAAGACAACGCCGTGCATCCATCGCTGAACAGCCCGAAGGCGATTTCCGTCCGGACGTTGATGGCGATGATGTCGGCGATGTCGACGCCGGCGCCTTGGGCTATTCCGGAGATCTCCTCGAGGAACGCGGGCCATTTCTTGAGGAGGGTGGGCTGGAAGGCCAGGGCGAGGTCACGGACGCGCGGCCAGGTCATTTGCGCTGTGGAGTGGAACATCCAGGTGTAGAAGGCAATGGTACGGGAGATTTGGAGTTTCGCTTCGCGGCCGTGTTTGAGGCCGATCTGGGAAGGTTTAGAGATGTTTTTTTTTCTTCTTTCGGGATATGCTGTTTTTGCTCTGGCTGGAGTGGTGTCTTACCTCGTATGGCGTGCCGCTGCAATGGATGTGTAACATCTTGGCTGGCTGTTGATGGTGATTATCCGGCTGGTCGATGTATGAGACGCTCCCTGGCGGAGTGATGATGGTTTGATTCTGTTGTTCTTCGTCCCTTTTCGGCTCCACAGCCAGAGCATCGTATGACCATGATTGCGGAGGAGTAGTCTGAGGAAGATCGTTGAGGAAGAATCACGGCACACTCTATCGCGTAAGGTGCTAGCCAGCCTATCCTACTCTCCGCCGCCGTCGGCCAGCGTTGCGCGCAAGGTGGGGCACATGCTAGAGCTCTCGGACTCCAAGCTGCTTCCCAGCTACCAGGTAGATGAGCCTCGAGAATATCCTCCTGGAGAAGAGAAGCTATTGGAACCTCAATAGGTGCACGTCGCCGGTGGGGCTGTTAGCACGAGGCGCAGGTCAGAATGAGTTGCCACAATGAGCAATGAGCACTCTGAAACATGGCCCTTGCTTGCAGATGAGCAACTATGTATTTCGCCCATGTCGTATTACAAGAGGGTCTTGGTTTGATGATGTCAGCTATCAAGGTGATTCTGCGTCGCATTCACGGAGCAGCCAAAATCTCAGCTGTAGCACAGGTGGTCGGGAAATTCAGAAAAAAAAAAGCCTGCCAAAAGTAATGTCGATTTGAGGACCGAGATCTGTCTAAAATATCTCTCCATGTCAGCATTGATGTGCACTAAGATACCTATACCACCCAAGATCCGAAATTTCTCATCCGCATATCGTTCTCTAGCATCAAACGGACCATTACTGAGATCAGCCTTCAAACAGGGCCTGAAGTCTGCGATTGAACTCTCTCGCCTCTTCCCTCTCTTCCTTCCTCAGCATCTCCTTCGCCCGCTCGGCTTGCTGCTCCACCTTCGCTTTCTCCTGCTCCAGAGCAGCACACTGAGCTTCGTACTCCTCATTGGCCTTCTTGATCTCTTCGTTGTCCTCGAGATCTTTCAGAGCCTCCTCGATCTTCTTCCCGAGCTTGCGCATCAGCTTCTCCGTCTCGGCAATGCTGCGAGCTTTGCGCTCGTGGAGTTGACAGTAGAGGCCAAGTGTATCGCCGACTCGAGCGTGTTGGATCATCTTTCCATTGTTGATTTCAACGACTTCGTCTTCGAAGTTCCGGTTCACATCCTCGATCTCCGCTTCTAGCGCTTCAATTTCTTCTTCGGTAGGGATGTGTGGTCGCTGCAGGGGTTTGCCATTCAGATCAAGGCCGTTCGCGCGTGCAGTCCATTCCAAGCGATGCCGCTCTTTGAGAGCTGCTTCCTCCGCCGCCTGTGCCTCGCCGAAGCGTCTGTACGCGCCTGAAGCCGGTCAGTGGGTTGAGTTGCAGGGTCGGATGAGACTCACCTGCAGTGCTGGTTGGGGGCAGTGGATCGGCGCAGATTCCGGATGCTGTCTCGGGCTGGAAAAAAGCGGGCTTTGGAGTGTTCTTCTGCCTTTTGGTTTGGCCTGCGTGCTGAAAGTAACCAGGCTGGGGGATGGAGTGCATCACCGGGCTGCCTGGCCTGACCATTCCGTCGGCTTCCGGCTCTAGCTTTCGCTTCAAGGCCTTGCCGTAATCGAACATAGCATTGATAGAGACGCTCTTCTTGGCAGATGGCACGGCCTGCTTGGGCTCGATCGCAGGCGGTGATGCAGCGACGCCGGCCTTCTTGCTCTGCTTGAAGCACGGTCTCGGCTTCGACATGGTTGCTGCACCGCCCGTTGATTAAATGGATTGACGCGTTGATGCTAGTGGAGTGGTCAGAAGGTGAGAAGGTGAGAAGGTGAGAAGGTGAGAAGGTGAGAAGGTGAGAAGGTGAGAAGGTGGGAAAGTGGGAAAGTGGGAAAGTGGGAAAGTGGGAAAGTGGAAGTGAAGTGGAGATGCGGTCAAGATAACTTAACCGGGCGGGAGTCAGTGCGCCTGCTCAGATCGTGCCTTCCACAAGGCGAACTTCCCACTGAGATTGGGCAGGTGCTGTCGGGATCGGCACGGAGTCTAGCGGCGGGATGAGAGAAATATACCGATATGTCTGTACAGTGCCGCGAAGTGGGATCTGGTGTCTCTCGCTGGGTGAGGTATGGGTTCACGAGGAGCTACTGGAATCGCTCTCCGCCGGAATCAGCACATCCTTCTCCTCCAGCAGCTTCGCCAAGCTGCCGTCCTGATGCATCGACATCAGTATATCCGTGCCTCCAACGAATTCGTGGTCCACGTAGAGTTGGGGAATTGTCGGCCATTCGGAGTATTCCTTGATGCCTGTATGTCCATTAGCATACGATCCCTTCCCAAAGGCCGCGGCCCCTTCTCCAACGACCGATTCCATCTTTTCTCCCGAGGGAAATGCCTACCTTGCCTCAACTCCTCATCTTCCAGAACATTGAACGCCGTGAACTTCTGCGGGTTCACACCCTGCAATCCCAAGATCTGAATGCTCGCTCTTGAGAAGCCGCACTGCGGTGTCTCGGGGGTTCCCTTCATGAACAGCACCACCGGCGCAGATGCTACGGCCTTGTCGATGGCCTGTCGTGTTTCTGTCGATAGGAAGGACTTCTGGAGCGCGGCGAAGCGTGGCGACAGCAGAGGGTTGCGACGTGGGCGGAGCGCCGAACCGGCAACCTACAATTCCGTCAGCGTACGAAAGAAAGCTGTGGTGGCATAATCTCATCCTACCGCTGACAGTGCTGGCCTCGAGAACATTGTGTCGTGTGATGTCGTGGTGATCAGACCTTGCAGTGTTTCGAGCTCTCTCGCGGACCACATGCAGGTCGAAGAATGACGCCAGGACTGGAATTTCCGGGACGGACCGACATGAGTAAGCGGGAATAAACATTCAAAATCAAAATCCCCGGTTCCCGTCCACCCCATGCTCAGCTATCTCCTTTCTTCCCAAAACCAACATCTCATCAATCGCCTGCTGACATGAGATGCCCAAACGCAGGGATGGCCGGTCCTGCCGCCCCTTGCCCACCCTATTTCCAGAGCCAACACCTTCTCAATCCCAACATTCTGCACGACCGCACTACTCGTTTATAGAAAGATACAAGAACGCCAAGTAATCTACTCCCAAGAAAAAAGAAGAAATGCTGGCACCGATCCGCCTCAGATCGTCGACAGTATGCCATCCTCGGCCACGTTCACGGGCATGACGAATAAACCTCGCATCTATCTCGCTCTCTACCATCGAGCCCGGCATTCCTTCAAGGAGGAAAACGTCCTGCGGAGATTCCACTGGGCGATTCTGATCCGGCCGAAAGCTTCCAAGCGAAGAAACGTCGACTGCTCGGTCTTTGACGCCACCACATGCTTCCACTTTGCGCCGGACGGGAAAGTCCTCAATCCGAATCAGGAATGGTGGTTCCGTGTGCGAGATCACTATGATCCGCTGGAAGATTACAGATTCCTCGGGGCCATCATGATCGGGAAGTTGCCGGAGGGAAAGACGATTGCGGATGTCGATGTTCTGCTGGAGGAGATCGAATTGCCACAGCCGTGCTTTGATGGAACGGAGGACTATACTATCTGGGCAGCGGATGCCGTCCGGGCGCTAATGGAAAGGAAGTGGGCGGACAAGATGAACGTCCCCAAGCTATTCCGAGAATGCGTCATGCTAGGAAATGGTGTCTTGGGTGCACTCTCCAGAGATGAGCCGTTGAGAGAAGGAGACCGATGGCGGAATTTCACCACGAGAGAGGACTGAAGGCGGCGACTCGGCCAATCCGGACTGAAAGCAGTCCTTCATAGCTCTATGATTTCGGGAAAGCTGGACATCAGTCTGCGAAAGGGGCTCAATAATGATGGTGTCAGCTCACACGGGGTGCAGAAACCGGACGAGGCGGATATGGCGGGTGTATGTTAGGTAGATGGCGGGTGTATGTTAGGTCCATTGGTTAGCAATTGAGCATGAGTGCCAAGATTTGCTGGATGTCGCTATACTCGACACTCTCGATAATAATATATATATCACATCCCTCTAAACAATCTCGCACACTCCCCCATTCACGCCTATCCATCCCTCCCCTCGGTCTTGCCTCGGCGATATCTCGTCCTGAACCTAAGTAGCCAACCGCTCCCCGCAACAACCAAGTTCACACGTCACCCTTCTAATAATCAGCAGCTCTTCTAATAAAACATCCACACCACATATCCTCGACAAAAATGTCCTCCGGGCTCTCCGAACCCGGCTGGTCGCCCGAGAACGTCGACAGACTCCTCCATCATCTCACCCGGATCGAAGACCGTCTCCGCCAACTCTTCGCCCTCGCGGTAATCTTCTCCTTCGGATCCCTGCTCGTCAAGTTCCTGACCGCGACGACGACACCAGGACAAGCACAGAGCCAACCCTCGGATGGAAACAACAAGAAGAAGATAAAATTTGCAAATGGAGCATTACCACCACCCCCGCCGGTCTTGAGGGCTTCGGAGCATCTCAACGATGGCAAGCGACACCTCTTACTCGCGGCGACGGGATCCGTGGCGACGATTAAAATTCCCAATATCATCCAATCGCTCTCCCGACATCGCAATCTCGCGATCCGAGTCCTCCTCACCGACAGCGCGGCGGAATTCCTCCAAGGGCAATCAGATGGTATATCTACACTTCCCCCACCCATCACCAAAAAAAAAAAAAAAAAACTTCAAAATACCCCCTCCCCTCCCCTCCCCTTGCACATTTCCCAAAAATTTCTAAATCTTTCTTCCTCTCCCAGAACAACCCTCCCTCACCACCCTCTCCCGCCTCCCCAACGTCGAAGCGATCCACCTCGACCGCGACGAATGGCAGCCCCCCTGGACCCGCGCCGCCCCAATCCTACACATCGAACTGCGCCGCTGGGCGGATCTCATGTGCATCGCGCCCCTATCGGCGAATTCGCTCGCGAAAATCGCACTCGGCTTGTCCGATCACCTCGTCGCTTCGGTGGCGCGGGCGTGGGATACCACGGGGTTGATTGATCCCGTGCGGCGTCGTCTTCCCGGAGGAGGAGTTGCAAGCGGGAAGGGGGAGAAGAAGGTGAAGGGTATGATTGTTGCTCCGGCGATGAATACGGCCATGTGGAATCATCCCGTGACGAGGCGGCATGTGGCAGTTCTGGAAGAGGAATGGGGGGAGTGGGTGGAGGTTTTGCGGCCGGTGGAGAAGGATTTGGCGTGTGGGGATGTCGGGGGTGGGGCGATGAGGGAGTGGTGAGTTCTTTTTTTTAAAAAAAAAAATTGTTCTTTCTTAGTTTCTTTTGTTTTGTTTGTTTGGAACGAGAGGATTTACTGACGGAATTGAGGCATCAGGAAAGAAATCGTCTCGGTGATAGAAGAGAGATTACGACTGCACGACGACGATTGAATGTGTTGAGGAAAAGAAGAAGAAGAAAAGGTATAAAAATCATGCAATCATTATTCAGATCCCCGAAATCCTCATCCTCATCCTCGTCCTCTTTTCTCTCTGTCTCTGCCTCTACCTCTGTCTCTGTCCCAATCCCCCCCGAAGAAACTCAAAACGAGCGACTCTCCCGCATCCGCATCTGTACCTGCATCTCTGTGTTCTGAGGGTATCTCGTTTCTCCATCGCGGAACCGCCAAGCCCAAGCCAAAAAAAAAAAGAAAAGACAAACAACAATACAATACGAAACGCAAAACCCCCCGTCCTGCGTTCTAATTCCGCTCAAACCCTCCACCGAAACGCCTGCGACTCCCCCTGACTGCGACTCGGATGCAGCGCGCTATCGGGCCGCTGGACCAGATGCGCAAACTGCGGATTCACACCCATCGGCGCCGAGATTTCCATCTCCCTCTGAGGCTGCTGGGGGTTGACGGGGAGAGGCGGCGCGAGGGATTCGCGATTCCCGCCGCGACCGAAGAAGAGCCCGCCGACTTTCTTCTTGGTGCAGTTCGTGAGGCGGGAATAGCGCGACGTCGGGGAGACGGGACGATCTTCTTCTTGAGCGGTGGTGGTGGTGGTCACGCTCGGTTGGTATTTGTGATTCGTGGCGGCGGAGGCGGAGTGGTAAGACGGGAGGTCCTGGGATTGCGGGCGGTTGCTGGCGCTGTTGCTGTTGAAGCGGAAGGGGTTCCGGGTGCCGTTGGTGGGGGATGGCGCGATGGGCATGGGGATGTACGATTGCGCGAGGACAGGTGCTGGTGGGGTGTAGGAGCCCACGTCGCTCGCGTGGCAGCTGGAAGAAGAAGCGGTCTTGTTGTGGACGGCGACGGCGCCGTGGGCGCGGACTTGGCGGGCTGTGATGCCGTTCTTGCGGTCGCGGAAGATGTAGCTCTGCGGGAGACGTCAGCAGCTGAAGAGGAAGAAGAAGGAGAAGAAGAAGACCATGGGAATGATGGGGTGAGGTGACTTACCGCCAGCAGGTTGATGTGGCCCAGAATGAAGATCAGGATCCCCGACGCGATGACGATGCGCCAGAACGCGAGACCGAGCTCTTTGGCGGTGCCGGAGGGCTTGTTGAGGTTGCCCATGATGTTGATTCCGAGGACGATCATGGCCAAAGCGAGCGTGACGAAGCCATGCGAAGGGCTCAGCAGAGGCCAGTTGCGCGCGAAGTAGGCGCGGAAGAGCGAGATCTCCGAAGTGACAAGGAAGACTGGAAAGCATCAGCGCCAGCTTCAACGACTTTTCGAAAGAAGGATACTCACTGCTTGTAATGAGCGTGATAACGTGGCTCAGGGCATCGAAAAAGAACAGATGCGTGTCGGTGTCGATCTTGATGAGCATGACCACGCTGGCAGTGATGACCGCCAGAAAGCCAACGATATTCATGACCCGGATCCCGTTCAAGATGATGTATCCGGGCCCGGCCAGAGACTTGGAGGAGAGCGCCATCGTATCACCCTTCTCGGCGGCCTTGGTCTTGGTGCCTTGGAGTTTCGAGGCCACGGCTTCGATGCGGCGAGCCTCGAATGGAAGTTCGATGAGTCTGTCGAGCAGCTGTCAGTGGGGGTGTGAGCAGAGCGGACGGTGGAACGTACTTGTCGGAAGGGTAGAGTCTCACAAACATGTGTTGCTCGCGAGGCTTGTCGTTGGTGAGGATATTAGTGGTGTGTCGTAGCTGTCCTGCAGTCTCTGTATCGCGTGGCGCGTGTTGCTGTTGCTGTCGAGAGGCGAATGTGATCGTCCAGCGAGTTCAAAGGAGTCAACAGATGGTGTTCGTGGTGTCAAGTAGAGAAGAAAGAGTCGACGAAGAAGAAGAAGATGAAGAAGAAGAAGAAGGAGAGGAAGAAATCTCCGTGCCTCTCGAAGGCAATGGAACTCTCCTGCTATTCTTCTCAAAAGAATAAGAGAATCCGACAATGGAACGAGCGCGACAATACGAAAGAATAGGAAAGAGGAAGAGTACTTGACGAGAATAGGCCGTATTGTTGCCCGGACTCGCGTGGGCGCTTCTCTATTGTCGCGAGACCGGGATCCACGCGCGCTGGCTCCATCCCCATCGCGCCCACAGCACAGTGTAGACCCATCTCGCCGCTCGCGTGAGGTGTGAAACGCATATATTGCTCCTCATGCTCATGCTCATGCTCTTGGGCACTGCAGCATCCCGTTCCACCAGCGTTAGTGATGGAGGCATTCGCCCCAGTCGAGCCATCAAGCAGCATGACTTCGCAGTAGTCCATCACGCTCTATTGGCTGGCAATCTCTCCGGCAGCTGCACGCCACAGATGCAGGTGAAGTCGATGGAACGACTGGCTGGCATGGTACAGCTTCACGCGGCGCGTAGGTAGTGTTTCATCTTTCCCGACTTGCGCCTTGCCTTGCACGCCTAAATGATCGCGTCCAGAAAGTTGTAGGCTTCGGCCCCGTCGGATTATTGCCTTCCTGCCGACTCCTCCTTCTCGGTTCCGCGGTCACCGATGGCCGCATCTCATAAGTGACGATGAAGGAGATGGGAGAGAAGATGCGCAGTGTTGCGACGGAAGTTGAAGCCGAATTGCGCACGGGCCACATCACGACCTCACGCTTGGCATATCGCGGAAAAGTAAGGTATCAAACATCAGTCCGCACGTAGAAGAGACGGAGCGCGATCTGAGCTTGACGGACTTTGCATAGCCACCCTAGACTATCAAGCTATCGTACATACAAGCTTCTTCATACAACCGCTCACGATCCTCCGTCCAGGACCCTCGTGCTCGGGCTGTCCCTTTCAAGATCCTCCTGTTATCCTGCTAGGTCCTTCACACTCGGGCTGTCCCAGCAAAATGATAACTCACACCACATCTCTTACACTCTCCTCACCCGGGTACCACACTCCTCCCAAGTCCCCTCAGAGGCTGCTCACTTCCGCCCGCCATTGGAGCGATGGAGCATCTCGTGAGCGATGGCCTCAAGCTGGGCAGCGTAATCGAGCGGATTGCAAATGCTCTCGGTGGAGTTGATGTTGACTCGCATTCGCACTGGATCAGGTACTGGATGTTGATGCTCGCATAGATACACGCCGTCGGTGTTGTAGAAGATGGCCGTGATCATTCCGCGCAGGCGTTCGGTGATCGATGGCTCCGTGGTACCAGGCGATGGCTCGCTGTGCCGAGTGCCAGACGAAGAGGCGCTGTCTCGGCGAGAGCTGCTGTCAACGGTGCTAGAAGAAGCTGCGCTGGCAGCTGCTGCCTCTCGCTCTGCATCGTCCTTCTCCCTAGCCTTCTGAGCAGCCGCCAAGACCTTCTGAAGCAGCGGGTCGTCGCTCTGTCCCGAATATCTACCAGCACGAGCTGCAGCGGCGATACCGATGAGATCGCGGCGGTTGCCCCAGAGTCGGATGTAACGCCGCGCGTCTGCGCTGTCGGGGTCAGTGGAGTGGTCCACAACCTCCTCGGCGATCTTCCGGTGAGCTTCATTGATGAACTCGGCACCATGAGGGTACTTGTGCAGGAAAGCCTGAGTCTGAGTCAAATCAGCCGCGGCATCATACGCCAGCGAGCTGACGACCCGATCTTCGATCTCTTGCTCGCGCGGTGGACGAGACACACCCGCTCCCGGGGGATTCGGAGCGATCAGACGTGCTGGTGCAGGCGCTGGAGCGGACACCGATGCTGAGACGGGTTCCAGGGAAGAACTAGGAGCCAGCGAGGGTGCTCTCGCTCGTGCAGCAGAGGGAACGGCACGAGTCCGAGGTCCTGACAGCGAGGCAGTAGATGTTGCAGGTGTCACGCGCTGTCTCGCAATCGTGCCATGTGGCGGTACTGCGGAAGGTCTCGCCGTCGTTGTCGCGGGCGCTGGAGTTGTAGACGGGGTCAACAAAGAGGAAGTAGATGCACCTGCCGTCTGAGGCGAAACACTTGAACGAGGAGCGGCCGCAGGCTGGGGCTGCGCGGTGCTTGATGCCATTTGCGGTGGACTGGAAGTTGCAGGTGCTATCGCTGTGGACTGCGTGGACTGAGACTTCTTCGACATGATGGAGCGCGTAAGATCCAAGAGACTCTTGCCAGTGGATGGAACGGTTCGCGGAGTGGCGCCAGAAGTGGATGGCGAATTCCATGAGGCAGGGAAAGCTCCCGGCAAGGCGTTGAAGCCTGGTATCGCCGGTGCAGAAGTCGAGCCCGAAGATGTAGAGCTTGTGCGCGGAGCAGTGTTCGCGCTCGATACTGAAACCGAGGCCTTTCCGAGCTGAGGAGACGCAACGGCAGGCGTTGCAGCAGAACTGTCATGAGAACGCCGACCAGCTGATGTTGAAGCACCCACAGCTGTGGGTCTAGAAGCGTTGGATAATCGATGCGTACCCTGGATCGCGTTAGCCGTCGAAGCTGCTGAGGATGCTGCGAGAAACGTAGTCGGCATGGCAGGCATTGCAGGGCGGCTTGCGGCAGTGGAGGAAGAGGACGTCTTGCTAGCACCATTGACATTCAGGGCTGACGATAGCAGGTCCCTGAACTCCGGGGTTGGAGGAGCCACAACCGACTTCGCGGCAGAGGTCCCAGGACGTCCTGTAATTGCAACACGAGCACCTTTGATGAAGCGGAAAGCGCCGGCAGCGCGTGGAGATGGTGCGCGCTGACGGCTCGGATCTGTTCGTGGTGCAGGTCGGTGAGTATAGTTGATCTGAGAGCGAGGCGGTCGAACAGCACCTGGCGAGCGATCTCGCTTCTGCTGCTCCTGCTGTTCAAGAGCCTGTCGATGCCCCTGTCCACTGTACCGATTTTCCATCTTCTCCGCGATCTCGTCCGTTCCGAATATCGAAGGGGTGTTCCACTTGGCAATCATCTCCCCCTTAGCATTGCCGCTCTTGGCGCCCTCAAGCGCTCGATTTCGGTGTGCCTCAGCCGCGGCGAATTTCTTTTCCTCTTCGTCACGGACGTGACGAGGAGCCTTGCCTCGGCCTCGGTCGCGATCGTCTTCTTCAGGGGCAGAGACGACATCGCGACGCTCGTTGCCAAGATCGGCGAACATCTGGGCCACCAAGGGGTCCATAATGCCGCCGTGGGTGCGCGAGTGTCGCGGTGGGTTTCTGAGCGGCGGTGGGTGTTGGTTGTAGGAAGGAAAGGAGAGAAGCGAGGGCGAAGTTGATGCCCTTTAAAGGTATGTGCTTTGCAGCGGTTTGTTGTTGCCTTGCCAAAAGTAGCTCCCCGCTAACCCGGGCCGAGAAACATGGGCATCGGAGGAAGGAGCCCGTGAGGTGCGTCGCAGCTGCCTTCTAGACGTTCGACAGCTGAGGTGCAACGAGGGGCATTCAACGATGATGAGATCTGAATCGTTCTTGTGGCCCAAAAAGAAGATTCGAGAAAGACGTGACGTGACTCGAAACGCGGCTTCTGAAAGAGGCAGACGTAAGGTGCTTGTGATAGACATGTCGCCAGTCTTACGCCCGACTCAGAGGCGAGAGGATTCTCCATGCGAGAGGTTACCAAAGAATACCAAGGTAGTAGATACCGGAGTGTCCCTCGCAGAGTCCGAGCAGCGAACGGGTGAGGTGATTCTGCTGGTAGGCAGTCAGACTGGCGAGTAGCAGGCTTTGCTTGTGATCGATTCAAATCTCCAATGTTGAAGCACACCCCGTCCAAGCAGATTCTCCAGATGCAGACTCCAAGACGACTTGCAGTAGTGAGGTATCGACCAGTCCAAGCACATCTTCCACCGTAGATTCCACATCACGAGCTATCCTATGCCGATGGCCCAGGGGTCTCCAAAGGGTACGAAAGATCACTAATCGAAGTGATTGCTAGCAAAGGCAAACCCTCTCCCAATTTGCCGAAGGTCGGGGGCTGCTTGTCAGCAGCCAAGCCAAATTTGTCCCTCCGTCAGGCTCCGTAGCTCTCAGGAGATTCCGCATGCTTTCACGTGCTGACGTCGCGGGCATTCGCCAAGTGCCAGAAATCCGTCAAAAAGCGTCTCTGGACGACAGGACCTCAGCTCAGCTCAGCTCTAGCCTCGCGACCAGTTGCACTCAGCCGGGAGATCTATGTTCACAGGCGTGGATGCACGCTGGAGTGAAGCGAATGTATGCCGATCCGGGCTCATCTTCTCAGATCAATGCCAGCAAGGCCATCAAGAGTGCCCCCTCGGCCCCGAATCTAGCCAGGGCTGTTGGCCTTGGAGGTGCTGCGGCGCTCATGGTAGATGTCACGGTGGTACGCGAAGAAGTCGCGGCGGCCAGCTTCTCTACACCAGCAGTGATAGTCACGGGTACATAGCTGACTTCGCTCTTGGCCAGCGTCGACGTACTTGCGGCCACTCCCAGGCCAGGTACGGTGGATATCGCAGTGCAGACCGCAGACGTAGCCACTCCGATGGGAGTGCGATCAGCGTGGGCTCCTGCCAGTTGGCATTCGACTGTGAGTGGTACGGCAGTCCTGGATTGATCACTGTAATACATTCAGCGCTGAGTTCGCTTTCACCGAATGTCTTGGCCGGCTTGATGAGCCCTTTGCACATACACTCCTCTATAGCTCTCCGTGAAAATGACTGTGCTCTCGCCCTCTGTCACCGTAACCGGATCCACGTACTTGCAACTCGTCGCGGCATTCGAAGGACCCTGCGCGCAACCTAATTCGTAAGCTGTCTGACTTAAGTCCTGGGCGCGAAGACAGTCAGCCAAAGCTCCGCAGTAAGCTCAGCAAGTGAGGTCTGCTCACCGCGGAAATGATGGATGCTTCGATACGGTCTGGATGGCCCATGGGTAGAAAGAGCGAAATCGTCGAAGCGGTCGTGGTTGCATTTTCCTGGGCAAGGGCGCATGCGAAAAGGCCCAGGCAAGAAAAGATGATCCTCGCCGTCCACATTCTGTCATCAGAAAACAACCTCATCTTCGTCCATCCATCCCCCTTCTCGACTTCCGGTCAAGTATTCAAGCCCATCATCGAGAGGAGAAGATCGGATGGCACTGGGGCACGGCCTTGTACTTACGGCGGCCTGCCAAGACATGGTTGTCTTGCGCTATTCATATCTGTCCGACGCCAAACGCTGGACTTGGTGAATGGTGATAGGCTGTGCGTTCGGGAGACTTCATTGAGAGGCTTAATGCCAACCCTTGGCCTGATCTTGGCGGTGGCATGAAGGGATGTCGTGCTCTGTGATGGGTTGGCTATACGGGGCTGTAATATTTGATTGATGTCGCCGGGGAATTGATGGGGTCGGAAGTGCTCTGGACGCGTGCAACTTTACGCGACGAGCTCGTTACACGACATCCTGCTTCTAAACTTCTCTCAGGAAACGACGACATCCCGCGACAAGGACACTTCGCATTTGACAATATCTGGACGAGAAGATACCATGTCGGAAGCGTGGGCCAAGGACGTGTTTGTCGCTTTTCAGTCCGACGGGAGCCTACAGAACCGCATCCTCGACGCAGCCCACCGATATCCAGGAGAACTCCCGGCATTGTTTGGGGATATCGCGAAATATGTCCTGGCGACACAGCAATCAACTACATCAGCAATACCAACGACCTCAAAGAAGAGGAAGCTCGACGATGCCCCAGTCGTGACAAACGGCACCAAATCGACTGAGATCTCGAATCCAGCGGTCTCCTTCGAGTGCAACAACGTCAGCTTCCAAGTTCCAGCACGTAAGAAGTTGAAGATCGAGCTTGTCGCCGACCAAGCGGACAACAAAAAGCAGGAGGTCAGGCTCGTAGACCCCAAGACGAACGAGAGGGAGCATACACTTGGAAACGGACAGATCGAGGAGATCTTTTGTCTTCCCGTGCCGGAGAAGCAGCAGCGACAATGGAACTTCTGCATCTTCCCCCGATCAGGAGCGACAAATGCAGAGGGCATGCCCTGCGAACAGATGGTCTTCACTTTGAACGAGACCAAGCCAGACGATGCGACTTCATCAAGCAGACCCGCAGCGGAAGGGGATACATACATTTCCGTCATGGAGCGAGAACTCAATCAGCTACTACAACCATACGGCAAGCACGTAGTGAGACCGACAGACGCCGAATTCGCAAGCAGTATACCGCAATCCCATCGCAAAGGGGAAAAGGCATACCACGTCAAAGCGCACCGAGGAACAAAAGAAGGTGAGACTCAACCCCCCGCGACCTCAAGAAATACGTCCCACTAACTCGCGACAGGATACCTCTTCTTCCTCCCAAACGGCATAGTCTTCGGCTTCAAAAAGCCCCTGTCCTACTTCGCCTTTTCTTCCATCGAATCCATAAGCTACACCTCCGTCCTCCAACGAACTTTCAACCTGGTGATTGCCTCCTCTGAAGGCCCCAGCGCAGACGCCGAAGTGAAAGAAACAGAATTCAGCATGCTGGATCAAGCGGATTTCGCGGGTATTGACGAGTACGTGAAAAGGCATGGATTGAACGATGCTTCGATGGCGGCGCAGCGGAAAGCGAAGGCGTATAATGTGAATAAGGAGGGGAAAGCAGCCGAAGCGAACGGGGAAGCTGGTGCGGGAGGGCAGGAGGAAGACTCGGAATTGCAGAAGGCGGAACAGCAATTGCAGGACGAAGAAGATGAACTGGAAGAGGATTATGAGGCTTCGGGAGGGGAGAGTGATGGCGAGGGAGAGGATAGCGAGGCGGAAGATGGGGAAGAAGGCGAGGAGTATGCCGAGGACGAAGATGGCGAGGAGTATGATGATGATGAAGGCATGGAGCATGAGGAATAACGCAGATGTCCGCGTAATGAGACACAGAATAAATCTGCCAGGCGAGTTGAGGTATGTCAGAAGGCTGAACAGTGGAAAAGCCCCATGAGCTTTCCTCCGCCCCAGACCACGTTGATCGTTGATCGAAAGATTCAGCAAACCAACCCAACCCAACCCAGCCGTGAGATATCTTCATTCAGATCTTCCTCACAGCATACTAATCTATACAACCCAGAAGATATTGATCTGAGTCAATCTACAGTCCCAATCTCAACTGCTTACCCACCTTAGTCTCCCGCCATGCGCAGGGAACATTGAAGAGTCTCGTGGTAGAGGAATAATGTCGCTGCTCCGTACGGGAGGGAGGACTTGGAAGGGAGGGAGTGGGCTCGGAGAAGATAAGGTAAATCACCGTTTTCCGCGCGGGAGTCGATGTAGGTACATGTAGCGTTGGTAGCGGGTTTATAGGCAGTTTTACTAGTGCTTCGCGCGATTGCAGTTGCCGTTACTCGAGGACGTTATTTTTTTTTTTTTCCGTGAGAAGAAGAAAAGCTGCATGGGTGATGTATGTGTTGGAGATAGAGGGGTGCATGGGCCCTGGTGGAAAGGTGTACGGACGGTAATGTCTGTTTCGAAGTGGTGGTTGTGGGCCCAAGGAAGCTCAGTCGGGGGTATATAAAAAAAGGCGGTATCTATCTAGGGAGGGTATGATAAGATATTTTTTAGATCCAAAAGCAGGACCGGTCCTTTTCTTTTTTTCTTTTCTTTTTTTTTTTTGGTTTGCGTCAAAGCCAATCTCCAGCTGAACAGTAATCTAGGGGCTGGACGATATATGAGCCTAGTAGGCCTGCGATACGGGAGGTGGCATCGCGATCCGACGGAGACTCTTCGCGTGTCGGAAGACTACATTGGTATGGATCAGTCCATGTCAACCAACCGGAAGGACATGAGCACCAATCCCACACCGGCCCCAAAAGCCAAGCCTAGAGCAACATCACATCCAACATTTTATATAACCTGCTATCGATCCGTCCACTCATTAATAGCGATGAGTCTACAAAGCATGCAAGCAAGCAAGCAAGCAAGCAAGCAAGTAAAGAGGTATCCGTCTCTCAGCCTTCGCCTTCCGCACCCATAATTCGCCATTGCGTTCGTTCAGAATAGGACTTCTGAAGCCCCAGAGATCAGCGAACTCTCTCAAGCCATCAAACGTCGTATACTCACGGCCCTCTGATATCTGTCTCTCTGGATTCAGCGCTCAAGACTCATGTTCCGTATCCCCTGGAGCAGGCATATGTGCTTGTCGTTAGGAGGAGGGAAAGGGGAGAAAGGAGGGAGTGAGTTGAGGTGCTGGAATTGTTCAGAAGTGTAGCACTAAAGGAAATCGACCTGGTAGACTGGAGCTCGGTCGAGGGCGATACAAATAAAACAACGGGTACCACGAATCCTAGGAGTGTGAAGGTAGTAATGACAGGTGACATTTCTCTGGGCATTTCGGCATGAGTAATTTGCTTTTCCTTTTTGGCGGCATACCACACACGACTCATGGGGGCGGTTGCTTTCAGGCTCGAGCTTGGAGGCGGTGATGTGCGGTCGGTACTTCGAATTCACGTCCCTTCGACAACGCTTGGATTTTCATGAAGGTATTGCCGCTGGTCGCTACATTGCAGCTTTGGGGAGCGTGGCTCTTCTGGCGTTGGTCAAGTGTTCAGTGCTGGCCATTGTGAAGGATGAGTCAGTTGGAAAGTGCGTCCCTTGCTGTACAGTATACAGCTTCAACCGCCTTTCCACCCTGATCTGGGTACGTGTAAACCGCTCGCGCACGTGGTGAGCGTGCTGCTCAGGACGCTTGCGCAGGACACTTTGTCGGGCCGTCCGGGAGCGGTGGATTTCGGATATGAAGAAGAGCAATTCCTCGTTGTATGATTCTGTAGACCAACTTTCTCTCGATGTTGGCTCGTCTAGCTGTGATGAACGTCGAAGTAGACACATCCTAACTTTGGCATGACTCGTAATTTCACTTTCCAGGGTATTGGTACGGCACCGCAGTCTTTCCAACTGTCGCATTGGGTTTTCGAACGTGCTGAATGCTGAAAGTAGCGTGAGGGTTGTTCGGGAACCAGGTGCGTGAAGGAGCGGTATAAGACATTCAAACACATAGCCTTTCGTCCCTACGTCTATTAGCACATTCGAAGTGACTTCCCGAGCCATTCTGTATTTCTCATCCAGACACAACTCGTTGCATCCCCCGTGATATGCCGCATGCTCGTGTTAACTCCTATGTGAGCTTCTGCTTGATAAAGAACGCCCTCAGATAGGTCAACTGCCAAGCGCAAGTCAAGCCCAGCACAACGCACTGAAGCAGCGCCCACCGAGCCACTCTCGCATTGACACTCTCGCTCTGGTCTCTGAACTCTGCTTCTCGCTCCCGCTGGAAAACCTGCTCCCGCCTGACATCTTGCAATCTCGCGTTCAGGTCCCTGACCTTCTGTACTACCGAGTCGATCTTGCTCTTATCCGCGCTTTCGATCTGGGTAGTCTCGCCGATCGCCATGTCGAGTTCGAATTTGATTCCGCCGACTGCGTAGCCGCTGAAGAGGAAGCCGTGGGTTGCGCCAACGTTGGTGGGTGTGAAGCAGAGGCGATGTTCGCCGGAATCGGCGGCTGTGAAGGTGAATTTGCCTTCAGCGGCACCGCGCTGAGAGACGACGCGGTGATCTTTGACGAAGTCGAAGACTTCGTCGACGGTTATGAAGACGCCCTGAAGGTAGCTATGTTAGGGATGGCATTGGGGGTAAGGAGGAGGATTGAAGGTACCATGTCAGGATTGGGTTGGTAGGACCGTGCCTGTTCGTTCCATTGCGTCGCTTTGAAGTGTCCTGATCCAGCTCATCAGTATCGGAGTGCAGTGCCTTGCCAATGCGACGGATTGTTTCGACATACCAACTACCAACGTGTCCTTTGGCAGCACCTCGAAGAAGCACTTTTGTGTCGGTCCGTCGAGGTAGAAGTAGAGTGCTTGTACTTGGCTCACAACGAGCGCGAGGCTCAAGCAGCTCGGTATTGACCACATGGTTGGGTGAGGGTGTTGCTGAATGTGAGTGCTGCTCCCGATGTTGGCGATCTGGAGATCTTCTGGACACCACACGCGACTGTTGGCTCTCTCCGCCGTTTAGACTTTCGCAGGGGTTCATCCAGGTCTTGGCAACTTCCCCGTGCAAAGCTTGCCTGGATCAGGTTACACACCAACGACGGGACATCTCTTTCACATGCCAACGTCCAAACGATTCCATCATCAGCGAAGATCGCGCCGCATCTTTGACACATATTTTGCTGACGCCGTGTCACCGTCTCCCGTTTCGCTAGCGGCATGTCAACAGGCAGCTCTACATGTCGACCGGTGTGGCAATCGCCAATCAGCTTGCCGCGGACCAAACTGGAATACCTTCTCGGTGTCCTGATGCAGTCTCCCATGTGCCAAACTTGGGAGGCGGCGACACGTTCTACAGAGCGATTGGCGTCCTGCAGCTGCTGCCTTGCTGCTACCTGCTCGCCAAACAAGGTATAAAGAGGTCAAGTAGCTAAGGTGTTGACCCTCATCGAGCCATCTCCAGACTCGCATTTTCCTCTCCTCTCGCTTCATCTCTGATCCATACGTCAACATGGGCGACTTTGTGAACGGCACCAGCCATGCAGGCCATGGCCAGCAGGATACTGTCTATGGCCGCTTCAAATCCCATTTCTCTGCGAATCGTGGTGATACCGAAGTCAACATGTTCGAAGCCGTGAGGAGTCTCCACCCAGATAAACACGTTACCGAGATTCCGGTCTTTCAGGCCGATCTCATGGAATTTGCAGAAGCCGGGAAGGCTACCGCGAGACTGATCAGGAACGGCGAGGAATTCCTTGCATACAGAGGCTACACGGCTCCTACAGGACGACAGAGTGCCACTGAAGGCAAGCTATTCGAGAGGGTCAAGTTCGGTCTCCATGAGTACTCTTATGACGGCGATGATTTTCTGGTCTACGTTATGGACTGGCCTGATGCGGATAACCAGGGCACGACACTGATGCAATTCGTTCTCGCGCCCAAGACTGACGTTGATGCCGAGAATCACTCTCCCACGGCCGACAAGCTCATCAAAGCTGCGGGAAGGTACTCGACGGACCTGCACGAGGAAATCTACGTCTTCGATGGAGGATACTGGGCAAAGAACCACAAACTTTGGGAGGCTGTGCAGTCGTCCTTTTGGGAAGATGTCATACTCGATCCGGCAATGAAAGACACTTTGATCAAGGATGTGGACAATTTCTTCGACAGTCGAGCAGTCTACAAGGAGTATTCGGTGCCCTGGAAACGTGGAGTCATCTTTCACGGCTCTCCAGGCTGCGGCAAGACAATCAGTATCAAGGCCCTCATGAACGCCCTCCAAAAGCGCGATGTCGCCAGCTTGTATGTAAAGTCTTTCAAAGGCTGTCAAGGCATGCAGCACTCGATTCGAAGCATATTCAGCCAGGCTCGAGAAATGGCTCCTTGCATGCTGGTTTTCGAGGACCTGGACAGCTTGGTCGTGGACGAAGTTCGCTCTTACTTTCTGAACGAAATCGACGGTCTCGAGGATAATGACGGCATGCTCATCATCGGTAGCACGAATCATCTTGACCGACTGGATCCTGGTATTGCCAAACGTCCTTCTCGCTTCGACAGAAAGTACCACTACAAGCTTCCCGGCGAGCGCGAGAGAGTTCTGTATTGCCAGTACTGGCGCCAGAAACTCCAGCAAAACAGCAGCATCGAATTCCACGAGGACATCTGCAACGTCGTCGCCCAGCTCACCGAAGGTTTCAGCTTCGCCTACCTCAAGGAACTCTTCGTCCAAACTCTCCTCGCCATCGTCGGTGGCAGAGCGGACCTTGAAGATGATACCGATGATGGCTATGTGACCGTCACGGACACTGTGGCGGAAGAGACCAAAGTTGTCGATGATTCCGCTAAGCTTGCGAAAGACGGCGAGACCACTACCAGCACTAAGGAGAAATCTGGTGAGGAGAAGAAGGAACCTAAGAAGAAGATGCAGATGCCCGAGGTGGAGATTCCCGAACATCTGAAAGAGAGCTCTCTCATGCGAATTCTGCGGAAGCAGACTAAGGCCCTTTTCCAGGAAATGGACAATACGGAAGACGACGGAATTCATGCCAGACCAAAGTTTGATTAAATTGGTCGAAGTCGTCAAGAAGTGGCTTGTGTGGGAAGAAGGCATACAAAAGATTCGCCATTTCGGAGTACTATGCTCGCTGATGGCAAATGAGATTTCTGAGGATAGGCTCACTCCGCATCTCGATCCACTCTGATTGAAGGGAAATAGCCAGATCTCCTGACTTCCCTACTTCTTCGCTCTGCTCTCATCCCATCATCACTTTCACCTCCACCTTTCCACCTCCCGCTTCCTCCTCCTTCCCCGTCTTCAAGTGCTCTTCAATAGCTTCACATAATTCTCTCTGCTCTCGCTCCGCTTTCTGACCGCCACCCGCCAGAAACCAATCGTCCTCATCACCACTCAGCTCCCCATCACCACCACCTCTCGGAAACCTCCCCTCCACCTTCTCTCTCTCCCCCTGCAATCGTAAGATCAAACTCTTCAACCCCACGATCAGATTTCGAAACCGGAAATCATCCGCGAATTTGGCGCTCAATGCCACATCGTAAAAAGCATGGGTGTAAGGCGCGAGGGGATGGGTGGGGAGGGCTAGGAGAGTTTCTTGTGCTTGGATCTAGGAGTGCCAAAAAAAAAACCCCGTCAGCAAATCAGAAAGGAGAAGAAGGAGCTGGAGGAAGGAGAAGGGAAACCATTTTACATACCAGAACCTCACAAATCTGCCTCTCCCTCCTTTCGTCGAGAAGTTCTTGGAGTTTTTCCCGGGCGGTCTGGTAGGTTGCGAGGGCGAAATGGAGGAGGGATTCGAGTTCGGCGGTCGTGAAGTCGTTGGGGTCGGGGAAGGGGGTTCTGTTGGGGGGTGAGGAGGAGAGGATGTAGGATTTGAAGGTTTGGAGGTCTGTTGGTAGTGGTGGGTGTGGTTGAGAGGGGGATGATGGCATGATGGCTTTTGTTGTTGGTGTTGGGAGGAGGAGGAGGAGGCGGAGAAGGAGGTGGGAATGAGATGGGCGGAAAGGGGGGTGGAGGAAGGATACACCTCCTGATTCGAAGAGGTGAGGATGTTTTGAGAGTTTTGTCGCTGTGGGCATTTTTGGCTGAGACATTGTTCATCGATAGAGGTAGTTTGACGATGAGATAGCTTGTCGAGGAAGTGTTTCTACGAACAATGACACTGCCTTTTGTCGTGTCTCGGATCTGCACACCCGTTCATTCAACGCTTCACTTGCTGAGCTCAAGACCATGTATTTGATCAGTCACAAAGAATATTCTCGTTTTGGGAAGAAGCATTTGTCTCAGACATGATCCTCCTATGATACGTCTAGTATAGGTGTTTCTCTGATGATCACGGCGAACAATACAGGAATGTGGTATGTTCTCACCTCCCTGCCTAGCAAGTTACGTTTACGCGGGCTGTGATAGGTCGGAGATATCTTCACATGCTGGCAGGAAGTGAGGCTTTCCAGAAATGGTAATGTACTTCACTCGCTAGCGCTTCATAGCCATGTCTCTATCGTCCTTCCTTTTCGGATTACATTAAGATCGTTTCGACTTCTCGAGGATATCTTTCCTTCTGCACGATACCCTCCACACCATCATCCAATCTTTGCGGGTTGCCGGGGTGACCAACAACAGCAACCAATCCATCCGCACCGGCTTCGCAAGCGAACGACAAGCGACGCGTCCATCATCTCACGCCTTGCGACAAACGACCATCATCGACATGTCCCTTTGCAACTCACTCGTCTCCATCAAGTCAAAAGATTGCGCAGACCACCAATGGTACCCCAAAACATCGCCCTCGCTCTTCTTCGCCTGCTGCAATCCTCTCAAAGACTACCACGGTATGTTCCACACCATCTACATCTGCAACCGATGCAGACTCGAGGTATGCGAGTCCTGCGCCGGAGACATGGATGGCACCATGCTCGAACACTTCCCTCTCCAGGTCCAGGTGCGGCGCATCAGGCAGATTGAAGCAGCAGAGCAGGCCCAGCCTTTCCGGGCTCTGGAGAATGTCGTTCGCTTCAAGTGGCTTATGCAGAAGAAGTTGGAGGAGATGAAGGCTAAGAGTGAGGCGGTCGAAGGCCCGAAGATTAGTCTTTGGAAGGAAGAGGAGGAGGAGGAGGAGGGCTGTGATGATAAGGAGGCGGAGGGACGGAACGAAGAGAAAGTGGAGCTGGAGTCTTGCTGAAGGTCATGGGGTGTTGGCGTTTGGTCCGTTCTCGATGGGCGTGATGCCGCTCTATTTCGCCAATTTGGAACAGCCGTGGCGGAAGCAAGTCGCTCGGCGGCTGCTGGCATGCTGGCATGTGAGCTCCCGAAGTTCACCCGGATGGGTTTGGAACGTCCGGTCTACAGATCAAAGAACAATCAGCCTCAGACCATGCATAACAGTCAGTTGGACATGGTAAACATGTGACACGTAAGTCCGTGCGCGCCGCTATCTTTTAGCGCGGAGCATGGCTTGCTTACTAAGTGCTGTTGCACGAACACAACAGACATATTCGAAATGTGTAGAGCAGAAGTGAAGTGGACATTGACTTTTGTTGGAAGTCTACAGATATGCTCGATCAAGACCAATTCCGAACGCTTGACAGAACGGATGCAGCAAGTAAGTAGGAGCCCGCTCGCGAACTCACCATGTCGAGAGCCTTTTTGTTTGCCATCCTTCTTCTGATTCTTTCCCTTACAACCGTCTTTTGGACATATCCTGTCAGCATGCCCTGGTCGCTTTCTTTTTTCTCCCGGAGCAACTTTCTTTAAAGGAGCTTTCCTATACGCTATCTTTGCTCTTCTTGCTTGTGTGTGGAATTGCAACGATGAGTACCTCAGCCTTTTTAACGAACGAACATCAATGAAACAAACTTCATCCCCATTGAGGTGCTTTCACAACATAACACGATAGATCCCGTGGATGATAATTGAGTAAGATACTTGCGAGTTGGTGGACAAGTTCTTGTTCTTCGTCAACGATCAAGTCATGAAACAGAGCTTCTTCTCAGCTCCTTAACGAAGAGGAAGATCACATCCTTAACAAAAGGGCGCTAGCGCTTTGGATTACGTAACTGCAAGCACGTGAAAACGCGAGGTTATACGGAGAAATACGCTCAGCAGCTCATCAGTCTGGTGTCCTCCTCAATATAGTCTTGAGTAGGGGCTGGCACAACATACGTCTTGAGGACGATCCCAAGCCCTCCGAGCCGCAAGCTCTGCCTTACGTTCCAACAACCTAAATCTCCAAATCCAACCCAACCCTCTTCCTCTCCCAAGCGTCCCACCTATCCATCAGGTTTCCTTCAATCCCCACGTCCTTAGTCTCCACATCACGCCCCCAAATCTCTTCACCGACTCTCCCACCAGCCCAAACCGTCGCACTACTCCACAACGCTAGAGAGACGACATCCTGAGCATCTAACTGCTTATAACCCGGCGCGGAAATGCCGGCTCCAGAGTGGGAGGAGATGGAAAGTGGGGAAGCCCGATAGTCGCTGCTAGCAGTCTGAGCACGAGATGAAGCCAGAGTCTGAGGTTGTGGGGGTGGTGATGCGGTGCTAAGGGAGCGAGCATGAGAATTTGTTTTCAGGAGTCGAGGACCTGGAGCTGCGTTGTCTGATCGAAGTAATCGTGGGCCGGCGAGGGTAGAATATAGTAGTCTTGGCCCTGGTGCGTGTGCTGTTTTGAGGAGCCGGGGACCAGCCCTGCCGGCCAGCGTCGAGATGGCTTGTCTAGACAGAAATGGTCGGAACATAGGGAGTGCTCTGTTCTCGGCTTGTCAATGTGACAAATCGCGAAGGAAAAGGATATGGTCAAAAGGAATTTCGATCGACGAGCGACAAGCTTCCTTGTGTCTTTTATGTCAGCCTTGCTTCCCGTGGCAAAGCTTCGAGCCCCGAAACCCGAAAATGTCTACCAACCCCGAAAACATCCAAAACACCGAGTACTGTTTGGCGAAGCGTCATGTATGTTCCAGATCGAGTAAAAAGACTTCGTACTGTTGTTGTCTCTGCCCTGTTCATTTGCATTCACTCATCCGCTGGGCGAAGCTGGTCACGTGATAGACAGCCTTCGTTTCGCCCACCCACCCGGCTCCTTGCTCTCCTTCCATCATTTCTTCTCCTCAGCCTTCTCGACCTTCTCCTTCATCCAAGGCCAAGTGACCTCCTTGATCTCCCCGACGGCCAGATAACCAAGGTAAACCGCGCCGACGCCCGCGAGCAGGAGGAAAGCTTTGTCCGACCAGTGTAACGGGGTGTTATCGTTTTCATCTGGGCGATGCAGACCTTCGATGCGACCGGTGATGTGGAGGGGCTTGTTGAGACGAGTGGTGGTTGCCAATGTGCGCTTGGTAGTGGTAGTGAGTGGGAGCTTCGCGTAGGTGCGCAGCGCGCGTGTGGCGTTGGAGAGTGCGGTGGTAGACATGTTTGCTCCGAGTGGTGTTGCTGTTGAAGGAGTCTGCACATTGGTAAGTGGCAACCTGAGGATGTGAGGGCGGAATTGTGTCTTGCGTACCTGTGACTGTCTGCGTGGCCTTCTCTCCTTCGTCCTCGAGTTGTCCTCAGCAAGAGCAAGCTTTGCGAGCGATACTGTTGGCGGGTTGTTCCTGTGCTAGAGAAATGAATGAAATGCGCGCAATAGAGAGTTGTCTCGCTAGGTTTGCGTTCTTGTTCGTGAGAAACATGTGGAAATTCACCAGCGCAGCCGAGAGACCCGAGCAGCAGACGGGGATCGGCCTACGTGCCGAGTCTCATGGACTGTGGGTGAATGGAACATCTGCCAAACGGAATCCCGCCGCATGGCCTTTGACTTTGCCGAAGGAAATAAGAAAATCAAAATGTCAAATGAAAAGGAAGGAAAGAGAGAAAGTGGTCGAAAGTACTTACGAAGTTACCTACTCACTGCTAAATCGTGGGCCGCACCTCTGCGTCTCGTATCCTTCCAGGCACTATCGACATGCTCTCAATTCCTTCATGAGTTCGTCCCTGGGCATCGGGCTGGGTTTCTAGCTCTGCGCATCCAATCGAGTCGATCGTGGGATATCTGTCTTCCATCTCTTCTCCAACCAATGCCGCTGACGGCGGGTCCTATGTCAATTCCGTTCTCCATTACTGAGCCAGCCCACCAAGTCGCGCCACGTCCTCCACCCTGCGCATTTGTCTCATGTTTCGATTTCTTGCGGCGAGTATCCCGCAGTGGAGGACGAACTTGCGACTGTTCACGAGAGGACCCCTGCACGTATAGGCGGGAAGCTGTATTCTGCTGCTCGGAAGCGACCGTCTCCCATGATTCTGTTGATGCGGCTGGATGCACGTTCTTGCTGACGTTGTTCCGAAGGGTGTCATGCCCGCTGTCTGTATCTTTTGTATGCTCGCGCCCAAATTCTGGGGTGTGAATGCGAGGAGGATCATCAGGAGTCTTTGAACGGCTTGCTGTGTATTTATTGTGGCTCTCATTCCCGCGGGCCTCCTTGAACAGATGTGGACGGCCATTGACCTCGGCAGATAGACGCCATACGCCCTCATCCAAAGCGTAGACAGGCGCAGCAACAGCCAAGTCTGCCAGAGCAAAGATGGCGTTATGCAGCCATGAGTCCACGATGCCGACCTTTGGAAGTGGAGTGGCGTTTGACACGGCCGCTCCAGAAATGCCAGATGGATGACTTTCGCTAACTTGAGAAGGGATTATGAATCTCTCAACGTGCGGTACGTTCTTTGCGAGGGCTACGTCTTGATCCGGAGCAGATACGCGGCTTTCGCGGTTCGCACGACGCGAGCCGCAAAGTGCTTTCTTCACGCCTTTCCAGACGTTGTTCCTGCGCTTCGCTCTCGAGTTGTCCGACATCTTGCCCAGAAATTCGTCGTCTGCCGTGGCTGGTGATGCAGACCACGATGCTGGTAATGAAATTGGTCGCGCAGGTCGTTCGATGGAGCTCGCACCGGGCCAACTAGCAGGTGATGGCATGTGAGACCGACGTGACATAGTCCTTAAAGTGCGGCACACTGGGCGTCTTGTAATGGTGTATGAGTGCCCCAATCATGCCGCGCCTTGCTGAGCGAGTGAAAGGGTCCTATGGTGTGTTCTGAACGGGCCCGCAGCAGCGCTTTTATTATTCCCTGACAAGTGCGAAGCCTGTAGTGAATAGTCCAAGTGATTTGGGTGGCTTTGCGCTTTCACGCACTGTTTCACATTACATGGCCGGAGAAACCTTGCCAAGATGGACGTGAACCACAACGTGTCTCCATCTCATCTAATATCAGCCGCGATTGGACCCTCCTCTTCTGTGCTTCCTTCTCCATACAGACCGGCATACCACATTGCATACTCGGCTCCAAGGCCCAGGCTTATCGCGCCTCCGGTAAACCAGGCTCCTTTTTTGAACCATGCCCAGCAGTCCGCCACGCTCTTCAAATTGACCTTCCAGATCATGTAACCCAACGTGGCAGCCGCACCTCCACAAACACCGCCGAGGTAGACGGGTCCAGCTCCGATCGCAACGCCCGCACCAGCCAATAGTCCAACTTGGACTGCACTGACAGCACTCAGGAAGGCCTTAGCATTCTTCTCCTGCGCCAAAGCGATACTCTTGATGCCCGCCTTCGCATCATCTTTGATATCCTGATATGCATAGATCATGTCGTAGACAATCGTCCAGGCCACACAGCTACCGTACAAGCAAGCGACACTCACAAGCGCAGGCGTGTTCTCCAGCAAGTTGATCCCAAGTGCAGGAAAGCCCATAATTGCTCCCCAGGAGAACGTTAGGCCAAGAACGGCTTGGGGATAGTTCGTGACTCTTTTTGCAAGCGGATATATTCCAACAAATATGAGACTTGGAACGCCGTAAAACAAGCATTCCAATGGGAATTGTAGCAGTATCGCGAGCCCGCTCAAAAGCTGTACTCCCAAGTACGGGATGGCCTGCGTGACAGTCACTGCTCCTCTTGCTATCGGTCTCAATCGAGTTCTGGCGACGTGAGGATCGAGATTTCTGTCCCAAAGATCGTTGATGGTACAGCCTGCTCCTCGCATGACAAGGGCGCCGGCAGCGAAGAGAGCGGAGGTGCCCAGGACCGTGGAGGGGGAAGCAATCGGCGAGGTCAGCGGCGCGGCGAGCAAAGTGCTGAACAGACATGGCAGGAAGAGATAGTATGTACCTGCGGGCTTGTCAAGTCGTATGAGTTCGGCGTAAGGGACCCACGTGCGTGGGAGGTGGGATAGGAGACCTTGCGTCGGAGGAGAGTATGCGGGGAGAGGTTCGACGTGCACATTTGGCGTCGTCGTCGCGGTCGCCGTTGTTCGGACCTGTTTGCCCAGATATCGAGCCTTGCCAGCATTCCCATTGCGGTCCCTGCTGCCATGGAGGGAAGCTGCCCATCTCTTCAACCGAATGCTTTGTAGCTGTCGTGAGGTACTCGTGAAAGAGGTGGGCCGGGGAAGGAGATGTGAAATGCGGAATGGAGAAGCCATTGCGAGACTGAGCTGTGGCCTACCTCAGAATGAGCTTTCACGTGAGATGGAAGATACTGACCTACGCTAGGCTGTCGCATGTGAAACCTTTGTCAAGGAAAGAACCAAGTGCCCTGTGCGGCTTCTCTAGAAAGTAAGATTTAGGGTTCGGCTCGGTCGACGCGCCAAGACCTCCACATCTGCCCGCGCCATCTCGAGAAGTGAGCTTCAATCTCCAACTCAACTCATCCTCTTCACGACCTCTACATCCTCTGCACCGCACCGCGCGCGCGTGCCCATTATTCGAACATTAACACAGTCATCAGAATCGCGCGACCACGATCATCCCAATCACGACGCGCCTTCGACTTCCGCCGAGCCGTCATGCGCGGCGTCCTGTGACCGCGCTGCTCAAGGCGTCCGCGTGGAGCTGTTATCCACCTCGCCAAAGACAGACCCATACCACACCGCCGCAATGCCTGCACAACGCCCTCGGGCATCTTTCGAGCCCATCGCGCCTGACTTCGATCTCAAGAGACTGGTCGAAAACAATGCTCACTTCAATTATGTGGATCGGATCAGTTGTGATATGATCGACCAACAAGGCCTTGCTAATTTCGAAAAACTCGTCCTTCTGCATGTGATTGTCGGCGGTAAGCCTCTTGTTATTGACGGATTCGAGGATCGTCTGGACCCATGGACTTTCACTCCCAAATGGCTCCGCGACAACTGCGGCGAGAAGGTTGAATACGCGCGCAACCTCACTGCGAAGGAGAACCTGCCTCTGACAATGGGGCATTACCTGAGGAATATGGGCCTCCTCACGAACCAATTCTTCGATAAGCCTGGGGCGTACCGAGAGAAGGGCAGGCAGAGGGTCTACCTGAAAGATATCGACTGCCCTGAGGTCTGGTGGGATAAGTTGAAAGAGCACATCCCGCCAATGCTGTCGTACCTCAATGATAGCACGGGTGAGATTGGCGGTCCTGGTGCCGTGCCTGACCCGACGAGTACGCAACCGGGCAAGAAGCTAGGCAGGGGAATTGGAAGAGCCGGAGACTTAATGAGTTCGCTGCCGCCAGATATGCGCGCCGAGAACCTGATGTGTTATATTGGACATGAAGGGACATATACACCTGCTCATCGCGAGATGTGCGCTTCTCTAGGCCAGAATATCATGGTGGAAGCATCAAATACTGTGTCGGATGACGGCAAGGCAGAAAAGCCTGGATCATCTATTTGGTTCATGACCGAGTCAAAGGATCGCCACCTGGTTTCCGAGTACTGGCTGAGTGTGCTCGGACACGACATTGAAACGGAGAATCACTTCGCCCAGGTTGTTGCGTGGAAGAAAGCACCCTTCAACGTGTACGTGGTGGAGCAGCGACCCGGAGATTTCATCCTGATCCCACCGCTTGCGCCGCACCAAGTCTGGAACCGAGGCACGCGTACGATGAAGGTCGCATGGAACCGCACAACTGTCGAGACGCTTGAGATGGCACTGAACGAAGCACTTCCGCGCAGTCGAATCGTTTGCCGTGACGAGCAGTATAAGAACAAGGCCATCATATACTATACACTACAGAAGTATGCCTCCCTCCTCACCCAGGCTATTGGACAAGCCTCTCGTATGCCAGCAACTGAGGGCCAACAATTCCTCTTCTCGGGCAAGATTAAGCAATTGCAAAAGGACTTCAAGCGCCTTTTCGCTATGTACAAGCAGATCCTACTTGGCGAGATGTTCAGCCCGGAGGAACGTGATACGCCAAAATCGCTCGAGTATGTCCCGTTTGACTCCAACGTCACCTGCGCCTATTGTCGAATGAACATCTTCAACCGATTTCTCACCTGTCCGAATTGCAAGGACATGCTCGGCCACTCCGCGGATGGCGAAGAAGGCGACCCTTACGATGTGTGCATGGATTGCTATGCTATGGGTCGGTCCTGCGCATGTCTGAGTGGACACCGGTGGGTTGAGCAGTTCCGATGGAAAGAGCTCGCGAGCAAGTATGACACTTGGCGCAAGCTCATCATTCAGCTTGATGGTGCCCAGAATGAAAAGACCCCGCTGCCCCTTCTCGAAGAACGCCGCCGCTACGGCAAGAAGACGCTCGCCGAAGTATGCAAGGACCAACTCAAGCGCAGACCTTTCAAGGACGTCAAGAAGCCGGCGGATGAGCCAAAAGATGACGATGAATCGGACGAGGAGATTGTCGTAGGTGACGATGGCCAGATCAAGAAGATTCAGAAGAAAAAGAGCAAGACTTGGCTGAAGAACAACGTGTCCTGCCATGTTTGCTGCCATCGTCACCCTACCTGGAAGATGGCGAAGTGTACGCAGTGTGATCGCTCTTGGTGCTATGGTACACTCTTCCGCGGCTGGGACAAATACCCTCTGGAAATCATGGAGAATCAAGACTGGGTTTGCCCACACTGTCTTGGCATTTGCTTCGCCGGTGCGTGCAAGCGAGAGGGCAAGATGCAACCCTACGAGCCCAAGGGAACCCTTCTTGGCCATGACACGAAGAAAGTCGCCGATGTCCGTAGTGTCGAAGCTCTCGTCGATTTCAGCGTCAGCAATCTCAATTGGCTGAAAGACGACGACCCAGCCAACCGCGCGGAGTCGAGACGCTTCAAGAGAGCGAGAGCCGAAGCCGAGAAGAACAAGGAGATCGACCCCAGCCAGGAAGTCGACGAAGATGAAGATGGCCGGGTGGATGAGACGCAGATGGAGATGGAATACACCAACGATGACAGCGTTCTCGATCCTGCGCTCGGGGGTAGCGGTGCTCCAGCTGGACGTACAAACGGTGCGGGTGACTACACCATGAGAGGCGCACTGCAGGACGATCTGGACGAAGATGATCTGGCTCGAAGGTTACAACAAGCCAATTCATCCCTACCTGGCCCAAATGGCATGGTGTCCGGAGCACCTGCGAATGGTTATCCAGATGGCTATGCACCTCTCGAATCTGCTGGTTACTCAGGGTATGGTGCACCTCCGGCCAACATGTATCCGAACCCAGAGGATAGTGCATATCAATATCCTGGCCACAATCGCGAGGACGATTCCCAAGAGCCAACTGGCGAGGAACTACGTCCATTCAAGCGTCGAAGAAGTCGCGGGGATGGCGAGGAGGATGGCGATTTCGAAGACGAGATCGCTATGAAAGGACGAAAAGCTAAGAAGCCGCGTCTCGCTGCTGCTGGTTTCCGGTCTTACGATCTTGCCGGTGATGCCGAGGGTGTCATGGCCAGCAAAGCTAAGAACGAGATCCAGCGCCAATTCGAGAAGGAGAAGGAGAAGAAAGCACTGGAGAGAGCTAAAGCCGAGGGCCGCTTTATCATGCTCCAGGCCGCCATCAAAGGCAAGAAGCGAATTGTCAAGATGAAACTCCCCAGCGCGACCCTCGCTCAGGAACAGGCGCGTCAAGCCGCAAAGGCAGCATTGGCGGCGGCTGGTGGCCAGAGTGGCGACGTGGATGCTGAGCATGAGATGGATGACGGAACTACACCAGCCCGTGAGGAGGACCCGTCTGCCGCGCTGCTGCTCAAGAGTGATGTCGCCCCCAAGGGCAAAAGCCGAGCCGAGCAGCAACGCTACCATGAGCAGCGCGTGAAGGAAGGCAGAATCATTGAGGGAGGTTCTAAGAAGGCGCTCATTCCGGTCGAGAAGGATGAGAATTATGGGTACACACATCGACAACGCCATCCAAATGGTAAGCGAGACGCCAAGAATGCTTGGCCTACTGCTGCCAGCAATAGAGACGCTCGACGCCGCACTACACACCAGAGACAGGTAGAATACGAAGAGGTCGATATTGGCTCTGACATTGAGGACGAAGACGAGGAACCTGGCAGCGGCGGTAGTTTCGTTGCCATCAACGGAACCTCGAGGTCTAACAACAGCAAGGATCGTCGTTCGCTGCCTGGATATCTGCAGAATCGCCACGCAGATGACGACAAAGACGGTCCTGAAGAGCTGCCAGACAATTTCCGCGACCGCCATCATAACCCAAAGCGAGGAACTCGCTCCAAGTCAGATGCTGCTGCGCAACAGCTGCAGAACGAAGTCGAAGCTGCTACGCCGCAGACGAAGAGCAAGACAGCTGGTAAACGGCCGAGTATGCGCCCTTCTACTGCTCAAGAGCCCATAACCATTGAAGACAATGGCAGTGATAGCAGTGATCTTGAAGACATGATCGACCAAGCTGCCAGCGGTAACTTTGGTGATCATGCCGCGAACGGCCACTCACCAGCCACCAATGGTGCTTCCAGCTCGAACAAATCCACCAGTACTGGACGACCACGCGGCCGCCCTCCGAAGAGCAAGCCCACCTCAGCAAACAACACGCCCCGAAAGCAACAAGCAACGCAAGAGCAAGCCCGTCAAGCGCAACGTATCATGGAAGAAGAGAATCGTCTGGCCAAACTGCAAGCACTGCAGATGCTCGACGACGATCCAGGCGTCTTCGGCTCCAAACCGGGCGAGGATCTTTTCGGAGAAGACGAGAGTGATGACGATGTGGATGAGGTTCCAGCGCGCATGGCCAAGGTCTAACTTCACGTGGTTTGCTTTTGCTCTTGAAGGATTCGAGGCGTAGCTATGGGACGGAGTGACCCGCGCCTATTCTGCGAGGCTATGATTGCTTGAAACGACGAGGAAGACGAATGCGACTGTTTGGAAGCGAAGGGTGTCGATGACAGGGCAGATGAGTGTCGTTAGCTGAGAATCAGAAATTGCACAGATAGCCTTATTGAATTTGGAGATGTTCATCCGGATCTGACTATCCGTCTCGATCATTGTCTACATCTTATCTGCAATTGGTGAGTACGATCTGTCAATTCCTTTTGGTTGGCTGTGAATTTTCGTTCCCTCGAGATGCGGTGACACGGTGCTGTGCAGATGGACACGGCAGTCGTCCGGGTGCCTTTTGCAGATTTGGAACATGTCGTCAATGGTCAAGTAGCTCCCTCATCGCCGGTAGATAATCGTGGAGAAGTCTGTCTGTCGCATCCCTCGATCGAATCGAATCGAATCGAAAACGTCGGCCATGAGAAGAAGAAGTCATCCAACGGATCACCAGTTACACTCAAAATCATCCCCTGCTGCAGCGGCGACGACGATAATTGTAATTCATACCATTCCGCGCAAAACTCTAACCTGCTTCGCTGTCGCTATCGCTGTCGCTGCATAGCCCTCCCTCCCTCCTCCAACGCCCGCGGTATTTTATACGCACTCGCAAGTAATAGGTACGTACGTCTCCTTCCCAAAAGCTGATGAATGATGCATGCATCTCTTCCTCGCGATCGCGGTCCCGAGCTTCTTTCTGGCGGCTCTCAGTCGGACTGGAAGCGAAAGGCCCAATTCATCGCATCGTCGACGGCGACGTGACGTGCGGAACACACACATTAATAGAAGCTTTCCGGCCTAGCGCTGCTGGGCGAACGGGAAAGGAAATGTATGGCAACTCTGCCTGCCGCTAGAAGCCATTTTTCATCACATCATTGTATCCGCAAGATGCCACCGCTGCGGATCAGCTGCTGGCTGGTATGACTGACAGACAACAGACAGTCAGACATCATAACATTGAGCGCCTCTCGCGGTGCGAGAAACGTACATGTAGCTAACCTTATAATTATTCTGATCGACAAAAGTCTACTGTGGATTCTTCATTCTTCAACATTTGGAACAGTATCATAGTCTGTGCTGCTGTCGCAAGACTGATTGGTTTTGCGAAAAAAGAGAAAGATTCTTTCTTTCTTTTTGCTCCCTAGGGGGCTATCTATCGCAATTCGCTATACAGATATGGAACTTATTTAATTCCTTTGCGCGATTCGGAGCTAAGTTTTGCGTTTTTCTGGCTAGATAGTGAGGAAGAAAGGAAGTGTCGTCCCAGGTCTATTTACCTAGCTTGATGTAGACGGCGTTCTAGGATTGAGGATTTGTTCGGTAAAATGGAAGTAGGGAGTTATTTTGGCGTTTCGCGGGTCTGAGGATAGACTTTTTTAGTGAACGATCCACTGAGTTGTGAGCCTCTCACTCCATTTGTGCGGACAAAATCGACTGTTTACTTTCACAATTCGTACGGTGTCTAGTCCGTCGGATGCAGCGTTCATAGCAATTACTAGTAGCTGCACTGCAATGCAATCCAGAACATTCTTCTCGCCGCAAAAGTTCCCCAAGAGCGTTTGAAACGAATGACAGATTTTCCAGCTTTCGGTTCGGTTCTCGACTGTGATCTGTTAAAAACACCTAGCCGTGCGGAAGGAGCGTCGCGGCTGTGGAGCCGGTCGAGTCTCAATAGTACCTGTGACCCGGTATTCGGGATTGCCGTCACCGGTCGGTCGATAGACGCAATCGTGCGTTGCTTGGCCACGCAGGCAGAGCCCACGCAAGCATGCTAAGTAGTATTAGTAGTATTTGTGGTAGTAGTAGTAGTAGTAGTAGTAGTAGTAGTAGTAGTAGTAGTAGTAGTAGTAGTAGTAGTAGTAGTAGTAGTAATAGTAGTAGGGAGGATCCAACAACAGCGCAAAAGGATCGCGGCTGGAGAAGACTTTCTCTCGAGTAGAGAGACCAGTATAGCTAGCTGGGGCACGACGGTTGCCGCAAAAGCTCAAATTCACATTCACATTCCTCACACAAGCATTGTTGCCCACGTTGTCGATCGCAATCCCTTGTGCCTTGACAGTGGTGGTGGTAGTGATCATGTGGTGTAGATCCGAAGCCCTACCTGTGCTACTACTGCAGAGCGGTACCCGAGACAAGCATGCCAAATCACATTCCCTGACTAGGGCTGGAGGGAGCAGCATGAAGCAAGCAAAGCCAGCCCTGACCAGCATGTTTTCGAAATCTTGCAAAGCGTTCCGAGGGCTCAGGGCAGTCGGGGCCCATAGGCCTGGAGATTGTTGTTGGCATTTCTGCAGCACTGTAGATGCTCCATCGTAACCTCGCTTCTCGGCTGTCGGTGTGAAGCACGATGGAACTATTGTCGCTTGTTGTTCGCTGAAAAGCTTTCCTGCTGCAGGATAAGAAGTCATCGATGGGCCGAATGCAGAAGGTATCCCTTGACGGCCTCGAGGCCGTGCTGGATTTGATATGCAACATGTCCCACCTCGCGTGGAAAATGACTCTGCCGATTGATTCCCCATGGGCAGGCGCTCGTTACACTCGGGAAATCCCGAGCGTCTGCGAGTGTGATGGCATCACTCGGACGACCCTGCTGCCCGGCGGCCGGTATCAAATCGTGCCGCAGGTGTTCATCGATGGTGGATGAGTGGGCGTCTCAACGTGTATGTGTCTTCATGTCCGCCGCCCGCAGAGGCATACACACATCTCAAGGGTCTGTGGGACTTGGACTTCGCGGAGACCCCTGGGAGGCACAAGCGCATGCAGATCAAAAAACAACCAACATGTGCACAGCTCCTCCGCTCCGGCCAAGCACACACACCCCCGATCACATCATACATCACACATCGCGTAGATATACAGCCAGCGATGCGAATTGTCTATCGCAGTTGCCCCCTCCCTCCCTCCCTGAGCTCGTTCCTCAACAGCATATGTATCGACCCGCAGCGGGAGTCGTCACGCGACCTCGTATTCCATAGGGTAGGTAGGGGAGGGAAGTGCGAGATCTCCAGGTCTCGATGTCCGGATCCAAACTGCCGTGCCGAGTACTGCAGACCGGGGCTTACTACTGCAGTCTGCAAGCCATCGGACGCCAGAAGTGGTTCTTCCGGAAGCGAACCATGCAACTGGGCGGCTGCCACAAACGCCAATGTCCCCACTCGTGTAACCTGTGTCTTATCGGCAATCCAGCGCTGGGTGCGAAGTGCCTGCACGCATGTGCACGGAGGGCGGGAGAATATGCACCGCGGCTGTGAGAAATTGCTGACAGGGAGTAGGAGGCTAGGGCACACACACACCATCCCTCTGCGAGCTGCTGTATGCAAGAAAAGACTTGCTTGTACTGTACGAGGCACGCTGCTGGAGGCGGCCCCCCGCAGAAAAAGGCTTCATCGCATCAGGAAAATGAGGGTAGATTGGTGGTATATCTCAATACAGCATCAAGTCCGTCTTTGAAATGAGACAAAAGATAGACCGGGAAATTCTCGCGTCTGTGTCTTCTCTCGCGCGTGTCATGTTTAGCTCGAGCTAGTGAGATCACGAGTCAGGAGAGTTCGGTTCGGCAGCTGCCGTGAGATTTAGTGCTCGCGTGCCAAATCTTGGCACGACTTCAGCTCTTTCCATTTCCATGCACACTCGAAACAAATAAAGACGTGATGATGATGAAAATTGCATCTTCAACAACGAATGTGGCGTATCCTGCATATACAAACGGGCGATCCGCCTATCATCGCGGAGGACCCTGCTCTGTCGAATAATGATACTGATACTGGCGTACACTTCCTGCAGTGTAACATCTGTCTTCCCCATCATCGGGCCATACTCGGAGCTGAAAACTTTCGCTCCCGAAAATGAACCCTCCTCTCCCCTCTGCCTCACCAACAATTCGCCCCGAAGCCATTCTCCATTTCTTCTCCACCGCCGAGAGTCTAGGCAAACCTTCCTCCTCGCTCTTTCTTTGAGCCCGGACTGACGATACGACCCCCACGCCCCGGAACGCCGGACAACAGCGACCCACGCAGTAGCAGCGGCGCTTGCTCCTGCTGTCCAGCCATGTCCAGGTCATGTGTCACGCTCGTCCTACCCAGCAAGGTTTCCTCATCTTGCACCACGCTCCCATTCACAGCCAGCGCATGCCGATGGAAAATTTCCGAGCTCTGCGTAATACCCGGGAATTCGCCGTAGGGCAAAGTTCGTTGTTGATCATCAGCCGTGCGCAAGCCCGAAAACGTCGTATCCTGCTCCGTGGTCCCGAAACTATAGGAAGCCTGAGCGGTGTTGTTGGCCATGTAGGTTGCGGAGCCATTCTGCGCGGTGATGAGGGATGCACCTTGGAAGCCATTCTTGTAGGTGGAATCGATAGATTCGATGTCGAAGAAGGATTCGAGACCGGTAGGGAAGACTGGTTGACCGAGAGTTCGTTCTGTCTTGCCCCGTTGGACGATTGCGGTCAAAGTGAGATTGTCGCCCATAGTCGCTGCTGTGCTGTATGCGTATAGGGGATAGTCAAACTGTCGCGCGTAGCCGCTGGAGGATAAGGCTTGACCAGACGTGCGTTGGATATTGGTCTGGACATTCCCCATGTCGGTGTAGTTCGCTCTGTTTGTGTAGTCAAGATCCTGAGACCATTGTGCTGTTGTCGTGCCGTTCGATAGCTTGAGAGTAGATTCGAAAGACAAGCTCCGGCGCGCGTCGATCTGGTATGTCAGAGTCTCATTGGACCCATTCGATGTCTTGTAGACCTGCGAGGCAACGCGAAAACTTGGCGCAGGGGTCACCTTTGACGGTCCTTGACCAGTGGTCACATGGTTTGCCGCATCGAGCCACAGAAAGACCTTCCCTGACACCCACCAGTAGCCATCCGTCGTTTCGGACAGAGTTGCGGTGCCATTGCCAGTATCGTTGAGCCCAGAAACCCGAATCGTGAAGTTGTGGCTGTTTCCGTCGCACAATAGCGGAAGCCAAGGCGTTATGTCAATCTCGTCTTCTTTCAGGTCGAACGCGTCGATGGCCACAATTGGACGCCAGAGACCTACGGAGTCAAGAAGTTGTCAGTGGTGCGATCTAGAGTTAGAATGAATGGCTTGGTTTCTTACCTGGCACAATGCCGCCGGTAAAAACAATGGGGAAAGGCCATGCGACGCCCGCTAGCATGCCATCGATGAGAAGCTGAACTTCGCGAAATGGAGAGAAGCCGTAGAGGGTGCCGTAAGAAGGAAAGGTATCAATCTCGGACTGTAAGACGTTGCTCCACCAAAACTGGTCGCCTACGTCAGTGATGTATTAGGCATCCAGGGGAACGAAATAAGCACCTCTTCTTGCGACTGGCCAGTGGCCCCAATTGTGAAGACTGCTTTCTTCACGTTGCGCGGAAGTGTCAGGTTGTTGGAAGCAGTCTGATCTGGAACGATAAAGTAGCTCGGCTGGCCCGCAGCTCCTTGTCGTCTCGAAACGGCAATGATCTCGTCTGCCGGTGTTATTGAGTCGTCCGCGGTGAAGAATGAAGATGTCAGCGTAACGTTGAAGGGACCTGTGTAGATGTCGTTGATGATGTTTCCGAGATCGAGAATGATGGTCTGCTCCTGCTGAAATAATGGCAGAAAGCTTGTCATGTCCTAGCTAATGGTCAGGCACATCCTCTTGACTGCGACAAGAGCTGGTCTTTACCTTGATATATGTCCATTCAATGCCATTTTGAGTCGGCTCGGCGGTCGAGGTGCGGAAGAGTTCAATGTCGCCGAAGGAGACAGATCCCAGCCGATCAAATTGTCTACCGGACGAAGTGACCGTGAGGTTCCAGGACACCCGATTGAATGAGCATGATGGAGGCGTGTAATTGCCAACGTATGGCTGGCCGTACGAGGCGCCGAATGAGTGGATTACCAGCGTCTCTTGGCATGTCGGCCTGCGACTGGGAACGACATGGACGCTCGCGTTGGATGATCCGTCTGTGATCTCAAGAACTCCATCAGGGGTAACGGTCAGGGCCGGCGGGTAGATTTGAAAGACTTCGAGCAGGGCTAGGGTAGTGTTGCTGGCAGATTGTCGTACAGAATGAGCGGAGAAGGATGTCGAATGGGTATCAAAGCCTGGCTCAGGGTAACGGTCGGCTGTGAAGAAAAGCAGGATCGTGATGCATAGGGTTGCTGACAGCAGCTTGCGAGAAGATTGTCGAATGAAGCTTGTTTTTGGAGGGGTGTGGTTGGCCTTAAGCCGAGTCTCGGGCCGAGTGTGGTGTAACATGAGAGGCATCCTCGGCTCGATGAACAGGGATGATGGTATGTAGGTTCCGAGCGAAAGAATGCCTATCCGGGGGCAGAGTGGATTAGCGATTGGATTGCAAGTTCACACCGGCTGCGGAGAAGTGAATGGAGAGTCCTGGAAAAGCCGGATCGTCGATGGGCAACGCCGTGCCACACCGATGCTGATGTGGTGATGGGGAATAGTCACGATGATGCGCAGGGAGTCTCATAGGTATGGGACCAATAGCGGGCAACGGCTCGCTCTGCGGTGGCGTCGCCGTCGAAGCGACGGCGATAGAAATTGAAGATGGCGAACTCGTCCTTGGTCATGATGTAGGCGTTGGGCTGAACCGTGATGCGACTCCAGATGTCGCGCAATGCGCCTTCCAGGTAGGCGGAGACGGTGGGATCGAGGTCGCCTTCGGTGTTGCGTGCAACATCGACTGCTCGTTGGTAGTTGAGGATGCCGACGCCGTCGACGTGGACATTGGTGTTGGCGCCCATATCGGAGGGATGGTCTTGTTCAAAGATTTGGTAGGATGTGTCGGAGGATGGTGAGGAGGAAGGAGTTGGATAGAAGGAGGATGAGGAGGAGAAGGGGTCGGAAAGGATGGGCTCTATATGCATGGCGGCAAGGTGGGTGCGATGCGATGCGATGCGATGCGATGCGATGCGAGGTGAATGTTACGGGTGAGAGAGAGGAGAGGAGAGGTAGTGTAGTACGGTGGTAGTAGCGCACGTGGATGTGTACCTGACAGGGGAGTGTGGGCGGGTTGTCTTACCGTGGGCTCTGGGGCTTTTTGCTGTGCCAGCGCCGTAGCGGGCTAGTGCAGGTTCCTGCGAAAGGGTGTCGAGATGATGCTTCGAGCGCCTTCCAGCGCAATGCAGTGCAGTGATGCAGCGTGTCGGCAGGTCCCTGGCAGCGCAACGTTAGCCCTTCACACGACAGCCGTTTTTTGCAGCTACAGCAGACCACAGAGCGGAGGGTGGAGGGGACGAAAAAGATGATGAGAGGAGCCGCTTCGGGCTGCCACCGGCGCTAGAAGAAGTCTCCAGAAGAAGCTTTTCTGTGTCGTGCGCGAAGTTCAGACGCGGCGGGAGTGGGAAGCGAACCTAAGGTAAGCTTGGTGTGCGTGTGCGTGCGGATGTCCGTGCGCCGCAGGTAAGTGAATGGCACGGACAGTAGTAGTCATGCCATGGCACGGACACCTCCCGTCAGTGCTGTCAGTGGATGATGAGGGCAAGGCAAGAGCAAGCCCGCCCCGGCAGGCAAAGACCAGGCCAGGGCAGCATCATTAGCTCAGCAACGGCGAGGATCTGGCGGACAAGGCAAACTCAATTGTCGGCGGCAGGAGCGTCCCTGTGTGCGCATGGGCAGCGGCTGTCCGAGCGCGCAGATGATTTGAGGTGCGCAGCAGGTGCGATGCGATGCGCGCAGCAGAGGCGCACCCGAGGGAGCCTGAGGCGGCACTGAAAGAGTATGCGGTGCGGTGCGGTGCGGTGCGGTGCGCTGCGGTGCGGTGCGCTGCGGTGCGGTGCGGTACGGTACGGTGCGGGAAGGTGCAGTGGCATGTCGCTGCACGAGATGGTGGTGGTGCTGCTGCTGCGGTGTGCAAGATGGAATTTGCGATAATCTATTCTGCCCAGCAGCGACAGGGGATCGCGCCTGTCGACCAGAGAACGACGCCCACGCACAGTGGATGCACAGATGGAACAACTGTGAACCCTGAAGCTGGCGGTTCAGCTGTCTGCCACTGCCTGTACCTGTGCCAAGCCGAAACGCCAGGGCAGCACCCGACGACAGACTTGCATCACCAGCTCATCATCACCACAACAATCACTGCACCAGTGGACAGCAGCAAAATTCGACGGGCATCCACCGACCCACCCTTCTCCATGTGACCCTTCCAATTGGGAGTCTCCAAACTTTCGCCTCACCTGCACTCACTGCACTGCTCCTGGGCACCTAGGCACCTTCTTCCTATCCTCCAACGAAACGCCAACCATACCGCCTGCCGCCTTGACCGTCCGCACTCACTACTGCATGCCATGGCCCATCCATGATGGCCCATGACCCATGGAGCCCAAGTTCCAACCCCGAGCTCAGATGCATCGCTTACCAAAACAACCACAACGTCGCCATCCGCCCCCGGAGAGCCTCAGTGCCTGCATACCTTACATACTCACGCACCTGGTGGCGACAGCCTTTACGCCCAGCAGCACAGCCATCGTCCTGCACCTGGAGGCCCGCCCGACTCACCGAATCCCCAAGACCTGGCAACCCATCGTGCCATCTTCTTCTCATCAGCGGCCCCGAAACAGGGAAACTACGCCGCGCCTGACTGTTCGATCGGGTAAATGTAGGACAACATCTTGATTGGCCAATCTCGACCATCTCCAACCTTCATCGTCTGGACTTCAACCTAAACTCGCATCAAGAGAAATGATGCACAGATGGACACCGTTCTGATGACGGCTACTGTCATACAGCGCTGATCTGCCGTCGTCTCTACAAACTACAGCCGGAAACTCCTTCGCGTGGAATAGATGAGACCATCACTTGATATTTGCAGCCACTCGTTGGGCTCTGCTTCCCTTCCTCATCGCTCCAACACATGTCCCAGCGTCATGAAGCTTAAGAGAAAGCCCCACAGATGAGACGTTGTGCAGCAACAGGATCGTAGACGTCTTCCTTCTGCGCATTTAGACTTTTCTGCCTTCGCGGCAGTTTTCTCTGACCGGCATCTCGGTTGAACATAGTACCGAGCTTGGTCCGGGTGGCTGAATGACCGTGATACCATAGAGTTTGATCCAGTCCTTCGGCAGCTTCGAGCCAATTTCGATATCGTAGAGAGACGTCGCAATCGATGCGAAATGGTGAAGAATGCACATACTGCATAGCTGCGTGGTATACAGAGAAATGCTGATCCTTGCATCTGATCGGCTGTTATCGTCATTCGGCGTCGGCCGCCGCTTCCCGATGCGTTAGGTTAGCTTCGGGACTTGAGCCTCACTCCAAACTTTTCTCGGCGTGTCAACGTAGCATCCACGCACCGACAACCACCGCCAACTCCCTACCAGACAAGAGTACGCCGCAATAAGGAGCTGCAATGCTCAGAGGTCCGCGGATCATCTCCCTACTTTTCCGCCAGACCGCAACGCCCAGCATCGTCCAAGATGGGCCCGCTCAGCTGCTCAGAACATTCCTGCGGCGAAGTGCCCGAGGACATCAGATGACACCCAACAAGGCGCCGCGATCGATAGCCCGCACCTTTGCGACTCTCCGCAACACAGCTCTCCGCCCATCAAACCACGCCCGGATATCACGGACATGGCGGCAAGCCCGCAGCAATCCCAGACGCCTACACAGCACTCAAAATACCCCTGCCGCCAAACCCCAGAGCATGTCCGAACGCATGAAAGAGATGTCTCGAAAATACGGTTGGACGGTCATGGGGATATATTTAGGGCTATCGGTGCTCGATTTCCCATTCTGCTTCTTGGCAGTGAGATGGTTCGGGACGGAAAGAATAGCGGAGGTGGAACATGCGATTATCGATGGATTCTGGGCAGGGTTAGAGAAGGTGTTGCCGAGTTTGAAGAGCAGAAGAGAGGAGAAGGAGAAGTTGGAAGCTGCTGCCAATGAAGCTACGCGGGAGGGAGATGGGAATGGTGCGGGTGTTGTGGAGATTCAGAAGGGTGGGCATGAAGAGCCGAGTAAGTATATTGTCCGACATGATGGGATGAGAAACTGCTCGCTAACGATGATGGACAGGCATTTGGACACAGCTCATCCTTGCGTATGGCGTGCATAAGTCGCTCTTCTTCTTCCGGATCCCTATCACATTAGCTATCACCCCGAAGGTGGTGAAGACGTTGAGGAGTTGGGGCTGGAAGATTGGAAAAGCGAAGCCGACGTAGACGTTGTTCCGACATGGAAGACATGGGGAGAAAGTGCAAGACCCTGCTACATTATTGTAACAACACCACTCAACACCTAGATACACTGGACATAGATATGGTCAATTGTATTGATAAATCTTCGGCCTTCAACGCAGATGTTGAGACCAGGACATTGTCTGCTGCAAATCGTAGCCCTTTCGCCATCTTCTCCTTCCGCTCCTGATTAGTAATCACCGGTGGGTACGCTATGATCAGTAATCACCGGGGGACCCTTTATGCCTTAGCAAGTATGTAGGGTCGGAGCAAATCGTTTAGTAGTAGTTGTTTTATTTAAATGATTAATTAATAGTTCTAAATTTTATAAAATGTTTTCTAGCGATTTATAATATTAGCGGTCGTATAATAGTTTAAACGCGGAACCTTTTATTTAAGGAATAACAGTTTACAAAATTAGTAGCTATAAAATAGTACGATCCTATTTTATAGTCTAAAAATAGCTAGGAAAACGGGAAGGGTCTATTAAATAGCTACTATATAACGTAGCTACTTATAAGTCGTTTAGTAATTATAAATAGTTTAATACCGGTTTATAGAACGGTTAGGCGTACCGCTTATACTAATATACTAAGCCTAATCTAGGTATAGAGAATTCGGGAAGGTAGCTAAGTAGCTCTCTACTATACCTATATATAGCTTCTACGTAAGTAAATAGTATTCTCCTATATATAGAGTATATAGCCTTAATTATTTACTTACTACCTACTACCCGCCTACTAGGTCTAAAATAGACGAAGATTACGAGCTATAGAACGGATAGTAAGATTAAGAGCCTAAGTTCGAGACTTACGACTCGGTCCTAGTATAACTCCTCTAGCTATTTTATACTATAATATAATACGCTCTCTCTCTTTATATACTAATACTCTTATATATACTTATATATACTTATATATAGGTAATAAGAATATATATATTAATTCGAATTACTATTTACTAATTAAATAGGCTAGATAGCTTAGTAGTAGAGCGGTTTATACTAATATTTCTATAGTTTTATAAAGAATTACGTACCTAAATA